GTACGTACGGTTTTAATACGGATAGAAGGGGCTTAGTGGGAGGGTAGTATACCACCTCTTCTCCTATTAACACAACCACATCTACACACACACACACACACACAACCACACACACTCTCTCTTTCACACACTCACACGCACACACACAAAAAGAACCGACCACATTAAAGTGCTTACCTAGGTAGGTATACCCATAGCGCTACCCCTACCCTACCCTACCCTACCCTATCCTATCCATATATACCCCCCCCCTCCCTCAAAAAACCCCTTCACCCCACTCCTCCACCCACACACACACACACACACCACCCCTACCTCACCGTCCCCACCCCGGCCCCCCAAGCCAGACGTCGTAGCCGCGACTCTTCCACACCGGAGCAGGCGGAGCAGTCTTGGCGGTCTTGGCGTCGTCTTTGTCCTTTTCTTTGTCTTTGTCTTTATCTTTTTTTGCGTTGGCTGCGTTGCTGCTGCTGCCAGTTGCGCCAGCAGATGCAGATGCTGAGCCTTCTGCGTGCTCAGACGGGGCGTGTGTCTCGCCGGCTGCGTTGCTATTGCTATTGCTGCCGTACACGACGTCATCGAGCGAGGGGAGGGATGGCGTTTGGTTCGGCTGCTGTTGTTGTTGCTGTTGGGGCGGATTAGGCGCGTGCGCGTGCGGGTAGGGGGATTGACGCTGTTGTTGTTGTTGTTGCTGCTGGAGGTGGTCATGATGCTGTTGGAGCTGCGCTTGCTGATGCTGTGGCGCTATGGCGCGAAAGGGCTGCTGCTGCTGCTGCTGCTGCTGAGGCGGCGGCGGAGGAAACTGCGGAGGCGCCTGCTGAGCCTGAGCCTGAGCCTGATACCCCCCCGCCCCCGACCCAGATCCCCCCGCAAACCCCCGCGCCGGCTGCGGCTGTGGATACGGCCCCGTGTACGCCGGCACCGACGGCGGCAAGCTCGCGCCAACACCGTACGGCGCGCCCGGCGCAGCCGTGACAATGGGCGCAAAGCCAGCGACCGACGACCCGGGCGCGGTAGTCAGCTGCGGCGGCGGCGCAGTGGCGATGCTCACGTTCACGTGCGGCTGCTGCTGTTGCTGCTGCTGCTGTTGTTGCGCCTCGGCCGCGCGCCGCGCCTTCCGCTCTGCCCACCACGCTGTCATGCTCTGGCTGCGCTTCTCGCTCTTGACGCCCTTCTTGCGCGACGAGGCCGAGCCCCCGGCGCTGTTGGGCGTGCCGCCTATGGTCGGGGTCGCCGACGCCGTTGTCCCTGCTGGCGTGCTGCTGGGTGTCGTGGTTCCCGTGGCGGGCGTCGACGGATGTCCGTTGAGTGGTGGAATGGTCGAGTCGAGCGGCGCGCCCGAGGCTCCCGGCCCGAACGGGCTTTGGTGTTGGTTCTGGTGCGCATGCGCGTGCGAGCTCGCGTAGGCTGGGTCGACGTTTAGGCCCGGCACAGGCGCCATAGACGCAGGAGGAATGTTTGACGGCGGCGCGTGCGTGTATCCTTGGACCATAAAAGGCTGCTGCTGCTGGAGGGACTGGTACGCTGGGACGGCGGGCGCAGGCACCGACGGCGCCGAGCTGAACGTGTGCTGACCGGCGGCGGCGGGCTGCGATGTCACGGCAGCTTGTTGCTGTTGTTGCTGCTGAGGCTTCTTGTTTCGTGGGCCCTTTTTGATGCCTGCGTCCTTGCGCTGGGCGAGGTTCTTGCTGCCCGGCGGACGGCCACGCCGCTTGCCCTTGGGCTCGGGCGTGCTGCCCTCGTAGGCGCCGTCGTCGTTGTCGTGGTCGTCTTCCGACGCGCTCGTCGTCATGGCGCTCTCGCCGCGCATCTCGCGGATGCGCTGAGGCACATACTGCTGCGCCTTGCCGCCACGGCCGACGCGACCTCTCTTGCGCGGCGGAACCTGTGGCTCTGGGGTTGCCGAATCGGCGTGGTCGCGCTTCCTCGTGCGCGAGCCCGGCTCCGCATTGCCGTCGAAGCGCTGCACGGCTCGCCTCTTTCTCTTTCCGACTTCCTCCTCGCTCGCCTGCAGATCGTCGGTGGTGACGTCCCGTGCGCGCCGGTGGCGGAGCTCGCGGCCTCCGACGGTCTCGGTGCCCACGCGCTGCGCGAACGGGTCCTGCTGTCCGGGAGCCTTGCGCGCGTCGTAGAGGTAGCTGTAGAGGTCTGCTTCTTTCTGATCGTCAAACACGCGCGGGTCAATGGGCACGCGACCGCCGTTGACGGGCTTGCGCGGGCCGTTGTTCGCATGCGCGGCCACGCGCTTGTCAATGGCCAGGTACTCGTCTTGCCATTGCTTGAGCGCGCGCTGGGTATTTTCGGCAATGGCATACAGCACGCCCGTGGCGCGCTCCGAGGGCACGTGCTTGGTCAGCGCGGCGATGAATTTTTGGGCATCCGTCATCTTGTCGAAGCGGCTCTTCAGGACGAGGTCGGCTTGATCCTCAATGTCAGTCTCCTCGGGCGTGTCCCAATCCGAGGCAAAGGCCGGCGGGAGATCATCGTCTTCCAGCTCTTCCTCAACGTAGAGCGGCTTGGCTCTGGGCCCGGGAGGCTGACTGGCACCGCCAGTGGGTTTCGAGGCAGAAGTGCTCCTGACGGCACTGACCGTCTCATCGATGAGCTGCTGGGACGGGCTGGCGCCAGGATTGGCGGGTGGCGAGGAGGCCTCGTCCTCGTTCTGCGGGTGGTCGGCGTCGTCGTAGCCCATGGAAGCGACGCTCGGGGAGCCATTGCGGGAGGCAGACTCTTCTTCGACGTCGGTGAGGCTGCGTCTAATCTGGCGGGCTCGTCTCTTTTTGGGTGAGACGCGCTTTTGGACCTTGGCCGGACGGCCTCTGCCCGGGCGCTTGGGGCGCGGATCGGGATCTTCTCGGGCGTCCTCGTCTTGGCGCTCCATTTCCTCGAGCAGGTCCTCGGGAAGGCCGGAGATGGTGAGGGTGGGCTTTTTGTAGTAAGCGACAACGGGCATGCGGCCGCCGACGTAAATTTGCGATTGCATCGACGTGTTAGATTCGGAGCGGGTCAGTTTCCTGGAGCTCCGGGATGAGAGCGGGGATAGAGTGTCGGGATTCGTGGGGTTCGTGGTGGTTGTGGTTGTGGTGGTGGTGGAGTGGTCGGGATGGGGAGCGGGCATAGTGTCGGTGGGCTTGACTTTGGCACTGCGAGTTCGCATGGCGGCAGGCAAAGAGATATATGCAGCTGGTCTTGCTCGCGTCCAAATAGACAGTGAGACAGGTGGACGTGGGTTAAAGGAGAGGCATGTGACGGGATATTAGGGCAGTGGGAATTTTCCAAGAAGTTTTTTCCACTGTCGTGGCAAAGGAGGCCTTGCGAGCGAGCGACTCTCTGGGAAGTGAGAGAGCCCGCGGGACGGGCTTTGGGGGGGAATTTTTGATCTCAGCGAGGGAGGTGTCGGAGATCAGGTCGTGCCTGCCTCAGTCCGGAGCATTTCGTGTCTTTGAAGCATCCAGTCCAGCCAATCAGCGTCGCCCGCCACGCCTGCCATTCCCGCGCCGGGGCAACACCATACTGTTACTACTTACTTACTAGCTGCCTACCTACCTACCTACTCTACCTATTGCCTGCTTGTCCGCCCACCACCCACCCACCCATTTTCAACTCCGACGCCAATTGAAACCATGGCCAAGGCCCTCTCCAAGGAGGAGCTGCTCGCCCAGTTCGACGACCTGGGCGATGACGACGCTCCCCAAACAACCGCCGCACCTCCTCCCGCCGCTGCACCATCCACCACCGCCGCCGCCGACACCGAAGACGACCCCGTCGCCGAGCTGGCCGCCCTGGCTCAGGCCCGTCCCAGTCGCCCCAACACTCCCAAGGTCTCGTCGTCGTCGGGCGCCAGCAACAACCGCTCGCCGGGCCGCGCCACACCCTCGTCGACGGCCTCGGCCCGCACCAGCGAGGACAAGGGCCCCAGGCAGCACAACCTGCCGCGCCGCTCGGGCGAGAGCTCGCGCCCCTTCCACCAGAGCTTCACCCCCGCCAACGAGCCCGTGCCCGAGAAGGAGCCCGAGCCCGCTGCTAGCGGCGGAGGCAACTGGTCGTGGGGCAGCTGGGGCAGCTCCATCATCGGCACCGCGTCCGCCGCGGTTCAGCAGGCGCAGCAGCGCGCCGAGGCCGCTGTCAAGGAGATTCAGAAGAACGAGGAGGCGCAGCGCTGGGCCGAGCAGGTCAAGGGCAACGTGGGCGTGCTGCGCTCTTACGGTACGTCGCGTCCTGTCGCCCCGATACATACACACATGGCATACTGACAAACACTCGTTCAGGCGACGAACTGCGCTCCCGCGCCCTCCCCACCTTCACGTCGCTACTGCACACGCTCGCGCCGCCCATCTCGCAGCACGAGCGCCTCCAGATCCACATCACGCACGACCTGCACAACTACCCATCACTAGACCCGACCATCTACGCCGTCTTCCAGCGCGTAATGTCGCAAGTCGAAGGCGGCGACCTGCTCGTAATCCAGCGGGGCTCCGAGTCGCAGCAGCGCCGCGCAAGCGACGCGTCCGGCGCCGGCGGGGCCACCGCCTCGTCGACCGCCAACACGGCCGCCTGGTCCGACGGGCCCTGGTGGCGCGACGTGGCCGGCAAGCGCGACGTCGGCGCCGTCAAGGGCCTGGTCGAGGGGACGAAACTCTGCCGCGCGAGCGCCGAGAGCTACGCGCACGACTTCTTCGCCTCGCGGGGTGGGATCGAACACGCGGCCGAGCGCGCCACCCAGGCCCTCGACGAGTCGAACCCCGTGCGCAGCTCGGACATCTTCCTCGCGCTGCAGGCCGTCGCGCACAGCGGCGGCGCAGACGAAGGCTTTTTCGGCGGCGCGGGCGCGGCTGCCGCCGCCGCTGCTTCTTCTGCCCCCGCGGGCTCCACGGCCGTCGAAGAGCCCGCCGACGCTGACGCCGCCCCCGACGCCCTCGTCTGCTTCGCCGTCTTCCTGCACGACCCCGTGCACAGCATCTCGTTCCACGCGCTCTCGCAATCGGTGCCCCGTCAATGGATCGACTGGCTCGACGCGTCGGCCGACGAGGGCGCGGGCCTCCCCGCCGCCATCGCGGCCATTGTCGATGCCGGCGGCGTCGATCCCCGCGAATGGGTCGCCGAGTGGCTTGAAGAGGCGCTGAGTTTGGCGGTTGGTGTTGTTGCGCAGAGGTATGTGGCTAGGCGGATGGGGGTCGGGGAGGGGGGGATCGGACGCGGGAAGGCTAGGGCACGGGAGAGGGTCGAGGAGAGTGGCGGTGGCGAGGTGGCGAGGGCGATTTAGGCTTAGGTTTGAAGAGGGGGTTTTTGATTGAGTGAGTGAGTGAGTGAGTGGGGTTGGGGGTTTGAGGGCTGGGAGGGAGGGAGATGGCTACATACGCTGGTATTGCAGCGCGATGCGATGAGTTGAGTTGCAGGTTAGGATTAGGCTACAGTAGACAAGGTGATACGCCGTTACGTACGTGCGTGCTATCAAATAAGTAGGATACGTAGGATACGTTCGTACGTCCGTATGGAGACATGGAATCGGGGTTTGTCTTTGTTTACTTGTTACTTGTTACTTGGCACGTGGTTACGTGGTTAGGTAGGTAGGTTCTGTCCTGTTGGTTGGGATTGCGAGAGGGGTTGGGATTGGGATTGGGATCTGGGTATGTGTATGTGAGTGTGAGTATACGGAATTGAGCGCGTGGAGCTGGAGCTGGAGCTGTGGAGGTAGGTAGAGGGGGTTTGTAGGTTTGCAATAGGTTGAGGTGGGCTGTAGTTAAGTATGGTTTGTGGAGGAGGGGGTGTGGTGTAGGTGTGTTGTGTAGGGGTTGGAGTCTTTCGCTCTTTTTCTCTTTTCTTTTCTTTTTTTCGCGTGGTAGGGTGCATGTTATGTGTGTACCTAAGTGAGTGAGTGCGTGCGTGCGTGCGTGCGTGCCCGGCCGGATTGCGGGATATAGGTAGGTAGGTAGGTAGGTAGCGAAGTAAAATTAGATGGAACGCAGCAGCTGCTTTTTCTTTGCTCGTCTGGTTTGGGTGCGTGGCTGTCTTGCTGGTCTTGCGTGGTTGCTTTTCGGCTTTGCGTGCTTTGTTTGCTTTTTCGGCTTTCTGGACGAGGCAAGCACGCACGCTCGCCCGCCGAACCCGCTTCTACTCCCTCGTAAGCAATACACCCACACCCACACCCCCATGCCCTATTCCCCCACCCGCAAACGCCGTCCCAAACGCCGCAAATACCCTCACTATACCCTCGCTCTATTTCTTCACCGCCACACCAGCAGCCGCCCGCTTCTCGGCCTCCCGCTTATCGGCGTCCTTCTTGCGGTCCCCCTTCCCTCCCCGCAGCATCTCCAGGTGCCCCGCCCGCGCTGCCAGGCTCTGCTCCGTCAGCGCGGCCAGCCCCGCCGTGTGCTTCTTAAGGATCTTCTTGTGCGTTTGCAGCTTTGCTTTCTTGGGCGCGATCTGTCTGCTGCCGCGGGGGCGGAGGGGCGTCGCTCTGGGGGAGGTTAGGGCGGGTGTGTTGGGGAGGGGGGTTTTGGGGAAGGGTGAAGGTTGGTGGGGGTTTGAGAGGGGCGACGCACTTCTTGCTACCCCCGCCGGACGCGGACCCGGGTTTGGCCGCTTTGGTCTTGATCGTGCCTTGCGCCATTGCGGATTGCGCGGTTTGGCTGTTGTTGTGGTTGCGTGAGCGTGGAGCTCGAGCTCGAGCGCGAGCGCGGTGGATGGATGGATGGATGGATGGAGGCGAAGCTGTGGGCGCAAGCGCGTGTCGAGGTTTGTTTTGTTGTGTGAGGAGACGGGTTTGGATGTGTGTGTGTGTGTGTGGGCGTGAGAGCGCGACGTGGGTTTAACTTGTGGCGCATGGAAGTGAAATCCGCGGCAGAATCTCCTTTAGCGCGCCGAGGCTGCGCTTCACCGCCTTCTGATGTGGGCTGGTCTGGGCTGGACGATTCCATGGAAGTGCGTGCGGAGGGGGTCGGGGTTTTGCCGGTGTTGTGCGTGGCCTAGTGGTGTATGGAGATAGGGGATGTGTTGGGTGCGTGGGGACTTGGGGAGGTAGTTGGAGGAGGGGGAAGAAGAGATGAGGGCTGTGGGCATGCGAAGGGATAGAGTGTTACGGGCTTGCGGGGATGCGTTGCTAGAGTATCAGCACTACGGGTTAGTCGTGGTCGCTTGCAGTGTTTGTGGCTTCGCTGCGTACCCTATAGCTGCATGCGGAGGCGGCCACGATTATTTTGACATGGTCAAAATCTATTCAAACATACAAAGTATATTTGACTGTTCGAAAAATCCCTAGACAGACAAACCAATTCTACTCAATTCTAACGTCGTTCACCGCGAAACGAGATCAACCGTGTAGCGAGATAGCCAATCAGAGGCGCTCTTAGAAGTATTCTAACAGTCCCACACAGACAGCTTTACCTAGCAGGCAGTTAACTAGACGAATTTACTGTGTTTGATGTCGGCTATTTTTAAATTTAACAGCGAACTCAGTTGGTATACTAACATAAAGGCGTTAATGTTGGGGATACAGAGCTTAGCCAAATCACTACCGAATCCGTCCTCCCGAGCGAGCCTGACGACCCGCTCTGATTGGCTGTCTCGCTTCATGGTTGATCTCGTTTCGCGGTAAACGACGTTAACCGATGGTTGTCGAAATCTTAAACATCTGAATGTAGTTCACGTGGAAATTGTCAACATCCAAACACGTACTAGCGTCCGCCTGCAACTCCTCCTCCTCCGCAACCAGCTCACAAAGAAACAGTAAAAAGCCCAAGCACGCAACTCCCAGCTCGACCATCTCCCAATTCAACCGCCCAGCACAGCCGGGTAAATCTCTCGGACCCTGAGGCCCTGCCCATGACGCAGCCGCGCTCGACGATCAATGCAGTCCATTTAGCCAGCGCGCATGCAATAGCCGACGCCCCCGTCCCTACCCGCACCTGCATTGGGAGCTGCGGGGAGCAAGGTGTGGGGTAGAAGAAGAAGAAGAGGAGGAGGAGGAGGAGGAGGAGGAGCAAGGAGAAGTGAGATGACGACGATGAGCCGCCTGTAAGCCATTGGGCATCCGTGTTTATATATACGTAACATTGCTTGCACCCCCGAGCACAGCATGGCCGCTGAGCTCCCTGCCGTTTCTTAGTTACTTGCAGCATGCAATTGCAATTTCTCTCTCAGCTCCTCGTCTGCTCTCTCTGCCTGCTCTGCCCAGCACAGGCAATCGGCCAGAACGCCACCGTCGCTCTCGACAATGCCCCTGTCCCTGCCGGCGGCATCGAGCTCGCGAACCGTGACAAGGCGGTCCACGTGCTGCTGGATGGGGCGGACTGGCCCGGCGTGCTGCGGGCGGCGGATGATCTCGCCGTGGACTTTGGCCGCGTGACGGGGCGTAATGGGAGCGTCGAACTAGTGGGCGATGGGGATGTGCCTGGGAACTCGTCGGTTCTGTTTAATCTGACTGGAAAGGCGAGGTTTAAGGTTATGAAAGGAGCTGGGGAGCAGGGAGGCGTTGTCATCGCGGGGACGGTGGGCAAGTCGAGCGTTGTGGACGATTTGGTCCGCGCGGGCAAGCTTGACGTTTCTGCCATTGAGGGGAAATGGGAGGCATTCACTTCCACAGTCGTCAAGTCTCCGGTTGCTGGAGTTACCAAGGCGTTGGTCATCGCCGGTATCTTTGTCCATCCCTCAAACCCCCAGAACAATCCAGAAGAAGCTGACCCGCCCAGGCAGCGACAAGCGCGGCACCATCTACGGCCTCTACGACATCTCGGAGCAAATCGGCGTTTCGCCATGGCATTTCTGGGCGGACGTGCCCGCGCAAACGCATAGCAGCATCCAGGCACTGCCAACAACGAAAACGCAAGGCCCGCCATCAGTCAAGTACCGCGGCTTCTTCCTTAACGACGAGGCCCCAGGCCTGACGGGCTACGTGGACGCCAAGTTCCCGCCCTCGTCCTGGGGCCCCGGCTACAACGCGGATTTCTACGCCCCCGTGTTCGAGCTGCTGCTACGCCTGCGCGCAAACTACCTCTGGCCCGCGCAGTGGAACAGCATGTTCAACGTGGACGACGACCGCAGCCAGGCGCTCGCGGATGCGTACGGCGTCGTTATGGGCACTAGCCATACCGAGCCCATGATGCGCGCGACCAACGAGTGGAACGTGTTTGGCGACGGCGCGTGGCAGTGGGACACGAACAACGCGTCGATCAAGCCGTTTTTCGAGGAGGGCGCCCGCCGCGCGAAGCCTTTTGAAAGCGTTGTCACCATGGGGATGAGGGGGAGTGGCGACACGGCTATGAGTGACGATATTGAGACGGCGATGCTGGAGGATGTTGTGCGGACGCAGCGCGAGATCATCAAAGACGTGTATGGAGATGAGACGGCGGTGCCGCAGATGTGGTGTCTGTACAAGGAGGTGCAGGGGTACTATGAGTCGGGCATGAGGGTCCCCGACGATATTACGCTTCTGTGGACGGATGACAACTGGGGGAACATCAGGAGGCTGCCGGTTGGGAACGAGACGCAAAGGGCGGGAGGGGCTGGCGTGTACTATGTGAGTGCTGGATTGGTTTGTAGTTCAAGGTCCCTTGGTGCTGACGACTGCAGCATTTTGACTACGTAGGAGACCCTAGAAACTACAAGTGGATCAACACGGTGCAGCTCCAGCATACGTGGGAGCAGATGCACCTCGCATACGAGCGCCACGCCAGGGAAATCTGGATCGTCAACGTGGGAGATCTGAAGCCGCTGGTGAGTTCAAAACGGAAAATTGCAGTTCTACTGCTTACACCTGCAGGAAATCCCGATCAGCCACTTCTTCGACCTGGCATACGACATCGATCTCTGGGGCCCGGACAGCGTATCACGCTGGCTCGAATTGTGGGCAACAAGAGAATTCGGCTCCGAAACCGCAGCGCAGACCGGCGACATCGTCAACACATACACGCTCCTAGCCGCCAGACGAAAGTTCGAGCTCGTAGACCCAAACACGTACAGTCTGATAAACTACGAGGAAGCCGACCGCGTCCTTGGCGAATGGCAGGAGCTCTCCCAGAAAGCGCAGTCCGTCTACGACGCCCTGCCCGCAGCGACGCAGCCCGCCTTCTTCGAAATGGTCCTGCACCCCGTGCTAGCCGGCACAAACCTCCACGACATCCACATCAGCGCCGCAAAGAACCAGCTCTACGCCGCGCAGGGCCGCACAAGCACAAACGCGTGGGCGCAGCGCGTGCTCGACAAGTTCGACTACGACCACGCGCTCAGCGAGCGGTACAACACGCTACTGGACGGCAAATGGGCGCACATGATGGACCAGCCGCACCTGGGCTACGCGTACTGGTGCGCCTCCCAACCCCTTCTCCCCCCCCCCCCTCACTCACTGACACACACGCGCGCAACAGGCAGCAACCCATGCGCCAAACCACGCCCCCCCTCCAGTACATCCACCCGCGCACCCGCGCCCTCATCGGCGACATGGGCGTCTCGATCGAAGCCAGCAACGCCAGCATCCCCGGCGACGACCGCTGGCACGCCCTCTCCAGCGCGACGCTCACACTCCAGCCCATCTCGCCCTTCGGCCGCGCCCGCTGGCTCGACATCTACGCCACGGGCACGCAGCCCTTCGAGTGGCGCATTGCTGCTGCGCCGTGGGTCCGACTGTCGCAGACGAGCGGTACTATTGATCCCCGGGGAAACGCCACCGATGTCCGCGTCTATGTCACTGTCGATTGGGACGCTTGTCCGCTTGGCAACGGGAATACCACGCTGAATGTCTCGTCCGATACTGGCTATGGCACGCAGTACAGCGCGCCGCGTGTTGTTCTGCCCTATCAGCATAACGTCCTCCCCGCCGATGTCCCTGCTGGCACGTTCGTGGAGGCAGACGGCTATCTCGCTTTCGAAGCTACGCATTACACACGCCTGGGCGCTGCTGGCACCAACACCTCTTCCCTCACCTCCTCCTCCTCCTCCTCCTCCTCCTCCTCCTCCTCCGCCGCCGTCGACGACAGCCTCATCCCGCACCTCACGCCCCTCCCCGCCTACGCCCGCACCAACAGCAGCGTCAGCAGCGACAACAACAGCAACGGCGCCCTAACGCTCCTCCCAGCCACCCTCCCCGTCTCGCTCTCCCCAGCCACAGCGCCATACCTCGACTACGCGTTCCACGCCTTCTCATCTGTCCACAACGCTACCGTCACGCTCACGCTCGCGCCCAGCTTGAACAACGACCCCGAGCGCCCGCTCAGGTATGCTGTCGCTGTGCTTCAGTCTGATTCCACCAACACCACCAACACCACCACTTCCACCGGCACCGACGACGTCAACGCCACCGCCACCGCCACCACCATCCGCATAGTCTCGCCCGTCCCCCCCGCCGAACCGGGCACCGAGCCCGCGGGCTGGCCCGAGGCCGTCGCGCGCGCGGCGTGGGCGTCTAGTTCGCAGGGCTGGAGCATCGCGCCCGGAGAGGGCGTGCTGCGGGTGTGGCTGCTGGAGCCGGGCGTTGTGCTACTGCGCGTGGTGGTGGATTTGGGGGGTGTGGGGGCGTCGTATTTGGGGCCGGGGGAGAGTGGGCGGGCGTAGTTTGGGATGGGGGCGGGGGTGAAGGTGTGGGGGGATTGGTGGGTGTTAAACCAAAAGGCGGGCCCGCGCATTTGATGTGCAGGTTTAAGTGACCTATATATTCTAACAGTGGGGTTTTGTATGTATGAAGTGTGTGAAGAAGCTCGATTGGATTGGTTGGTTTGCTGGGCTATGTAACTATTCCTCGCCTCTCGTGCCCTCGTGCCATGCTACCTGCTACCTGCTGCTGTTTACTGCGCTTGCAACTAGCGCCTATTACGAAGCCGACGCCACTCATGACGCGGGCGGCGGAGAAGGTTAAGGACGAGGAAGAGCGCAGCGAGGAGGAATACGCGGAGCAGGATGAGCAGCGTCATAGTAGTAGTAGTAACTAAAGTCGTGAACTTGTAATCCGGCGCTATCGAGAAGACGAGCCGGTAGTATCGTGTAAACTACACATCCAACGCAATTCGCTCACGCCCCGTCTAGCCGCTGAAGCCAGCTACGAAGAGGCACTACCCGCGCTTCGTAAAGGCAGGGATGAGCGCGCTTACGCCCTACGCTGTGGGGGTGCACGTACGGAAATAGTAGCCCGGAGTGGTGTTGGCGCCGTCTTTGTCTTTGTGAGAAGAGGGAATAGCGCTGCGTACGTGCTCGTTTAAGGCTTTTCGGTTGGTGAGTTTTGTGGCCGGCTGGTCGGGTCTTAGGCGCGTTGGTGGGCGTTGTTGTGGCAAGGCTGGTGTGCGTGGAGGGCGTTGGCGGTGGTGTTGGATTTGGACGCGATAGCGGCGGCGGCAAGTAGAGGGGTTTGCTTGGCTGCTTGGTGTCTGGAGAGGAGCTGAGTGAGGAGTTGTTGGGTTGGCTGGGGCTGGATTTGGTGGTGTTCTTGTCGGAGGAGGAGGTGGTGGCGGTGTCCTTTATTGCTAACACATCTGGCCAGATGAACGCATCTGCAGGGAAACAGTAAGACTACTGGGAAACAACCATAGGTTCTTACATGTCCCTAGCCGTGCAAACCAAGCTGTCACAAGCAACAAACAGACCCTCTCGTCTACTCGAGCACGCTTTACCGCGTCAGACCCTCCGTGTTCGCAGGTTATTTCCTGATATAGTAATACCTAAAGGCGAATCACTGTCTACGTGTACCTCCCACTGAGAATACCGCGCGCTAGGAGCTATCCCTCCACGCCAGTCCAAAGCTCCCCGCTGCTAGAGGCCGCGGACGGATAGCGCACGCTCAGCGCTTGCTCGTATCCTACCTTATGCGCCATCCTCGCCCTTTGAACCCGATGAAATAAGCGCAGCTCGTGTCCTTTCTAGACCACCTGTGTAAGCCCTAGATTCTCGTCTTTGTTTGGCCTCTGCGCGCTTTGTTTTCAGTCCATGTGCGCAATACACCCAGCCAGTCCTCTTGATGCAACCAACGAACCTTCCTCATCTGTGCGATATCCGTGGTTGGTGTGACCAAAGGTGGATTCGTATGCTGGGATTGTGAGAACGTGTCTAAAGAAGTGGGAAGAGGCGCGCTTGCAGCCACCCAGCGCTGTGAATCTAGCCGGTTTCTCGTACTCGCGTTGAGGAGCTTGCGCCCCTCAAGTTTTTGCTGTGCTTATTGTTGTGTAAAGTGCTTTCTATGGTTTTTTTTTGGCGCTTTCTGTTGTGCTCGGGACGCGGTATTTGCGCTGCTGGTGTGGAAATCGTGATTTGTTGGTTATGTCTGACGGTGAAGTAGTCCCAGGCCGGTTTGCGTGAGCGCGGAGGACGGTAAGGGGTCGGGCGCGCTCATTCCGGTCGGTAGGACAGCAGGCGCTGGTGCTGGTGCAAGGGAGCGTAACGATGCTTTGACGGGCATCCTGTGAGGCTGTCGGTGGGTGCTGTGGATAGCCGATGCTATGTCCGGCCTCTGGTGGATGGTCGCGGCTTGGTGAAGCACTGTGTTTGAGCGGGCTTGAGCAGAATTGAGAAAAGGGAGAGAGGAGGGACGGTCGTGTTGTCTTGCAAAGAACATTGAGGTTGAAAAGGGCTGTTTCATGGACCATGGGAGCTCGAATGCGCCTCTGCCGCGCATAAGCAACACCAATTGCCACAGCGGAGGCATTGAGGCAGGCCGGACATGAGACCCGGTGCTACTGACGGGCACTACGGACTACACGAAGCAACCGCCGGCCTACCCAACACCAGCAACATCAACACCAGCAGGAACATCACCAACAGCATCATCACCAGCAGCTTTAAAGACCAAGGTTCTTCCTCGAAGGCTTGCATATAGCAAACACAACAATGAAAAAAAGGTCAGGAACTTCAAAGAGAAGTTCGCGTCAGCCCGAAACAGTGCAAATACGGGCGACACAGTGCCAGCGGCAAGAAAGCCGTTGACGGGGTCCAAAAACCGGTTGACTTGGGTGCTACCGGGGAAAAGATAGCGACCTAGCAGTTCAGCAGTCAAGCAGAACTAGGCCCTCAGCAGAAACGTCTGAGGGCCACCATGAGAAAAAAAAAAAAAGAAAGGTAGGTTGGGGGTGGGGGAGGGAACTTATATACCTCGAGGGAGAGGACCGTGCGTGCGTGATGAAGTCATAAACCACGAGCGATGGAAGACCGTGGAAGCGTCTAGCAGGTCCTGGAAGCAGCCTGCAGGGCGTGGAAGCAGTGGGGAGGCCGGGGGAACTGCTGAAGGCATGTGCAAGGGGAGTGGGCCAATAGGAGCGGCGGGGGAGACTCCCCTGCGCGGGAGAGGTGATGGGGCTGAGTGAATGGCCACCAAATCTACGTCAATGATGCTCATGAGGAGCACATTCGCCTCCACGGCGAGATTTGGTGATAGAGACTGCGCAATGAGCTCGAACCAAGCTGATAGCAGCAGGATTTCAATCACTGAGCAGCAGTGATGCTTTGGATGGGAGTGTCACGGCCAGCCGCCGGGAAGGGCATCACTCAGTCAGAGCAAGCAATTGATGCATCTGGCAACGCTTTTTGCCTCCACAACGAGCAATTCGAGCTCCTAGAGACGATATCATCTACAATCTGGATAAACATGCCTTGCCGTTCATAGCATCACTCACTGACCAACAGCTTTGAGGATGGTCCGCGCCCCTACCCACATCACCCCTTACCAAAACAGCCTTGCCATTCACAGCAACAGTGCCATAGAGTGGGTGCGGCAGCTCTTGTTCCCGCCGGCGGGCCGCGCCAAAACCTCACAACTCACAGTCTCACACGTGCCATCGGCAGGAGGCTCCTGCAAACGCCTTCTCCCCCGCCCAACCTGTCCTTCATTTTTCCTTCAATTGTTCTTCAATGGGTGCAGTGTCAGAAGAATTTTTAGAGCTTCAAGATGTCGCTTGTATTGCACTGCCTCGGGCGGACGTCGACGCTGCATGCTGGTTGTTGCTTTTGCCTTGCCGCTTGCCTGGCCTTTCGAACTTCTGATTTATCATTGAGCCGCTCGCCTTGTGTGGGCCTTTGAAGAAGGAACCCGTGCTTTTGATTTTGCGATTGGGCTGTTGGGTGCGGTCGCGGTGGTGTGGGCTGGGCGGACTAGGGCGCTTCACTGTTGTGAGATGGCTTTGTGAGGGCGCGGGCATGGTGGGGATAGTGTAGGTCAGCTGGCTCGGGTGATTATGCGCTCAGATATCTTTGGCGACCATGTAATTGTAGTAGCCAGCCTGTTACTTCAAGGTGTTGTGCCCACCGAGACCGTTTTGAAGTTGTGTTGCCGGCTTGGTTCTCTGCAGCTTGACCCCGTCCTACAGGAGCACCAACGCCGACAGACACCCCAAACAAGCCTCGTTTGGGTAATTTGACATCCTCGACCATCCTAATGAGACGCTAAGCACTCTACTTTATGCCAAACTCACGGAAAAGCGAGGGTAAGCGTTGTCGCGGCCCTCCGGCCTGGAGGCGCAACCGACAGATTCGCCAAACTGCCATCCAACACCACTCGACTACGCCCACAACCCATCCAAGGATAATCAGTGACATGTCTTACATGAAGCAGCATACCACAGGCCATCAACGTCACTTATAACAATCTCAACGTCACCAAAAGCGAGAAGCGCGGCCTGACAACCCAAGGCTTTCACGCGGGCGAGCGTGAAACTCCACTCCCGACGCGACTCATCCACCTAATCTCAGCAAAACAACATCCTAAAGCGCCGCTATCAGCTCCAGCAAACACTGACCACGCCCAATCAATTCTACCCTTTGTGCGTGACGGCGGTCGAAGAGCTTTGTTACCCTCCCCTTCGCTAAAGCGACCGAGAGACCGGCTCGAGAGAACCTGGGCTCATAGGAATGCAACTGGAGCAATAGGAGTGCCGATAGGGCAGTGTGACATTCAGGGGTGCGATGCAGGTAAGTGGTTCTATGCCAGAGAGTTCCATGACTAGCTTAGTAGGGGTCTTTCCGCTGACTGAGAAGCTGACGCACGAAAGGCTGTCTCACAGAAGCACAAACTATCACGAAGCCCGAATCCGCTGCCCACAGGCCCTCGAGACACTATAAAGATCCAACAACCAACTGGCGCAAGCGCAACTCGCAGATATCAAAGGCCTTCGAAAGCCGAAAGCGACGGAGACGGTCCGATAAGTTTACCTTGCCTACGTTTCCTACCCCTCAGACCGCTGTAGCCGCGCCGGATGAGATTACTAGGCCATTTGGGAGCCTGGTAACAGCCTTGGAAGAAATGCACTTGTGGGTGCTGCAGCGGGAGAAGCGGTTGGGGGAGGAGGTACATTCTCCGAACAATGGCAGGGAGGTAGTGGCGGCGAGATTGTGCGCTTCATGGTGGATAGTGCTGTACAGTAGAGCGAGCATATGTACTGCTTCTGCAGCTGCTTCCACAAGGATAAGCTTTCGTGGGTCGGGTTACCGGTCGAGGGGCTTGGACGAACTTTTTCTGTCTGATGTGTTGGTGTACTGTAATCCCTCTTGCAGTGGACCGAGCTACTCGAAGTAGGCGCAGGTATGCTGGGATGTTGTATGGAGCAGGCTGCTGGACGTCGCGCCACTGCCTTGTTGATTGCCTTTTATCGGCGCAGCAGAAAATTCCAGCAGCAAACACTACAAGGAAACGGGAGCAGCAACAACTAACAAGCGGCTTTGTCGGTGCGGCAATCGCTTTCACAAACTTGTGATCTGAGAACAGGACAGCTTCTAACCTACGACAAGCAGCACACCAACTTCAACAATCAAAACACCAGCTTCAGTGATCCATTAATAGGGACGCAAAAGTCCGACCTTACAACAGCACATATGAGCGAACAGAGCACTCAAGAAACGACAACAGTAATCCCCGAGGAAACACTCACTCAAGCCCACCCTCACTAACAACCTCCAAATCCGCTACAATAGTACCAGAGCCCCAGACCAAGCCAGACCGAACGAGCTAGCAAGCTGCAATACCGTACGCGTCACCGGGCCGTACAGCCTCAGCACAAGAAAGCGCAATCTCTCACTCCCACGGCCAGGGGTCGGCATCGTCCAGCCTCATCACCGTCGGTCCGGACAAGCGGGCGGTTAGCTAGCGGACCGTCATAACCGTCTCCGTAGCGTTACGCCAAGAATAGTCTCGTCCTGACGGGGCTTGGTTCAGGGGGACGCCGGGCAGACGGTAGTTGTAGAATTGGTGTTGATTTTTGCTCGCGTACCAAATATTTGATGGTGTTGAGGGGCAAACGCCACCCCGCGTTGCCTAACTTGGCTTAGCTCTAGGGCTTCGGGCGCGCGCCAACGAGCGAACGGGTGAACGATCGCTGGCTGGTCTTCGCGAGCTCCTCGCTGAGCCGCGAGAGGCCTGTTTCCTACCTGAAATCGACCCTCTAGGGCTGGCGGATGAGTTGCGGGGGACGCGGGGGTGCGGGTTGGCGAGTTATTTCGCTCAACACTACGCCAAGACTCGTGATAGCAGTCCGACTGAACCGGACGACCCACTTCACCGTCCGAATGAACGAGTGGGCCGTGGGGACGGCGGGCTATCCGTCCCGCCCACCGTCCGGGCCGGACTGGACGATATCGCACCCTGCCCACGGCTTCGTCCGCACGAGAAGCCACACAAAAGTTGATGACTAAGGTAGCGGTACCCAGGCCGCTTTTAACGCCCTCACATGAGTGAAAAGGGGAGGCCGAGAGGAAGGTCAAGGGGAAGCGGGATCGGGAAGAGTAGATGTTACATAGTAAACCATCGGCCAATCTCAAACACAGTTCACATAGAACACCCGCTCAGCAGAGCGCAGCGAGCATCAGGTACAAACACCTCTTAGCTTGCCACTCATCAAAAAGCAGGAGGAGCCTCCTCCGCAGTTCCAGCCAACAGTGAATGAACACTCTGACGCGCCATCGTAGTAGCTGTGGTGGGTGAAGGCACAGTGTGCGGAGCCAAAAAGCAGCACCCCAGCTATTATAACTATTACCACCGCGAGATTCGAACACCCAACCAAGCGCCCAAGGGGTTTTCCCCAAAATAGGCAAAAAAAAAAACTGGCTTTATCTCTTTGAAAAGCGTATCATCCTTAGGGCAGGGGCCATGCTAATCTTCTCTGTATCGATACTTATAATAATTAGACCAAGTGCCCGAAGGCGAAAGCTAGTCCCGCTTTTTGGACCTATAAGCACAGGAAAATGCAGAGGGGAGATATTGGGTGCCGCTGTGGGCGGTCAGTGTGCCCCGACGAGCGCTTGTAGGTGAGAGCTTGTGTGCCTTGTGCCATTCCAACGCCACCAACCTCATTTATACAACTACAACTACCTCACTGCCTGACTCTCTTCTAGTGCTAAGCAACCAATGCGCAGCTAATGCGAGAGGCCTCCGGTTTGACGATTCACTCTCTCACGACACCCTTTACTTGCCTCCGGACAATAAGCCAGCAAGCACCACACCAGATACTCCTCCCAACGACAGCACTTGCACATATCCGTTAGACGGGAAGCGACAAAACCAGCTCTGCGGACTACGGTTTGCGCAAAGAGGGAGGGTACACTCAGTTTGGTGGACAAGTTGCACACCGGAGCGAGAGCGTCAGCGAATGGGCGCTCATTCATTTAGGCACTGGCTATAAGCGAGACCAAGGCCGCGGAGGAGCGACTATATGCGCAGGCAGAAGGTACTACAAGGCATAATGAAGCGCCCACTTCGCGACAAAGAGGGAATGTTGACCCATACACGTTTACACGACCTGGGGCGCATAAACCGTTACGTTTCATTCCGTGCGTATTCCGAATTCCGGAACACGGCATAGCATCCAACCCCATAGGACTAGAAGTGCGGGATAGTATCCGCTTACTGGAACTGGTCCATTGGAGCGTCGCACACACACTCATGGCATTGACCGAAATTGCAGAATTTTGAAATATTAACGAAGAACAAACAAGTATATTCATACAGTTATATAATTTGGGGGAGTAGAAAGGACCGAAATGCAAACGTCGGCTCATAAAGATGTAGACTGCCTAACGTTTTGGCCTTATCATCCCAGCTCGCTGATCCGATCAATGTCGGTCTGTAACTCTGGTATATGCGGTTTATTTGTGGACATCTCATAAGACACAGGCTGTTCCGCTCCTTGGGCTCCGGCATTGAAAGAAGGGGGTTCGTTCCTGACGTATTGAAGCCTAGAAGGTGAATGCTGCTCTCCTTCGTCAGACCGCCGCTGATGTTCTTTCCTCCGGTATGCTCGTTTAAAGGTCAAATCCCGTCGGTAGAGGTGAATACCGAGAAAAGCGAGCATAGCGAGGGCGACTGGTACTCCGATACCAATGCCGATCTTGGATTCCGTAGAAAGGCTGTCGGGGGAAGTACTTGAGGGTAAGGCTGGCCCAGAAGACACTGTTATGTGGCTTTATGTGGAGATAGTGATGCCGTTTCGGTTGATGCTGTTGTAGTAATGGAGGCAAAAGAGGAATCGATGGTCGATGATGTTTGCTAGGAAGTTGTGGTCGGACTCGCGTTGAGAATGTCTCCTCTATCTCCCAGCCATAATCCCAACTCATCCTCGCAATAAGAAACAACATCTGCGCAGCAAAAGCCGCCATCCAAGCATTTGTTTACACGTGGAAAACGATTGCCCGTGTTCGTTTCATCTAGGACCTATTAGTGTCTGTGCATACCCTTACTACAGGACGAGGAATAGAAACGATTACACAAAACAAAAAGATGGCATTGGAGAACTTACTTCCTAGGCAAATTGTTGCACATTGGGTGGAATTCCAAGGTTTGACTGCGCATGGTCCTCGTACAAAAGTACAGTTATTGTCCTTGGGATTATGGCACAGACCATTGGGGAGGCATTTGCCATTTGCTCGAGAAACTATGGGCGTACATCTTCACCAGGGAGCCCGTTCAGTGAGTGGTAACGAAACATGTCTTTGCTCGATCTCTGTACTAACAACGAGGGAAAGTTGCCCTGGGCCTCAGCGTTGCTCCTGCGAGTATTTCGGACAGTGTGACCTTAGGTTTTGGCCCCAGACTCCGGAAGGGTTACCAGACCTACCAGAATGGTAGTCTTACATCGTCCTGCTTTTCCTTGCTATTGCGACCAGAACTTTGCCCAACTATTCGGCTGGGAAGAGGACACCTTCGCTGGGTATTGTGGGTTTATGCAGGTGGCCGTGGTACGGTTGAAGTCGGTCGTCAAGACAAGCTACCCGTGGTGAAACTTGTGGCTGTGAGGCATGGCGCTGGACGCACGACTAACGACGGCAAGGTACCATCAAGGAACACGGAAGAACACAGCCAGTACCGAGTAAGATCCAACGTGATGTTAATAATGTTGAAGAGTCCTTACATCTCCGACACAAAAGCACCAAAAGCCCCCACCACCCAGACCAGTGATCATGATCACCGCGCACAGCACAGCACACGGCCAAGACCGCATTAACCGGCCACTACTATCCGTTTCAGTTAAAGATTCGAGCGATCCTGCCCTTTATACAGTATGTACTATGTACAACACGCTTACCACTGCCTACTGCAGCGAAGGAGCGCTGGCGATCGAAATCTCTTGATAAGGTGGTACGATGTGGTTGCTGCACTGCGCGCGCGCACGCAGAAGGCTGTTTGGTGGTTTCGTGCACCACTACTACCACCGCCGCCGCCGCACGCGCTATCACCCGGCGCTCTCGTGTACCGTACCTACCTCCCACGGAGTAGAGTAGCACAGCACCCAACCGCACCATCATGATCATCAGCCACCCCATCAGAAAAAGGGCCGCAGCAAGCAAGCACATCAGCGCAACAAACAACCCACACAGATAGCATAGCATAGCATAGCATAGCATAGCATAGCATAGCATAGCATAGCATAGCATAGCATAGCATAGCATAGCATAGCACCGCATAGCTAGCCATCAATCAATCATCGTCATCATCATCTCAATCAATCACCAAGAGTAGGAGAGAAGAGAGCAACTACCAACCAACCAAGCACACAGCACGACGCCTCTAAACGCCCTCTCGGAAGCAGGGGCATACGTATGCACGCACCGCACCGCACCGAAAAGCCAGAACCAGAAGAAAGAAGAAAAAAATGCGCACCCGCGCAAGCACATGTCAATGTACAAGACCTCACGGCCAAGGCGAGGGGGGCCAAAAGGCAAGAAAAGCATAAACACCCGAATAGCAAGAGGAAATAAAAAGAACATGAACAGAACAGATCCAATAGAGGATGAAGAAGGAAAAGAAAAGAGAAGAGGGAAAAGCCAACCTAGTCCTTTATCTTCAACCAATCGCTCGAGCTCTCGAATTGTGATAGATAGGGATAGCGCGCCACCTGCCACGCACGCAATGTGTATAATCAAGAGAAAAAATGAAGCCGAAGAAAAATCCAAAATACAGGGGTATCAGCAACCACTAAGATCATCGACCCCCTCGAAATAGATGAAAAAGCAGCAGCAGCAATAAAAGAAGTCATTGTTGATGTTCTGCACAAGAAAGAGCGCCTGCCTGCCCGCTAACTCGCTCGATCACTGCTCAGCTCAGAAGTATGCCGAGCTGGAGGAGAAGAAGATCGGATCATTCAAGATCGAGCTCATCGGGTCGAAGAAGTCGCTCGTGTAGTCCGCGAAAGGACCCATATCGTGCCCCGCCGTGCTCAGCCCGCTCGTCAAGCTCATGCTCCCCGTCATCGTCGGCAGGCTCAGCGTCGGGAGATTCGGATCCAGCGTCGTGACAGCAGACGCCGCTGCCTCCACCGGCCCACCGGCGCTGCTGTTCGGGATGCTGTTGCTTCCGCTGCCCGTTGCCGCCGCCGCAGTGGTGGCCCCGCGGTGCGGCGGCGCCGGCGTCGTGCTGCTGCTCGTCTCCGGGTCGGTGGGATTGTTGACCGCGGCGTCGAGGTTACCGCGCGTGCCCTTGCCGCGGAACTGCTCGCGCCAGTGCCACAGGCTGTCGAAAACGACGGACATGGACATCCGGCAGCGCACCTTGAGGTGGATGCTGACGTCGACCGAAGGGCCGACATGACCAATACGGAACGTGTCTGCGTCGGTAATCTTGGGGTTGCCCGCGCCGCCTGCCTTCCACAGCTGGGCCAGTACTTCGGCCAGTCGCTGCGGGAGGTCGTTGTTCCGCACTGACGTCTGTCGGATGCAGGTGATGAGGCGGGAGAAGTTCATGCGTGAGCTTGACAGCTGCACTTGCGGTATCGTGTTGGCGAAGTTGGAGTTGAGCAGGCGGTTGAGCGTAAAGCCCGCTGCGACCATCATCTGCGAAATGTAGTTTGTCGTGTAGAGGAGTTGGCTAGTCTCTTCAAGGAAGAATATGGATGCCAGGAATTCGTTCGCGGCCATGAGGAGATTAAGGAGGTCCATATGCCAGCCATGTTCCTGTTTGTTGAAGAAGGCGTACAGTTGAAGATTCAAACGGATGGCGCGAAGATGCAGGAGGTCGAGGTCGTGGAGGGGGTTAGCTTCATCATCATCATCTCCAAAAGGAGCCGGTGACAGTTCCATACCAGTGAATGTCGAATGCCGCAACCGTTGTTCAAGGTCATTCAGATTTGTGGTCTCATAGTTGATGAGAAGAGACTTGTCGTCGTAGAATGACCGACTACCCGAGTCGCTGTACAAGGCCTTGGTAATCCTGGCGGCAGAGCGTTCAAGCATGACATGGTTCACCAAGGATTCCGGAAGCCGGTCCATATGGTCGTGCTCAAAGGATAGGGCCGAATCAAAAAGGGTCGTTGACGGCTGTCCAGTCGCTACAGAGACACTGTACTCTCCTATTAGCACCAAGAATGCACACAGCGGCTGTCACTACTTGCCAGTGAGCAACAATATTGCACACCGCCCAGGTAGACAAGCGGTCCTTGATGTCTTCATCCCTGAGCTGAACATGGGTACGGGAGAAGTCCTGGGCGTGAGACGGTTGATGTAGACCATGGTGCATGGCGACCTGCATCATTACCCCTGCGAGTATGAAAGTTTCGTCAATGGTAGTGCTGCTTGCTGGAAGTGGCCACGTGCAAAGGAGGCACAGAGCCTTCACGATGTGATAGGATTGCGGGACTTCGGAAATCGTCGTCCACAGCAAAGCCCTGTATGCCGGCGTGAGCTTCGATAGCAGCGTGTTGTCCCTCTGGTAATGCCTAGCTGCGACTATTATTATAGTCCAGAAAAGGATCCTGGCCTGAGTCATATACGCCTCAGGGCTCTGCTCAGGATCGAGCAACGGCAGGAACGGGTGGTAGTGTGTGAAATACTCGTGGAACAATTCCTCGACCTGCTCGGTGCCCAGATAGACCTGTCCCAAATGGTGGGTGTGGCTACGGTTGTTGTTGTCAAAGGCCGGTGATGTGTTGAAACCGCCTTGTTTCAGGCTCACCAGGGACGACACTGCCTCATCATGAGTGCCGCCCGTGTACTGTTGTCCACCGGCGAGGAAGCTGTTGAAAAGGGTCGATTGGTTCGAGTCGGTGGGCAGGCCGTTGGAATTGTGGATGGGGAAGTTGGCCGAAGGAGTCATTCCCGCCGATGCCAGCTGCTGCTTGAGGGCCGCCTCGCTCTGTTCCAGCTCCCTGACGCGCGACTTGAGGTCGATGGCCTCTCGCTCCATCTCGGCATGTCTGCTACGCTTTCCGATGCGCTTGAAGTTGGCCGAGACCTGGCAGGTCAGGTTCTGCTTCCGGCAGCGCGAGCATGGTGTGAAGGGATCCTGGACCACATCGCACTTGAGCTGTGTTCAGGGACGGTCGTTAGCAAGAGAGTATTCGAATTGGAAGCCACGGCAAGCGCAATTGGGCCCGGCGCGCAAGGCAGGCCCGCGGGCGGTGATCGACAAAAAATATTTTGAGCCTTGCGGACAACATGGTGTTTCGGAGAGCAAAAGTGAGGTCTACGCACCTTCTGCTGCCTGCATTCGTTGCATGCGCGCTTCTGAGCAGCTTTCTTGGAGGCACCGTGGCCGTCATCCTCGTCATGGTTGCTTCCGGGCGAGCTTTCGAAGCCGGCGGATGACTGGGATCGCTTCACGCCATGATGGGGCGTAGTAGGCGATCCGAAGCCAGAGAGGTGACTTCCGTTGGTTGGAGACGTGGCAGCCATCCGTCCTGCCGGCCTGCTAGGTCCCTTTCTCTGAGACGTCCGATGTCGCTGGCTTGGGCGGAACCGGGAGCTCTGGCGGGGAGAGTTTGGTGTCAAGGTCGGCGGCTGGCGGGGCTTGGTGCAGGAAAGAAATCTAACCTTGTTTTGACTCCTAGCGCTTATCGATCTGGCTCAGCACGACCACACGGCCAGAGGCAAGCGAACGGGCCGTTTTATTCCTTTCCGGAGAAATGCCTGGGGATGCAACTTCGAGGGTGAGCAGCTGTCCTTTGCGGTCTGCTTCTCCCCCGCCCACTGCTGCATCTCTTTCCGGCAAATGCGCCCTGCTTCCTCATGACTCATGAGCCTTTCGCAGGAGGATTATGTGTGAAACTATGGCCAAATCCACCGCACCGCGCTGCCTCTGATGTTTCTGTGTCAAGAGCAGACAGGCCGCTCAACACCAACATGTCTACAAGCCCGGTGTGAATATAGTTGGACGGGCACCACTACAGCGTTCCGTGCGGCGGCGTCGTATTTAGCCTGCAAGAGCTCGACCGGGGAACTTTGTGCATGGTCCACGATCATATCTACATCTTATCTGATGATCAAGATGGTGGCATCGAAAGAGGCCGATTTCGCTGCTTGACGGCGCCCGGTCTGAAACAGATCTTCGAAGCCAGGGTGGGAGGATCTTCTATTCCCTGTCCCATGTCTCTCCACGCGCGTGGTCACGAACATGTCTGATATCACCACCGTGCCACCCTCTTTGTCCACCTACGGTTCCGTCAACCATGTCACCGGGCCAGCTCCAGAACGATGTGGTCAGGACCGAGCTGGATTCGTCTACATGGGATGACATCAAGGTCCTCATAATGCCGACATTGGACGGCAGAGAGAAGCAAAGGCAACCGCAATATAAACCATCTATCAACCCATTGACAAGCAGACCTACCGACGTTCACCACAAAGATGCACCTCACTACCGTCAATGGCACCAATGCGGCCAGAAACAAGCGCGCACCCAAACCCCCGGCACCAAGTACTCGTACCGCGCAACCCCCACGTGAGCAGCAGCAACAAAGAAAAAGCACCCAGCAGCCAAAATGCCCAATCAGACAAGCAAAAGCACAGCATCCATCGAGCAAGACAAGCCATCGGGAAGACATTCCCATCGCGGCGCAGTCCGGGGCCCCTTCCCCGCCATCCACCAACACGGCCCGCGACCCACCCTCACCCACCTACCCAGCACCACAGCAATCCGCAAACACAGACACCGACCCAGCTCTGAACCAGTATCCTGCTATTACATGTATCCACAACCCCCCACACAACCACACAACCGCACGTCGCACCCATCACCCACGCCCAAACAACCCCACCCCACCTCCGCACTAGCGGCATGTGGGGAAAAGCAAGTACTCTAAGATGCGGCGATCGCAACCGCGCGCAGCAGCCAACGTAGCTTACCTATTACGGAAGGGCGGTCCATCCCTAGCCCGACAGGGCGGCCTTATCTGCGCGCGCCTGCACCCACGCCCGATAAGAGCTCCCCCAACCCCGCGAATAGCCGCTCCTCCGTGAGGGGAAACGGGGAACGGGCGCCTGCCCTGTCTGGCGCTGCTGCGCCCGCGGGACACATGGCTCGCTGACGCCCCCCCCCCCCCCCCCCCCGGGAGGGGGAGAGGGGACGTCATCAATGCTCTTGCTGCGTGGGCGATAGGCTGTTGTGTCTATGTATGGAGGTCTGGAGCTGCGCTTCGTATCGGCGAGCCGAGTCGTGCTGTGGCATATCTACCTACCTTACCTGCCTGCTCGATCGGTGTTTGGAGCGCTTTATTTAACGCAATACTACCGTCTTTTTGAACACCGGTTGCCGAGAACTACCTACGTACAACCAACCCGCTACGAACCATACCCCTCATCTTAGGCGTCGTCGTCCCCGCGATGCCCATAAGACCCCACACCAGCAGCATCCGCACCACCCCCCTCCTCATCCGAACGCTCCAACCTCTCCCCCTCTCAAAGCACCATAACAATGGCGCACGGCGCGTCCACCGCAGCAGCTCCAAAGCCGCCACCGTGACCGCCGCGCCCGACCTCGCTGCGACGCAGGCCCCGCTCCCAGCAGCAGCACAAGCCGAAGCGCGCACCCCCGCCCTAGCAGTCCTCCCCCTCACCAGCGTCCTGCGCACCTACCTCATCACGCGTGTCTCGTCCTCGCCAGCGCTATGGGGGCTGTCGACCGCAATCCTGCGCCGCATGGCGAGCCCGTCCATTGCACTGATGGACCCGGACCGGAACCCCGTCTTGCATTGGCTGCTGCGGCACACGTTCTATGCGCAGTTCTGCGCCGGTGAGAACAAGGACCAGGTGCGCCGCACCGTGGCCGCCATGAAGGACGTCGGCTTCCATGGCATTATCGTCGAGAGCGCGATCGAGGTGCTGCCGGATGGGAGGGAGATACCGGGCCCGGATAGCGCGGCAACGAGAAAGGAGATTGAGACTTGGAAGAGGAATATGCTGGAGACAGTGGCGATTGCAGAGAGCGGGGCGTTTGTGGCGCTCAAGTACGTTGCTCCTGATTTCTTATTGTGTTTCTTGTCAAGGTACCCCAAGAATTGGGCTTAACGCGAGTGTCCTGCAGGTGGTCCGGGCTGGGGCGGTATGCGCTGCAGCTCTTGAAGTCGAACCAGCCACCCACGCCCGAGATGGCAGAAGCGATCCACGAGGTGTGCGAGCGGGCTGCGGCCAAGAATGTCGCTCTGCTACCGGGAGCGGAACATGAAACCACAAATGAGGGCATTGACTCTTGGACGTTAGATCTGGAAGCCCAGTACAACAGAACAGAACCTGGTTACGCGCTCATGTACAATACTTATCAAGCTTACCTCAAGTCCACGCCTGCAAAGCTCGCGCGCCATCTTGCTGCCGCGCAGAAGGATGGATACACCTTGGGCGTAAAGCTCGTCCGTGGTGCTTACCTTTCCTCCGAGCCACGGAATAGCATATGGAGTACCAAAGAGGAGACAGACCGGGCTTACAATGGTCTTGCCGAAGCGCTTCTCCAGAGGCAATATGGAAGTGCCCTGAAGCCCGCAGACGACGCAGCAAGCAAGCAATTACCGCCTATCGCTGTGATTATAGCGACGCACAATGCCGAGTCCGTTCGTAAAGTGCAGAGGCTCCGCAATGAACAAGCCGCGGAAGGGCGTTCACGCGTCAGACTGGCATATGCGCAGTTGCAAGGCATGGCGGACGAAGTAGGCTGCGAGCTCATTAAGTCGAAGAAATCGGCGAGTCTGGCTCAGGAAACGAGCGCGTACGGTCCGTTGTGGAGGAAGGTGGACATACCCAACGCATTTAAGTGCATGCCATGGGGGACGACAGGCGAGTGCTTGCAGTACTTGCTGCGAAGAGCTTCCGAGAACAAAGATGCAGCAACAAGGACGGAGGGTACAAGAAGAGCTATGGGCGCTGAGCTAAAGAGGAGATTGAAGGCTGCTATGTGGTTAGCATAGCTGATCGGATTAGAATGTGATGAGGTATATACCCTGCGAGCGTACCCGAGACATGGCTTCATCCCGTCATACTGAGATTAGATTGGCGAAACCACCGCGTTCTTCTCACAGCGCGGTGCAAACGCCTGGCATTAGTCTGGGTAGACGTATCCTGATATACGTGACCATCGCTTCACCCATTCAGTCCTTGTCTGCAATGGCCTGTGCTGTGGCCGGCGGATGCATGCCCGAAGTCGTGGGTCACGTCGCTGCTAAGGAAGAGTGCATCGAGACTCCGGTCAAAGAAGATAGAGATGTACCTGTCGCAGCCTGCGGTTAGCTGGGGAAGCTCGCGAGTTTGGCCGATGGAGCTACATACGACACCAGACTCGATAGCGGCATTTTCAGGGTGGCTGAGCAGGAGGCATGACTGAAGTATGATGGCGAGGCAGGGGAGAGGGCGGCGACGAAGAGAGGATGAGATTGTGATGCATTGGGAAAGGTGTTGAGGAAGCTCTGGCTGTCGCGACACCACGAGTCGGGCGCGTCGATACCCCAGCGAACTCATGGTCCGTGCACCGGCCGTGACGTGACGGACTTAGTCACGTGTTAGTGTCGAGAACTTCATACGGGACGACAACTCTGAACGTGCTTGAAATTTTCAAGATGCGCTGATTGGATGCCATTCGCTTCCTTTGTGGATTCGAGGAAAAATCAGGCCTCGTTTAAGTGGCTAAATGTAATGAACCAAAGCATTTTTCCATTGTCACCTTCCCCTGGCACATTATTTGTCGGTGATTTGCTTGATGAACTCTTTTCTTTGTTGATGTTATCGAATACTGCTTGTAATTCCTTCCTTAATCATTCTTGACATCTTCTTTTTCTGTCTGGAAGTAGTTGGTGTTGTGGCTCAGGTAAGAATGCGAGGGAGGCCGCGATAAGGCACAAGAAAAAGGCTGGGGAAGAGGGCGGGCAGTGCAAGCATTGTTACGTGAAAGAAAGGCGGGCTCGGTTGCTTATTGATATTAAACAATGGCCAGAAATCTACCGAGGAAGTCATCAGAGCCGGTGCAAGCCCAGACAGGTGCATTAATGTTAGCTTTTACCAGTATGTGAGTTTAGAAAAATAGAAAGCTGAGCAACTATCCAAAAGATCGCTTCATGGTGGATGATGAAGCATCTCGTTGCTTCGGAACATGGGTCTTTTGGACCCTGGCTCGTGCCTGAGGCTGTGAATCGGTTCTCCAAGCGACGACTTACCGACTTCACCAACGTCCTGCGATTCCGAGGTGTTTATTAACACGACGTTACCACCCATATATAAGTTAGAAACAGGTGGTTTTGCTTGCACAGTTAGCTCCCCATGCTGCGGTGTCAAAATCCCGTGCATCGCAATCTGTAGGCGGACACGCTGCATCCATCTCATCCCATGTCCATACGCAGGATACCCCTTTATCACCTGTGCGAAAATCGGCGGAATGCTGAAATCGAGGCCCATTTCGAAGGTAATGGGAATAACGCACCAGGCGCTCAACGGTGAGGCCGTTCGGGCTGCGATTTGTGGATTGCAGGAAGAGAGAACTACCACGGCCAGTGACGGCGCACTCTACTATCCCATATCCGCCGTGCAGTTGCCTCGAGAGCTTGTCAACCTCGCGGTTGGAAGGCTTGGTTGACGTGGCTGCAGCAGCGGCAGGAGGGGAGGCATTGTGCGCAGACAATTCGAGGTAGTTTAGCCCAAAGGAAGGATGATAGGAGTCGAAGACGGCTTTAATGAGTACCACATGGGCGTCTTGCGAAGGCTTATAACCGTATGATGGCTGCCTTGGAGGGTAGTGCCTCTCGGTGTGGTAGGTAGTTGCTGGATCTTTCCTTGTGACAGGGTTGGTGGCTGTTGCACCCCTAGGCGAACGTGGCTGGGGGGGAGTCGCTGCCCCCTTAGGCTCCCCCAAGTTCACCTGGTCAACCCTTACGCAACAACCATTCCGCAACCACCACCCTCCCCAACACCACACCACCCCCAGCCGCTTACGACAGCCAGGCTTGTGCTCTGTTTGCGATGCTGCATGTCGCTAGCTTTCAGTGAGCCGCCCATCGCTCCATCCCTAGCCGCACCCTCAAGGGCCTCTGTCCATTGCGCGGCGTTGCCAAGTCGCCCCTCTCCCCTACCAGCAACACCACCACAGCCTAGGGCGTAGCCCGACTGATGATGGGCGGAGATGAAGAACCATCAACTAGAGAGGCCGCTCGAGAGACCTGCAGCGAGCGGAACGATCGGAAGCGTCGTGGTGGGCGAGGCTCTCACCCCCAAGGTCTGTCCATCCCGCACCTCCGCACCCTCTGAGCACACACGTTGCTCAACCCCCCAAAGACACATCGATTCCCTCTCCTTAAGGCTTCATTGATGATTGAGTGACTGGTAAAAGCTGACTGCCAGTCTGACAACAGCTCAATGGTCGCTCTTCGTTTGGCTGCCATCAACGCCCTCACTACCTCGGACGCGACAGCATCCTTGACGGACATCCAAGAGGCCAGGCCGCCCATCAGTCGCATTGCCACGACAGAGCCAAGAGCGTGAAGACCATGAATAAGCAGTCCGCGGGGCTGTGATCGTCAGGTCCATTGTGAGTCGCCTCTTTCAAGCCTCACTTCTTCCACACAAAGAACGAAAGATTTCACGACTCGAAGGCGACCAACCTCCTTAGTCCACCGTTTCTTTGCCATTTGGCCGGTCGCGCAGCCACAGAGTCGACCTTCCGTTGAAAAAGACGCCACCGGACATATACCGATGGCAATCAGCGTTGGATATCGCTGCAACATCGATCTTTTCGGGATCCGAGCTCCAGACTCATCAGCCTCGTCAATATACAAGAGCATAGACCAGGCCGGTAATGTTTCTCGTCAATGAACATCCTAAAAGTACGAACAGCTGTGCCGGAACAGCTGCTCGACACGTTCACTTGGCCCACCGCAGACCCGCTCGTCTGAGGACAGATTGTTAATCTTGAACCAGTCAGCTGCAGGACTGTTAGCAGGCTGAACTGATCGGCCTGCACCCGATGGCCTGCCCTTGGCTGCCTTCCTCGCAATTTCCTGAACAGCGGCGGGTTGTGCCCGACCAGGGTTACCATAAAGATGACCTTGCATTCTCAGACCGACTGTTCCTCGACCCCAGCCCCGCGAGAGCTCGTCACGGTACCACCAAAGCTCGTGGCCCCTACCATCCGACGACCTCCACATCATGGCTCGGCTGAGACTCTTTCGACTATCCCAGGCTTTTCTCAATCATGTCGAAAGGTGCCTCAGACAGAGCCTCAGACGGAGCCTATGCAAATCCTCACGGTGTATTTCTGACCATAACTCAACCCAGTCAGGGGGACTTCCTGGTTTCAACAACAAACCCTGATACAATACGACGTTTGGGAATTGCTGGAGTCTTGAATCTTAGACCACGATGGACCATGTCTTTCATGTGGCAGGAGAAGATGGTATTTCAGGTCGAGAGATACGGATCCTGAGATGGTGTGTTGGAAAATGTCAAATGTCCAAGCTCCTTCAACCTTGAAGCGTCCATAGATCCAATATGAGACTGTTCCTCTCTAGCCGGGGCTTGGCCCCGTGCATCTCTTGCATCTTGTGATTCTCTTGTCTGATTTTCGTCTTCTCTTTTCTTGTTACTTCTTACTAGAGTCTTTTCAGATTTTTTCCTTCTCTTCATGTTTTATGTTCTCGAAAGTCATCTTTCCTCTTCTTCACTAGTCAATCTTTCTTCCTCGAGCTCATCTCTTTGAGCCTTTTTCTTATCTCTGTCTTTCTGTTGTCAAGTACCTGGCTGTCATTCGTGCAGCACGTGTGAACGCGCCTTCTCTGTGTCCTTGTAATTCGTTCCCCTTGTGGCAAAGAGTACCTGGCTGCATCTATGCGGCACGTGGGAATGAGTCTTCTTTGTGTTTTTGCTGTCTCTTCCTTCTGTAACGATAAGTACCTGACTGCTATACATGCGGTGCGTGGGAATACGTTGTCTCTGTCCTCCTGTCACTTGTTTCTTTCCGTGGTAACTAGTAGCTGGCCGTATCCATACGGCATGTGGGAATAAGTCTTTTCTGTGTCCTTGTCGTTCGTTATCTTCTTTGTCGACAAGTACCTGACCGCCGTACAGACAGTACGTGGGAATGTCTCTTTTCTATGTCATTGGTTGTCAATTCTTATGGCGATGAGTACCTGGTCGGCCATGAGTGCGGCATGTGGGAATGAGCCTTCCGTTTGATTTCTTTGACTGTTTCATTTTTTCTGATCCAATAAGTACCTGACCGCATTAATGCGGTACCTGGAATGCGTCTTTCCTGTCTCTTTCCCTTTTACTCCTTTTTGTGCCCAAGAGTACCTGGCCGGACATTCGTACGGCACGTGGGAAAGTGTCTTTTGTGCGCGCTTGTCATTGTTTCGTCAAGTGTCGATGAGTACCTGGCCTGTTTGGGTAAGTGGGAAGTGTACTGTTTTTCAAGATTGAGTACCTGGTCTGTTCAGACACGTGGGAACGTATTTCTTTTTGAATTTAGTACCTGGCCTGCTTAGGCATGTGGGAATCGTACTGATTTTTCCAAGAGTTGAGTACCTGGCCCTACTCAGGCATGTGGGAATGTATTTCTTTTTAAATTTAAGTACCTGGCTTTTTCAGGCACGTGGGAATCGTACTGTTTTTCAAGTGTTGAGTACCTGACCTAGTTGGGTATGTGGGAAGGTTTTTCTTTTAAAGTTGGAGTACCTGGTCTGATCGGACATGTGGGAAATGTACTGTTTTTCAAAAGTTGAGTATCTGGCCTGCCTAGGCATGTGGGAACGTGTTTCGTTTGAAGTCTGAGTACCTGGCCTGACCGGGCATGTGGGAAATGTGCATCTCCGATCGAGTACCTGGCTGCTTGTTCGGCAGCATGTGGGAATTTCTTTTCGGCTTGTTATTCTTATAAGTCTTTCGTTTTCCCATCTGCTTTTTGTTTGCGGTATCGATTGCTTTCCTGGAATTACGGTCTCAGTTGAGCTTTTTCCAGCTTTTCCTCCTTCAAATTATCCTATCTTCATGAAGATGTTCCTCTGTCTCATTACCAGTCAATCTTTTAGCTCGCATTTTCTTGAAGTATTCTCTTTTTTTTCCTGGCCACACGGTCACAAAAAGTCTTGTCCACTTTTCTCTTCCTTCAATTATCATTGAAGATATTCATTCTCCTCATCCACCGTTGATAGTCAGTTTTCTGACTAACTCTTTCTTGAAACTCTCTCTCTCTTTCTCTTTGCTCTTGGAGACACCGTTTCGGTCAAGTCATTTTCCATCATTGAAGTCTTTCTGCTTGGACGTCCTCTTTTCTCTCTTTTCCAGTGCAGCTTATCAGCGAGTCCATGGCCGAAAGTTTCTTTCCAAGTCATCCTTATCGCTGCCTCTATCATGAACTTTCTTTCTTTTGCTTTCCGAAATCTGTCTTTACCAAACCCTTGGATGATTTTCTCTTGTTTGACCTTGTTGGTTTGGCATTTGAGCTTGAATCTTTCTTCTATGATCTCAAGTGAGATGCCTCCAAATCTTCAATGTCTTCTCATGTCATTCTCTTTTTGCATCTCTTTTCGCAACTCTTTCTTCTCATCCCTTTCCTTTGCATCTCTTTCCTTTGTGCCTCCTTTCTTTGTATATCTTTTCTTTATGTCTTATCATCATCTCCTTTGCCGACTTCTTCCTTTAGTCGCTTTTAGTCATCTCGTCTTGGTGCAATTTCCTAGCTCTTCCATCATTTCCCAACGTGTTTTCCTTGTCCATCATCTTTATCCAGTTCTCTCTCTTCAGTTCCTCTTGATTATGATATCGAGTCTCTTTCAAAGCCATGTGCGCATGGTCTGTGCTGGACCTGATGCTCCGGAAGGTCTCGTAATGTAAGGGTATGCGGGCTGAAGCCGTCCAAGACATCGGGGTAGCTGCTACGGGAGCTTTCGGGGGAGCCTCAAGTGAGATTACTGTAAGCACATCTTGACGCCTTCTCCGTAACCGAGCATAAACTTCACTGAAGAGCTTAGTTAGGGATCCTGGCAAGCGCTGTCAACATAACAATTACGGCTATGGATTGTATCGAGACATGGGGGCACTTCCAGGACCTAAAGTAGGCAAAGACGAAGGTTGGGAAAGCGCAAAGTGGAGGGAGACACTTGACGCCAAAATCCGCGACCGCCCATTTCTACGCTGCCATACCGTTATTGTCTTGCTCGATGTATTCTCTTTGGGCGGATATTGGAGAATACCAAGGAAGAGTCGTACTTGGGCGGAAATTATTATACCTATCGCACACCAGGGATTCAGTATCAGCATGTCACAGCGCTGGAAACACTATCAAGTGAGGCAAAGCTTTACTGCGCTATTGGTCTATTACCACTGGACCATGCTCCCTGCCTGACCGCACGTTGACATGAAGCCATATCTCAGAACGAAGGGCTAGGCCGACGATGAATAACCGCCTGAGGAGCGGAGCGGAGGGTTTGGCGAGTGTGAGGTGGGATTGCCACCACCAAGGCATCGTAGTACCGGCCCTAAGGCAAAGCAGGACGGTGTCTAATCGATTCGGGGCTTGCGATACTTGGTGGAACTACAAGACGCATCTCGCAAGTATGACCTGTTTGGAAAAATGCACGGAGTTAGACTTTGATCTTCTTAATCTCTCTTGGGAGCACCGTCTATCGCCTCTGTTCCATTGACTTACCATTGGCAATGCGCAATGAAGGTCGCTCAGCGCTATGAACCTCAAGGCGTCATCCCATTGCGGGGTCTCGAGCCTGAACCCGAATTTTTGTCGCGGAGTCTGTCGCTGTGGCAGGCGTTGTCAAAGTCGGAGAAGATGTACCAGCACCTGTCCTTCCTGTTGCTCCCCAAGTGCTGTTTCAAGTTGACATCGCCGTACTTGAGGTTTGTCGTAAGCATGCTGGGAGGGCTCGACCTCAGCCATTTGCCGGCATTTCCAATCCTCAATCCTTCAGTGCCCAGAGTTGAGTATCCATGTTCCGACCCAGTCTATCCTGTCACATCGTCAGCTCTTGCGGTTGTTGCCGGAGGTTGGAGAGCCTTCGGATCGTCATAGACCAGTCCTTTATCCTTCAGATCGTGCAACTTGCCGTTCACCGCGGTTGCGGAAGGCTTCCTTGCTTGACTTGAATCAGAGCTAAAGTACTGAGCGAGGCTTTGTGATGGTTCATGTGAAGCACGGCTTCCTGTTCGATCGACCCCTATGCCCTTGTCAGTAGAACGGCCCAAGACGAAGGACTCTGAGCGAGAACTGCCTACCAGATCATCGGCCTTGATTTACAGTAGTCACCTGCCATCTCCTCTTGCAAGTCTGGTGCTTGCGGTCGTGAGCCTGCTTTGCTCCGGTTGAGCCGATGTCCTGCCAACAGTAGCGCTCGCTCTGCCCCGCCGCCTTGAGCCTCCTGCCCGCCTCTCCTGCTGTTTTGGGAGAAAGTTGTCTCCCTGGCTTGAAGTATAACACTGTGGTAGTTTCGAGCGGCATCAGCCTTTTGCGCTTGAAAGAACGCTTCACGGAGATGTTGTTTGCTTGCTGTCGGATGAAGGCTTTGTGCGGCAACCTGCAGGCGGATACCCACCTTCCTTGTCAGCGCCCGTTTTGAATTTATCAACAGCCGTATTTGCGCGGCTCCCGCGATGGCCAAATGGTGTTTTGTCTTCTTCTGCGTTTCGCGCTGAAGGTTGTCTGTCGCCATGCGTAAACCTGCGCTCACCGTCAGCTGGTCACCAGTTTGCCGTCCAAATTTGACGCTGTCTCACATATCTTACCGCCATGAGCGTAATACTGTTGGCCGAAAACTTGCCAGTGGAAGGGCTACAACGAAGCTGGGCTGTTCACGGTGGCGGAGGTACGGTCTGGTGCTCCTTGGGCGGCATCTTCGCAAAGCGGTCTTGCTGTCAGGGCTTTTGCGTGAGGTCTTTCGTTGCCCCTGAGAAGAGCGTCACTTCTCGTCATCGCGCATGTTATGGGCTTTGGATGGTGTTGCGAACGGGGCCGTTGTTTGGTGTTTTCAGAGGAGGGCTGCAGCTGCTCGCCGTCGCGCGGCGCCGACGCTTGCGCTCCTGAGACCGAAAGTCGACCGGCCTGGATGATGAGGGCCAAGGCCTAATGCTGCTGTTCAGTCAGTGTTGGTTCATCAATCTCGGAGAAGGGGGTAGGTGATGTGGTCCAGGAAGACGTGTCGCGGCAGCTCGTCGATGTTGCCTATTCCCAGCCACGAGGCTCGACGGGCTGCAGGGGCTGAGCAGAGCCCATGAAGGCTGACCACGCCGACATCACTGCGTGTTGATCTCTCTTTTCCGAAATGTCGTTGACGTGCGGTTGTCGGCCAGACCTGGTGTCGTAGCTCAGGATCGCGAACGTGTGTTGGCTTTGATGGTGAAAGTCAGCGCTCCGAGGACGCCACGCTTGAGAGATCCGTGCAATGGACTTCCCATCCAGCAGATTATAAGGTTCCACTGCTGCTGAATTGCATATTTGGCTGTGGTTCGTCATGCTGGTGTTCATGAGCTTCAGTGGTGCGCGCCTGATGGTCTGGTGGGCCGGCTGCGGCCTTGCCTTGGAATAGCAACACAGCGAGCCTCCCACGCCACCGCAGTACAAGCTCGCGGACAAGACTCTGCCGCTTTCACAGACGGGATATTTGCGATTGTTGATTCCTTGCCTTATGGGGGCTCAATTCCAGCCCCTAGAACGTGATTTTTGGTAGCCTTCTGTGTCGCCGCGCCCACGACAGAGCTCAACCGTCACCGCGGGCTTACCACCAACGGATTATGGCATGGCTAATAGGAGGAAAGCTATAAGAGCTTGGCTAAGAATCGTTTCGAGTGACGTTTAAGTCTGCTATTGTGTGTTGCGTGGCATCGTTGCTCTCAACACCGTGCCATCAAGACTGACGCTGTGCAGCGAAGTCCCTTCCACAGGGTAATTCACGCCTCAAGGTCTCATGAGGGCACATATAATAGTTATGGGAGCAAAATGTTTCTTTACAGAATGAGCTACATGCCTAGGATCACGAGCTTTGTCACAGTAGGTACAGGCCGGTCCAAAGGCCCAAAACGACGCTCACCCTTGGGACAGGCGACCTGCTCCCACAGAGTCTCAGAGTTGCAAAGGTACCAGGCATGAACAGTTAAGTTTTCTTCCTCGAAGCTTTGCGCAAGGCAAAAGCGACAATGAAAAAAAGAATCCCCCGGCCCAGTGATAGAGCTCGAGACCCGCCCACCCGCTTCTGTCGTGAGCGAACGTCCACTAGGCAAGGAACCGCCATGATGAAGACCTGCAAAGAGTAATCAAGGGTTCGAAAGGGGAGAAAAGGAAAGGATCAAACCAAAACCCCTCGACGAATCGAGGAACCCGCCCACCCGCTTCTATCGTGAGCGAACGTTCAAAGATGAAAACCTGAAAGAGATAGATCAGCAAGTTCACAAAAGAAGAGGAAGGGGGCGGGCATTTGATCAATTTAAAACGATACACCAGTGAAGAAGAAAAAAGAAGAAGAGGAAGAAGGGTGGGAGGAGGAGGTACTTATAGATGACGAGGGAGCTCGCTTAGCTGCCCGGGTCTTCGGCCGGCCCACTGCTCTAGGTGACTGCCCGGGAGGAAGGAGGGGGCGGGGGACGGCGGCCGCTGCTGCGCCTGCCCTTTTTGAGCGGCCCTCTAGCTGCTACGCACGGGCTTGAGGTGCCGAGTGACTGCGAAGAGCTGCCGCCGCCGCCGCCGCCGCTGTGATGCTTATGCAAGTGAAGAGCTTGAAGTGCACGCTGGGACCCTGTACAAGTCCGGCACTGCTTGATTGCCTGCGGGATTCGGGAGAGGACAGACTCCCTTGTCCGCGAGCGAGGCGAGGGCTTCATGCTCACAGATGCTCACAGGCAATCAGTTCCTCAATGCCCAGGGCAACGTGCTCGAGCGCTTTTGGAACTACACAGAGTATGGGATGCGGAGATGGCACAATGCGGCGATGTCACGATGAGCTGCTCAGGAAACTCAATCGCTTAGGCATTGCACTATGGAAACTCATTCAACGGCACTGGACGCACCGCGACTGAGAGAGGGCTATCAACTCTTTCATGTTTGAGACAATCAGAGAGGTCACCGGGCGTGTGCTGCCTGGATGAGCTTGGTTTTGGCTCAATCAGGCTTGTGGAGTAGCTTTTGCACGCTTTTGTTGCTGTGAACCCGTTCATCACGATCAGTGTCAACTCTCAGGGCAATCGCGGTTCAGTCTTGATTCTGGCTCAAGCAGATTATCTTGAGGGAGAGAGAATAATCTGATAGCTCTACCGCAGCTCCGCTCTCCACTCACGGCCTCCCTCCCAGCAATCTTTCCCAGTACCGGCTGTATCCATAAGCCCAATGTAGAGAATCCATCGACAACCAGATCTCCATGTGCTTCATTCTACCCGTAAACCAACCCGCTCCATCTGTTCTCCGTGACGTAGCTCAGTGGCGGAGGAGGTAGCGGATCCCGAACCACATCATCAACGGCATCACAATGAGGCCGGTGCCAAATTTTGCGAGACGTGAAGCCTGGTAGCCGTTCTCGCGATCAGTGATGAGATACCACTGCTCTTCTCAAGGTCAGCCAAACTTCCACCAAAACGTTCTCCACTACCATCGCATGACATACCATCAAGCTCTATCATGAGCCTCTGACCGATCTTCATCTTGAGCTGGAGCAAGATGGCGGCATGAATCATGGTGGCTCCGGAGGCCAGGAAGGAGTTCTCGCGCCTGTTGGCCGCAAAAGGCTTGACGAGTCTCCACGCGATCACGAACATGTACATGTAGAATGAGATGATTTCGGTGATGTCCTCGTACTCCTCGTTGGGGATGTCGAGAATGGTACCATTGTACACGCCGGAGAAGGGGGTGGTCATTTTGGGAGGCGGTCTCTTCGTAGAGCGCGTTGGACGCGGGTGCGAGGTTGCGAGGTTGCGAAAATGCGAAGACGGGCGCTGGAGATTGGGGAGGAGGTGGCGGCAGTGAGATGAGCTTGGAGCTGATTGCCGTCAATGGAGCGTTGGCGTTGGCTGGCGTTGGCTACGATGACGAAGAAAATCTGGGCGTCAAGTTGCGTTTTCTTGCGGCAAAGTGAAAATGATAATTACAGCAGCAACAATTCGTTTCGGCGAAGCCAGCTCAATGGAAGTTCTTTGGTTTATGGCATTCATGACAGGGTGCCTTGACGGCGCTTGACATCGCAACCGCGCCTTTGCTGTTAAGGGCAGCATTGCCGGCACCACTGGCTACAAAAGCACCTCAAATCACAGATTATGCACTTTTACAACAGCTTTGATCATCTATGGCCCTACAAACAGCGTTTTCAGCTTTTTCGCGGCATCCCAGCGCTTTTCTGGGAGTCCTCCAACTCTGGGCCGCGAGAGTGTTAACACAACGAAACTTCCACCACGGAAATGCCGTCCTCCTGCCTCTCCACACTCCTACATGAAAGCAATCTACCATTCCAACCCTTATGGCTTCGTCGTGTTCCCACCTGTCCTGTCGGCGCCTTTCTTTCCCCTTCCGTTGTCGCTGAGATACCCTACTTCGCTTCCCGACCATAGCAAATCCGAATTCCGCAACTTAGTCCGTCCAGAGGTTGACACCGTGGCCTCCAGCAGGCGCTCATTTCTCAACAGTATGCGTCTTTGGCCTTCGAAGACTGAGACGCCGTATACACGCCAGTGTTGCGCCCAAATGGAATCCACCGCCTCCTCGCTCGTTTCTCCAAGTCCGGCGCCAGCGCCGTACATTCAAGCGCAAAGCACCGCAAAGCCAAAAGTTTAGCTGGATAGCTACCGTCTGGTACTCTCTGGAGTCGCTGTCCTTGAGGACAATGTCGATCCTGGGTCCGTAAAAGGCGCCATCGCCCACGTAGATGATTCACTTTTTCCGTTGTGCTCCAGCCCCGCCTTCCGCAGCCCTTCGATCTACCTCTTTTCATCGCTATCTTGATGTGGTGCTTCTCTGATCGCGTCGGTAGCACGAATGTGTGTGAGAGATTGTTGGCTTTCGCATCCGAGGGCTTGTGATAGACGACGACGTTCTGGTGCCGAGTCTGTCTAGGTTGGTGTAAGGATGGAAACTACGGGTTTAATACTTTCCGTCGCTGCTGATAGTCTTGTTGCGCCGGGTGGTGTTTGGGAGGCAGGCTGTCCAGATTTGCGGCGTCGAGACGCGTTGCTGGGGGCTGGGCTCGTCGCGCCTCTCACGCTCCACGCTCTATACTGAGACTATTAGCAAAATAGATGACGAAAGATGGAAAGCGGCTTACCGTAAGCCGTCTTCTGTCAGTAGAGAAGATGTTGCTGCCATAGTGGTGGTTGGAAGGTGGGTGGTTTTTGAAATCTCGTGGTCGCTGGACGCCGGCCGCCTCAACTCCAGCGCTGACGGGAGCAGCATCTCAAAGGACAATTATTGTCTCGCTCGCTTCTAAGGGTAATTGATGCGATACTTGTTCGTATTCTTTGAGCCTACCTATGTCAAGTGCTCAATCTCAATGTTTCCTGTTTATCCACCAGCAGCACCGCGCCCACCGGCTGTCCGACCGCATGAACTCAACACCAGATCACAGCAACCACGTCCTACAGAGACTTCAGACTCAAGCGCACCCGACCGTCAAGCAAGGACACGGAGCAGAAGAGTTCCCTCAAAGGTTTTAAAGACATTGGAGGAGATGAAGAGTCAAAGTCAGAGTCTTCTTCGAGGGCCCAGGCAAGCTGAGCAGCTCAATGAAAACAAAAGAAGGTCGCGTCATCCCGAAACAGTGCAATATGGGCGACACAGTGGCAGCGACAACCGAGCGAAAGCCCAGATGCCGCCGCGCCGGTTCCAAAAACTGGTTGATTTTGGGGCCTCCGTAGAGGCCCTTACAGCGATACAGAAAATCTCAGCCAAATGGCAAAGAGAACTGAAGAAGAGAGGAGGGTCGGGGAGTGGAGGCGTTTATATAGTCCAAGGGGTGGTCCGTGCCAGCTTCGGCCATCACACGCTAAGCCGTTTTCGCGGCGTGATTGCTTCGTGATGGGTGATTTCTTGCCTCTCTGCTCGCTTAATTGATCTCATGGTGCGTTTGGAAAGTACTGGAAGCATCTGGCATGTGTGAATGAAAGCGGACAATAGATATGTCGTCGTTGGGGGAGGGGGGCAGGGTGCGGGTGAAAGCATGATGCTGCGGAAAGGAACGGGCAGCGGCATCCTAATCACCACATGGAGCTTTCGAAGAGAGTGCTAACAATAGCAGCACTCCTCATTCTACTGGTGAGGATTCTTGATAGGTCTAAGCCGCTACTGTGGGTGTTCGACCCTGGACAGCCCAGGGCGCATCTTCAGAATTGAACTCGAGATATTTAGAACTACTCTATACCACGGCCGTTCTAAAGCAGAAGAATAGCAGCTAATTCGAGGGATTGGGTTCTTACTGCCTTGATTTCAGCAGCCGGTACGCAATGATTCAGTGTACTGCCTCCAGCGGCACTTCACCAAGCCCGTGAGACGCAGCAGCGGTAAGGCGCTGACCAAGCAGGTCCCATAATGCCGCATGGGGAAACCTCCCACCACAGGCTACCTACGTATATAAATCAAAACAGCGGGAATAGCTTTCGCCTTCGGGCAGATAGTGAAATTAAAACGATACAGAGAAGACCAGCATGGCCCCTGCACTAAGGATGACATCAAGAGTCAAAGAGATTGCCTATTTTTTTGGTATTTCTTTTTTTGGCTGGTCGTGTGTTCGAATCCTGCCGTTGTGATTGGTGATTGAGGGTTTCACGCAGCATTTTTACCAGCACCAGCATGAAAGTAACAGGCACGTAAGCAGTCGGCAACGGCACGAACCATATGCGCCGGTACAACGACAACGGACATCAGCATCGGTGGCAGCAGGAAGTATGACGGGCTCGTGATTGGGTGCCACAGTTCCCGCTGACAACAGCGCTTGACACGACGGTTTATAAAGCGCGTGAGAAGACGCTGGAGCGCGTCGTGCTGAGTCTTGGGACGGAGTTCACACCCAATTTAGTGACGTTGTGCTCAGATAGGGTATGCTGGCGAGCATTTCAGAGGTCTGCCGAAGTGGTTATGGGTCGGATGAGGCTATGAAGAGGGACGCAGAGCGGCAATTTTGTTAGGGGGCTTGGAGGTGATGAGGGTCGACGGTGTTTGACGCTGGTGCTGAACAGCTGTCTGGCTTACCGACGGAGTTTTGATTGAACGGAAGATGATGAAGACTTATCAAGAGGGCCGCAGCTTAGTGTCCAATTGCCTCAAACAGGGTCTATCCTCCACACCACCAGTATTTTGGTTTCGCTTAGCTCTCCTGAAGCTCCCTGTTCCAGGTGTTCTTAAAGAATGTAGTTTAATCACTGTTCAGAGTTCGGAGAAACGTTCAAAGAGACTTGATTGCTATCCTAAGTAGCCTATGTCAGCGCCTTTGCGCGTCTTGGCAGAAGCAGACGTTTATCTGAGAACATTATGACGCGGGCGAGGCAGCGGGCGCACTAGAACTGAGGTCAGTAGCAGAACAAGTCTCCAACCAACTGTGCCCTTTACCTAGCGCGAAACCGGAGTAGGGCTGCAGACCTGACGACGGAGGTCGTCGTCCTCACGAGGGCGAGGGCCTTGGGGGCGCCTCTCTACCCTTTTCGCAACCGTCAGCGGGCATTTTGAGGTACGATGGGGCGGGGTGGGACGCACTCGGGGTCGCCGAGTACGCAGAGGAACTGGAGGATCCTCTTGAAGGAAATGCAGCTCATTTTGGCTGATTGAGAGGCGAGGTGGGGGCGTGTGTTGTGGGTTTGGGGGTTGGTCTTTGTGAGCTGTGGTGTTCGCGTTGGTGTTGTTGTTTGCTAAACTGGATTGTCTGTGAGATGCGATGTAGAAGTTCCAAGTCCACGGGGCTTCAGTTCGGCCACGCGCCGCTTTCACCGCATGCACGGGGGTTTGCTATTCGAGCACCTTTTCCTATCCAACTTTGTCTGGTGCGCAGCCTTTTCCCCGTCAACGTCGCGCTGCAATCCTGCCGACAACACAACTTAATGACAAGCTCCAGCGGACAACGCGGCAGCCTCCAACCACTTCGGCACTTCACAACACCATTACGTCGCAAGCATCTCCAGACCTATTGGATCATATCATCCTTAAGCAGGTATGAATCGTTCGATGACTATGCCCTTCGCTCATCCATAACTGCCTAAAAAGACACCAGACTTCAAGTTACAACATGAGCTGACGCCCCCAAGAAGATCTCCAGGTCTGTCACCATGTTATCCCTCACACGCACTTGAACGTTTTCATGACCACTCGAAACAAGCCTACACAACTCTTCAGAGCTCTCACGCTCTCTCAGGTAAACCGCTTCAGCAAACCCACCGAAATCCTTTCTTCGCTCAACGGCAGACCCATCTTCAGCAACAGTTAGACCTACGTGACTACGTCACAACATCACCATGGTATAAATAACCGAGTTTCAAGAGGGAGTGCGAACACCGCGTCTAATACGCGGGCTATAGCCTGGAAGACAGTGGGCCACAACTCCATCAACAAAATGCAGGGTTGCCCCATCTGCAACTCTCGTGTTCGTCTGAGCTGGGGCCGTTCTCAGAACAACTCTGGCCCTACAGGGCACCCCTTACAGGCCCGCACCTCCCCCGCCTGTCTATCCCAACACGGGCTTGCCACCTATCGGTCACATCACCAGCTGCCCAGCAGCGGACACAGGTCCCAGAAGACCTCTTTGAAGCCCAAGAAGCCTCAGTACCGCTAGTACGTCCTGGTCATATACTACAAGCTCACCGTGACGACGTTTGCCAATACGGAAAACATCTGTGACAGCACGACCACGACCAACAACACCATGCCATATATCAAGCGCGAAGAGACAGAGTAGGGAGCGCACGCCGGTGCGGCAAGTCGTCGTAAGCACATCCCATTCGCTCTCCACACCACCACGACTCACTGACCAGTACCACACAGAACACTGCTTCCAAGACCACACAAATCGTTGAGTTCAGAGAAGGGGAAACCAGGTTCATTGTCTGATGGAAATCCTTAGAGAGCTTTACGATAAAGATAGAGAAGCAAGGTATGTACTCCCAGCCCCGAAGATGTTCAAGCTTGTGCGATACTAATTGCTACCACAGGACTCTTATTTTCGTGGAACGTCAAGCAGGTGCGGAAAACTTGTTGAGCATCCTGTTGAAGAAAGGACATTGGGGTCTGGCAGCTGGTGCAGCGTTGGAAGACGACCGCTCAGCCCATCAGGTTATGGATAATGAGAGTGTGTGGTATGGACTCACTGGGTTTCAAGAGAGCGTGCGAAGGTTGCGTTTTAGATGCGGTCAGCAGCTGGAAGACGGCTGCACAGCAGATCATGGACAATGTGGCCGTGGCCGTGGCAGCGGTGGTGGGCGGTATTGTCTGCGCTCCGAGCTGTCGGGCACCAGCGCCGTAAGACGACAAATAGTAGCGCTAACAAGCGATGACTACAGAAGGAAGTGTGCTGTGGATACACACAATCTCATATCTTCGCCCATCCCAAGTTCAGCAGCACGCACGGCGTCCCCTGTTCAGGCTGCTCAGACTACTGCTCCTCCCTAACCCTCGGCGTCAGCTCCCCTGCGCAAAATAGGCAGCAAACGCAAGCGCTCCGAAGACGACACGCCCATTTTAACCGCAATCACGGCTGACAAATCCGACACCGACACCGACGCCTCGAAAGGGCACCAGGCCACAACTACGCTCTTCAGTCTCCTCCTACAGCCTAGTTCGCTAGCTCCCGCTTTGCGTGGAGCAGCGTGTACATGCTGTGCGACTATGCGAACCTGGCGCGACAACGCCTGTTGGTCGGCAAGGGCTGGGACGTCACAATAGAGAAGAACAAGGGCAAGAGGATCGTTTATATGCGCTAGGATTTGGAGACGGATGATAGGCAGGTGGAGCAAAGAAAGGAGAAATAATTGCGAAGTGAGTGATCAGTGAGCTATGGGCCTGCTTCTCTAGTTTTATTCTTCTTGTTGATTTATTTCTAGTAACTTCTGCAAGGAAGTGAGCCCACAGTGCATATAGCGTCTTTATTCTTCGATTGGGCTGCGCATCTTCTGCTTTGTTCCGTTCTATAACCTTCAACTCTTACATCGCCATACCACCGACGAGCGGCACAAAACGTGTCCTTTGAACATCTAGTTAAACTTCACAAACCCACACTCTGATCCAATCAGGTAAAAAGATCTATCCATCCACCTGCCCTACTCACCGCCCACTCCAGGGCGCATTTGCATACTAGACTTACCAGTAAAAGCAGGTAGTATCTTTACCCCAGCCGCTCACCCCACAACCCCACCGCACAACGCCTACTCGTCATAAAAAAGCACCGCACATAGCTTCCGACACCCAACACAAGCATCCGCCCGCCCACCAGCAACGTCCCAACCCAGCAATCCTCCCTCGTGAGTCGTGACTGCGAATTGCGCGAGAATCTTCACTGGAACACGAGACCGGAAGGAATGGCCAGGCTCTCGCGCCTCACGACACATCTCAGGAAAGAAACCCCCAAGAAGCCGAGAAGTCGCCTAAGTGATAACGGTTGTACACTCGCAGCAACGACAACGAACGCCGCCACCATCGCATACTCGTATTCACCACCGCTGACCATCAGTGCTACTGACCACCACCTTTCCGGTTCAGCCTCCTTCATGCTACCTACCTAGTGAGTTACGATTCCGTGTCCGCGTTAATAGCAGAGTACTTGCTTTTCCAGCCCCTTCGCCCCCACGCTTGGATCTCGAGTCCTGCATTAATTTCACCAATTCCATGGCACTTGACGCGCTGGTAGTCCTCTGGGATCGCAAGGCACCAACACGCACAAGACTTTTATAAGGGTTTATCGTTGGGGTTTGGCACTACCGCTCCACCCCTCCCATACCCTTACCCTCCCTCCCTTTACCCTCCCCTCCTCTCTCTCCCCTTACGCTCCCTCCCCTCTCCTCTTCATACCCTTACATCCCTCCCCGCCTCCACCCCCCGGTCCACCTGCCCGCCCACCCACTACGTCCCACAGACATAGCCACTCGTGCAAACCGCCAAATCGCCCGCCAGCCACGGCCACTGCTCCCACGTAACCTGGCGCCCGACGACGGCTCTCTCCGGCTCCCGCTCTAGACGGCTGATCCCCGCGCGCACCTCGCGCAACCACGCTTTATCCGCCTCGCTCACTCCTTGCTCTCTTTCTTTCCCCGCCCCCTCCTCCCCCGCCAAAAACGCCAGCCCTTCCAGCCCCCGTCCCCACACCACCGCCTGCTCCCACAGCAGCTGCCGCCAGGACAGCGGCTTCTTCGTCCGCTCCCAAGGGACACCGCCTTGCAAAGCCGTACGCACACGGACGCTCCACTCGCCGCGCCAGCGCCGACTGCGCAGCAGATGCGCGAGCGCAAGCTGGTGCGTCTCAGTGCCACAGACGGCGTCCGCGCCATCCGCATACGGGCCCACGGGATCGACTCTGCGGCGGGGGAGCGGGCTTCTGTCGACGGCGCCCCACGCTCTGTTCTGCGTGGCGAAGCACGCCCAGTCCGGGACGCAGTACTTGATGTAGTCGAGGCGGGCGTCGAGGGCCGCGGAGGCGGGGACGGGCGTCCCGTGGATAATGGCCCGTATTAAAGCGCCCCCGAACAGGCTGCCGTACACCGCCATGTGCAGCACTGTGGCGCTGGGCTCGGCGTGCAGCGTCCACGCGTCGCTGACCCCGCCGTTCCAGAACCGCGGCGTCGTGTACCATTGCGCGCCGACGCACTTGTCGACGAGATCGCCTACAATGTTAAGGACACCGAAGCGCAGCCCCGCCACCCAGCGTATGCGCTCCATGCTGAGGCCGCAGACGGCCACGCACAGCTCTAGCAGCCCTTCCATCCCGCCCCGAAACGCATTCCGGAGATCGTGTGCTCGGGTAGGCGTTTGCGCCGCCCAGGCCGCCAGCTCCCCCGCACAAGCCGCAACCAGCAGCCCCGGCGCGGGGCGAAAAAAGACGCTTGACGACGCGGCGCACAGGCGCAGCAGGGCGCGGGGCGAGGTGTGGGCGAGCGCGGCGCGGAGACGGCGGCTCGTGGCGCTGAGGGCGAGGTGGTCTTCTATGGTGGCGAGGTGGGCGGGGAGCAGGAGGAGGATGTCTGCTGGGAGGGTCGCGAGTGTGGGTGATGTGGTTGTGGTTGTGGTTGGCATTGTTGTCGTCGGCGGAGTGGGCGTGGGCGTAGCGGATGGATAGGTGTATGGTAGGTGGCAGGTGGTGGGAGAGATGGAATAAAAGAGAGAGAGAGAGAAGACGGGGTCAGAAAGTCAGAAAGTCAGTCGAGAGGTAGAAAAAGAGCAAACCGCGAACACCAACCTACCACCTACACAGCCACCCCACCACAGCGGTGTCCCGCCTAAGCACCCAAGTCAACGACCGCCACCGCCGCCGCCCACGGTGCCGTCGCACAGACGCAAACCCAGACTCGCAGCCAACCGTCCAGGCAGCAGGCAGCAGCCTACAGTAGCGCATCCTTCATCCTTCGCACGCCGATCAGCGGGAGCGCGCGCGGGAGTGCGGGAGTGCGGCAAGGAGAACCCGTCTATGCCATGTGCCATGTGCATCCGGGATGCTAGCTAAATGCTGACAGCCAGCTTGACGCTCTTTTGGCTTTGACGAGTGAGCGGATCCGTCCGTCGTCTGTCCACGCGCGCGTGTGCGCTAGGCTCCTTTCGGCAATCTCCAACGACGGGTCCTGCACCCCACCACAAGCCAAGCAAACGCACACACCATATACACACCAAGGGCTAGTCGCATCCATCATGCCTGCATTAACTACCTGCCTCCGTACTTTCTATCTGCACCTCCACCACCTCCACCTCACTGCACTGCGCTGATCTGAGCTGCGCGCAGCAGTAGTAGCAGCAGCATTGCCTCCACCACCTATCCATCCATCCATCCCGTCCCATCCCATCCCATACGGCTTCCCTTCCACCACAGCCACTTAGCCAGGCAGTCCAATCAATCAATCAATCTCAACCGCGCCATGCACACCAGCACCAGAGCAGCAGCGACTTTTGCCCGCCGCACCGCAGCCAAGGGGGCATGAGTCTGCACGCCCCGCGCCCGAAGCTTGAGCCGGCCATGGATGATGCAAGCAACAGAAGGCGAAGAAGAAGCAATGCCAGCCAGCAAGCAAAGCAAGCCGAACTCCGTGCCTGAAACTATAGCAAAAGGGAAGACGACGACGACGACGATGAGAGACGAGAGAGACCCAGAAACCCGACAACAGAAACAACAGCAGCAGCGAGGAAGCGAACCGCCCGCCTCGCGCACCGCCCGCACTACCCATCGAGCCGAGCCGAGCCGAGCCGAGCCGCATGCACGCGACCCGCCCAGGGACCAGGAGCCAGGAACACGGCACGGCGCGGCAGGCGCCGCGAAAAAAATTGACAAACGCAAAGAGCCGCAGCAACTGACATAGAGAAACCCCGTTTGGAGATGGGAAAGACGACGGCGGCGGCGACGATGCATGCAGCAGCAGCAGGCAATGCAGTGCAGAGTGCGAGAGTCTGGAGAGCGCGCATAAAAAAAAAAAAAAAAAAAAAAAAAAAAAAAAAAAAAAACCAAGCAACAAAAAAATGCCCATGTAGGTATCCCAGCCCGCGACAAAAGGAAAAAAAAGAAGAGAGGGAGAAACGCAATCTGTAGTGGAGCAGGTCCCGACGAAAAGAGGAGAGAGAAGAGGGAAGAAAAAAGCCGCCTGGCCGTACGTTCATTAAAGCGAGTGCGTGGTGGAGGAATAGAGCAAAGTAGGCCCAAGCAATCAATCCGTTTAGACGCAGCAGCTGAAGGGAGGAGATGTTGCAGTCGAAGCGTTGTTTGATATAAAGTGTCGCATCGAGTCGAGACCAATCCAACGCAATGAACAGTGTCTCGTAATTGCATCCTCGGAGCGTTGTATATCTGGCCGTGAGGAGGTAAGGACATCAGCTAAAAGGCGTGAAACGGTATGCATATGATCCCATTAGCGCGGAGGCACAGCTCGAGATGGTAAAACGTAAACAGCAGGTATGCAAAGGCCCAAGGTCTCTCGAGGCATGATCTGGCGTGCTCCCTGGAGCGTCAAAAGAGAGAAAAAAGAAAAGGCCAACGTCAAGGAAAGCCACGACGACCGCACGCGCTCAGATCTTGCGCTTGAACGAGATCAGGCGCGATAGCTGAGTTGCAGCAGGCAAGTTTTCGGCGAAGCGGTCGCGGTCTGTAATTCACACGTCATCGTCAGCAAACAAGGTCTCCACCTCCCAGACGCGAAAAAAGCCGCGCCCTCCCTCCCCTTTGACATAAACGAGGGAGGAAAGACGCGGCTTTGGAGCGTAGGACATCAGTAGCGAGAACTGCAAACTTACCGGCCTCGTTTTCGAATCCGAGAGTGATGTCGTCGTGCTCGCCGGGGTAGTCGGGCATGTCCAAGCACGCAAACCTGCGCCTCATGACGTCGTAGTCGTCCTTGAGTCCTTCTTCGTCCTTTCTCTTCTCGCGCGGCAGCGCAAACTTGGCGTCGACTAGCTTGAGGCCGAAGCGGCCCTTCTCGCCCTTGCTTCCCTTGAGCTCCACCTTCTCGAAAACATCCATTGACTTGAGCTGGAAGTTCATCGAATCGGCGTGCGAAAAGTCTTCAAAGAAGGCAAGCAGCTGACAGACGTTCTCCTGTATGACAAGTTGCACGCGCACCTGCGATGCTTCCCACCGCTTGTAGATGGGCACAACCATGCGGCGGCGGGAGATGGCGAAGCTAGAGGCGATACCATCGAATTGGACACGGAAGCCGGTCACAGCGGTCTGGAATTGGTGAAGTTCTGGGGAACGTGTCAGCAAGGATCGAGTGTTAGTGCACAACAAGCCACTGACCTTTGAGGGAGGGGAAACTGTAGGTGCGGACAGAGGGAGATGTCTTGACGGTACGCAGCAGATCGCTGACTGCGTCTGGAAGGTGAGCCTCAGCACGCTTGGCATCGACGGCGGCTGTCGCGTCTTCCTGTGGTAAACGAAGCATGTGAAGTTCCGGCCCGCCGCTGTTGTCAAGACGGACAAGCATCTCACTAGGACCTACATAGCGACAGTTATCAGACGTGTGCTCTCACGATTGGCATTGGGCGCGAGGTAGTACTTACCAAAGTTCATCCGGTCGGTCACCGAACCGCAAGAGTGCCTACAGACAACGCGCAGGTTCTCGGAGAGCATCACGTCCGGAAGCTCGCTCTCGGCATCTTCTGGATCCGCGTTCATCACCTTGACATCCTGCCAGCGCAGCTTCTTGACAATATCATGGCCCTGTTGCCAGACGTCCTTCATGCCAAGCTGCTCCACCCGGTAGCCGGTCAAGGGCAACTGCGCCCAGCACATCTCGTCTTGACCGACCATGAGGCCGTTGAGGAATTGGAAGAGCTGCACACGTTCCTTGCCTTCGTGGAACGTCAAGTACGCGGAGCATGTCTTCTTCTTGCCCTCCTTGAGTCGCAAAACCATGAGAGGGGTGTTCTCGTCCGCAGGATCGCCCTTAAACTCGAACACCAATGGGCGCTGACCAGTGAACTCGTGGCTGACGCTGCTGAGAGTCTTGCTCTTGGGGCTGGTGATCAGAAGCAGCCTGTAGCCGCGGTGGAACTTTCGTTGTCCAGTGCCCTCGTTGAGGGTTACCGTTTTCTCGAAGACGCGCACCCTGCTACGCTTCAAACGCTCGTTACCGAACAAGGCGGGGTTCTCTGGGTCCCTATACTGAAGGTCTTTGAGGGTGACCTCGTGCAACAGCGCCTCGTTCTCGCGAGGCTGGAGACTGGCTTCGACGGTGCGAGTGTATTCGCAGATGCCCCAAAGCTGCTTGTAGTCCTTCTCGTTCAGATCCAGACTGAGCGTGAAGCCACGCGGCAAGCGAACGGTCAGGCCACGGCCATTGCTCTTCCATTTGACATCATCCCAGGTACAGCCCTTCTTGGGGTCACCTTGAATGCTGACGGTGAGGAGTTCACTCTGGCTGCAGATACCGACCTTGACCTGCCAGTCGTTGCGGGGTCGCATGATCGAAAGGACGCAAGGAAGGGCGACACTGTCGCCATCTTCTTCATCGGTGGTGACCGAAACGGTGACAAACATCCGGCCGTAACAGAAGTCATCCTTTGTGTCGCTGAGTGGCATCACTGCACGAGGACTGATCTGGCGCTTTGACTCATCCATGACAAGACCACGAGCCTTGCCAGCAAGAACGGTCTGCGCATCAAGCGCGAAGGTAGGATATTTCACCCAGATGTTCTGATCCTGTCCTTGAATAAGAGATGACTCTGGGGGCATGACCTGGTTCCGCTGAACAGAGATCAATAGACCCTTCAAGCTACCCATGGCGGCTTCCTGAGCCTCCCAGAATTGTGCCATCTCCTCATCGCCGGCTTTAGTGGCCGCATCTGCCTGCGAAGGGACGTTACCAAAATTCTTCACGCCGGGGTGTTCGTTGGTCATCTCCGCCAGGATCCACCAAGCCTTTGCGAGGTCGACGTGGGCCTGGGCCAACTTCTGCTCGCCGGGCTGGTAGCTGCCATCCGCGCTCCTCGGCCTGTTCCTGATCAGGATTTCCAGACCGGCGCGGCCTTTCAGGAACCACCATTGAGCTGCCCTTATCCACTGCAGTGGTGTGTATTGGAACATGGGCTTCTCAATCTCAGCCGTCAGCCGGAAGATACCCCTCATGTGTGTCACCCGCTCAGCAAAGTCGTCGAATGCAGCATCGCCAGCAGCCGCAAGGTTGTCGCGGTGAGAGGATGTGGTGCTCCATGGCGCAATATCTGGGCCTGGCGAGCGCGCAGGCTGCTTGGGGATGTCGACGGCCAATGGTGATTTCATTGGGTGCTGTGGGAAGGCAGAGGGCTTCAAGCCGATCGGAGGTGATTTGACGCCGCCGTCAAAGTCTTGTTGGGTTGGAGTGCGTGCCTCAGGACTGAAGACACCGGGAGAGGCGGGGTGAGGGGGTGGCTGAGGGGAACCTGGAAGGAGGTTGCGGTTGGTGGGCGGAGGAGAAGTGAAGGGGCTCCTGTCAAGGTCGCGCAGCGAGCGTGAGGGAGCCGTGTCGGTGGGGCTGTTGTGCGAGCTCGGAAAGGTGAGGTGGCCACCTGAAGAAGAATGAGAGTGCCTCTTATCAGCGCTAGGATCAACGAAGGGGTTCGTTTGGTAAGGGTCTTTGGTGGAGTAGCCGCCTTGATCGTGGGGCGCCCTTGCGGAGGCATTCGAGTTAGACGATATTGAGTGAGGAGATCCAACATCAAACGCGCTCGAGCTTGAGATTGGCGCCGCAGGATCAGCCTCTGGAGACGCACTTGTATGTGCGGCGCCTTCATGCAGGGCCTTGCCCTCATCCGAGTTCATCTGGTGCTGGACGCGGGCCGAGAAAGAGTCGGGATCGGTGGGCTCGGCGGCCAGGTAGCGGCTCAGCTCATCGTTCATTTCAAGCACTGAATCTTCCGATGCCACCTTCTCTAACTCGGGCAGGCGGAATGCTGAGCTGTCATTGGAGTCGGGTGCCATCTCCGACGGGCCGGTCTGGCTCCGCTTGCGTTGGCCCGCGTGGGGATCAGGGTGATCTCTATTAGGGTTCAGGGCACTCTGCTCTCCTGCCCCAGACGGCCCTGATCCGCGACGGAAAGTGTTCTTGTTAGGCTCATCCTCAATGTCCGGCTCGGACTGATCACGAGACGGTGGAGGTTGGGCCGGGGGCGGAGATTTCGGGCGGCTGAAACGCTGCTGGAACGAGGGCGACATTTGTGCCCAGGAGGTGTGAGCTCTCTTAGCGTACTCGGACCGCTCATGTCTATGAGAGACGGTGGTCGCGCGGCCCAAGTCTCTCTCCTCAACCTTGCGCCCTTCCTTTGCTGCCCGAGCCCTCGCAACACGCCGCCTGGAAATGTCTATGGGAGGCTCTTCAGCCTCGTCGCCGCCCTCGCCAATGATCTCCGGAGCAGTGTTTATGAAGCCGACAGCCAATGACTTGGAGCGGGGCCGCGAGGGCCTTTCGCCGGCCGAACGCATCGAGGAGGGGACGGGCGAGGTCGAGGTTGACTGGGGATTCGAGGCAGCGGCTCTGGTCAGAAAGTCGGCGGCGCCAGGCCATCGCTGCGCGGCAGCTACGTCTATGCGAGGAGCCCTGGGCGAGCCGCCGTGGCTGGACGAGGGCTTGAGGAACTCGAGGACGTCGGCCTCCATCATCTTCTTCTTCTCGGCCTTTTCGGCGTTGGCCTCTTCGGTGTTGAAGACCTTGCGCCATTTGCTCGTCTTGCTGAGCGACTTGGCGGCTTGCTGAGAGCCGTCTTCGGTCGTCATGTTGACAGGGTGGGTGAGGGAGTTCGTGAGAGGGTCGCAACGGGGGTTGGCGGGGCGGTTGGTCGTCGCATGCGACAGCGGGGCGGAAGTCGGTGAGGGAAGCGGCGAGGTCGGGTGTGGGAGTGGACGAGGGGAGTCGGGAGAGGTGACGGGGAAAGGCAGAGGCAGAAGCAAAAGTGTGTGATGGTGCACCCGTTATCGTACCGCGTGCCGGGGAGAGGGCTTGGCTGCTAGCTGGGTTGGCTGGCAGCTGGTGCTGGTGCTGCTCTCTGCTGGTGCTGCTCTGCTGGTGCTGCTCTGCTGGTGCTGCTGCTCCTGGTGCTGTCAGGGCACCGAATCCCTAAACTTAAGCCAGGGTCCGCAGGTACCGCGCAGCGCCCACGGCGGCGAATGAGCGAGGGCGGGACGGGAGATGAGAGACGTGCGTAAGAGGGGCACCTTTGCGACTCTCTCCAGTCTCTACTCGCCTCGCAGATTGCAATTTGGCTGCACAATCTGTTGGAATTGCTGGCTCGCATTCCAATATCACCCAATCCTCTCCTGTTTCAACGGCCAAGTTGTAGTACCGTTGACTGTTGTCGTTGCTGCCCGTCGTCGTCAACCCCCGTCTCCGGACATGGAAAGTCCCCACTCTCCTCGACACCCCCGACCGACTCGACACCTATCCGACCTCCCTCTCGGCCTCTCCCTCTGGCCTCTCCCTCCCTCACCGCTCTCACGCGCCCGCACGCATTCCTCGTCGCAGCCCGGTCCCCATTGTTAGTGACGCGTCGCGCGCTTTGGGCTGAGGGCTGAGGCGCAAATGGCAGACCGTTCTATTTGTGGACCGACTGGTTCGGTGGCTTGCTGCCGCACCACTCACGTCGCACCTGTCGCCCGTCGTTACAGGCCTTGCACATCGTTATAAAATCTACCTCTCTCCCCCCCCCGCAACCCATATGGGGCCATCCTCACCCGCTTCTCGTGCCTCGTCCCAGCCCCGCCCCAGTGCTTTTTTGTCGACTTGTCCTTTCCGCCAGATTTCGTGGCTTGCCCTACGATACGAGGTTCCCCCGTTGGAGCTCGAGCCGCGCGCGACACGAGACGTTACTCGACGGCACCAGTGGAGCCTGATGCTATTTCTAACCGCACCATGTGTCCTCAAAAAGGCTCTCGCACGTCACGATCTGCATCCGTCTTAGTGCCCAACCTTCAAAGCTGTCGGCCGGGGAAGACGACTGTCGTCGGCTGCTTAGCTTTGCTAACGACGCGCCACGATGCCTAGCGTAGAGATCCTTGCCGCAAATGGTGGTTACAGAGACCTCTGACGCTGCCCGACCGGGATCATCCAAGCGCCCCGGCCTCGCTATACAAGAGCTTATCTATCTGCTGCACCACTTTCTCCTGAGCTTATCTGCTTGATTCGACCGACATGCTGTGGCTGTGCAACGTATCTCGTGTGCTCCTTAAATTCAACTCAAAAAGACGTCTGGGGAAGTCGTCTGCAGCGTGGTACTTCCACGTGCTTCCTCCATGGGGTGGATATTCTGATCTTCCGCTGATCGTGGACGCCCTGCGCGATTATCTAGAGATCGTCCACCATCACCGGCCACGCCAGCCACGCAGCCGTCGTCGACCTTGGCATTCGTATGAAATGTTCTAGAAACTTGCAGTTGATGCGCCGTACCGCCTAATGAAAGCTTAAACCCAAAAAGTCGCTGTACTTGGCTGCTCTGGTAGAAGGCACGAGACCTTGGAAAGTAGGAAGGGAAATACATTATACGAGTTGTGAGCTGGGTAGCAGTACCGACATGCCCATCGACGGAGCACGTTTGTCCTTTGGGCCTTTGGCGCCGTTTGAAGATCGGAGGAACGGTTTGCGACACACTACCCTATTCTGCCCTGACATGTCTAGGTACGTCCTGTCCGTTGACTAGACCGGGAAAGCCGATGCAAGGAGAAGCTAGCGGAGCGGAGGCATGTCCTAGCCAAGGGACCAGCCGATGCACATGTTCATGGGTTCTGCACCAAAGGATAAACGCTCCAGGTACCAATCCCGGCTGTCATTGGTGCAGAACCCGGCAGGATTATATCTCCACGCCGACTAGCTTGCGGGCGGGAAGGCACACGCAACACGCGCACGAGCATCCCCGTGGTGTCCGCAGAGATTCACTCTATTTTCAACGCTAGTTTCAGAACCGGCGACGGTTCAGCCTCTGGAATCTGCGTTGGTTCTGCATTTTTGGGTGGAGCTATCCGTAAACAACTAACATTTCACAAGGCAAGGGACGCGGGATCTGCCGGTATGCGCAAGGGACTATGAAGTGCTGACTACCTACGGCGGGACAATGGTAAACAGTAGGTGCCCAGTGGATGACAAGAAAGGAAATAATTTCCTCTTCGTCTCATTGCTTTTTCCGAGCCTCAGCTCCCGACTGGATGGCAGAGACATCGAGGTCCGTTCCGCAGATCTGCATCGCCGAGGCTGTGTGATCTTCTCGCTCACGGGTCTCTAACGGTCTTGCGCAAGCCACCACTAGTACCACCACGGCGACATCTGGTATAGCTGCGCTCGTAAGATACGGGGGCGGAGATATAGACACGTGCTCAAGCGGACTACTACGTACGTTCGAGACACTTCAGCAAGTGCACATCGGGAGGTCAGTGGCCTGGAGCACGTTCTGGAAGCTCATCAAAGCTTCATCTACGCTCTCACATGCCCCTGTCGCGCACCCCCGATCCGAAGATACGCCCACATCCGTGACGACCCTACAGTGTACGATCCAAAGCTTGTATCTCGAGCTGAAGCACCAACTCTGGTTTGCACGATTTCCAAGCTGGATGCCAAGGTTTGAATCCCATCTCTTGTGATGACACAAATTTGAGAAGGCCACAAGGCTTGGACCAAGCCGTAGAGACTGTAGCATCGGGTATGTGCAGTCGGATGTACAATTGTGATGTAACGATGGTTGAGTAAGCTGACGACGCCTCATTGCTGCGGAGGATCATTGCCATGGCGTGAGAATGTTGGGATTGGGGGCGGTGGATGGTTGAGTGTTAAATGATGATGATGGGCTGGATGACGGATGATGAACTGCGCGCCATTGATTTTCACATGTGTTTTGGTGAGATGGGGAAGAAAGGTCGGCTGCGGAGGTACCACAAAGACCTCGTATCCACGAAGTTAAAGTTTGAGCAAGAGCCTACCGAAGACATCATATGGAAGTGGCCTTGCTTTGTGCATGTGAGGCGCGTTATGGCGACTCTGCGGCCATAGGGACTGTCACTATTCGTTTGCTCGATGATCCTAATCGGAAGGACCGTAGATTTCGGCTCCAGCCAAAGATGGGATCGACAGCGGGGACAGAGATCAGCTTCTCCTCAAACGACATTGCTGCAATAACCGATTAGCGACGATGGCAATGTCGGTGGTGTTGGGCGTCGTGGTTCCTGAGGGCAGAAGCTGCACCCATTCGGCTAGCGCGTCGGCGAAACAGATTAAGCGAGTGCCGGCCGCACCGCTTGACGAAGCGACTTTTTCGATATCGCACGACGGCCGACGAGACGACAATACCCGCGACGAAGCACCCATCCCAGACCCACGTCCTTTACCAGCCGAATAATCCGTCGAGATGGCATCCAAGAGAGGGTACGTTGCTGCCAGGGAGACGCCGGTGCGCCGACGCATACGGTCGCACATGGGCGTGGAGAAGAGAAGGCTGCATTGAGGACCCGTAGAGCTGACTTTTCGCAGTCGCGCCGCCACCGGCAACAAGCTTAAGATGACCCTCGGTCTCCCTGTGTACGTAGCCCCCGCGGAGCACGCTCGCCCGGCATGAATCCAGGACCCCCGAACCTCGAACAAACCCACCCCCCTCAGCCGCAAGGGAAATACGCTCGAAGACGGAACGTCAGACTAACAGCGACTGAACAGCGGAGCCGTCATGAACTGCTGCGACAACTCCGGCGCCAGGAACCTGTACATCATCTCCGTCAAGGGCATTGGCGCGCGCCTCAACCGTCTCCCGGCCGGTGGTGCTGGCGACATGGTCATGGCCACTGTCAAGAAGGGAAAGCCTGAGCTGAGGAAGAAGGTCATGCCCGCCGTCATTGTCCGCCAGAGCAAGCCCTGGAGGAGAGGCGACGGCATCTACCTCTACTTCGAGGACAACGCTGGTGTCGTAAGTGGACCCCGGACACGCGGAGCGTTGGAGCTGGCGGGAAGGCGAAGGATGCGCCGCAGTACAATGGAAGGAACAGGAAGCTAACAGCGGTTTTCTACAGATCGTCAACCCCAAGGGTGAGATGAAGGGCTCTGCCATCACCGGCCCCGTTGCCAAGGAGGCTGCTGAGCTCTGGCCCGTGAGTAGTCCCGCACATCCAAAACCGCGTTAAAATCCCCGTACTGACAGCCCTCGCAGCGTATTGCCAGCAACTCCGGTGTTGTCATGTAAAATCGTTTTCGGCTTCGGGGTTTCCTTGGTTCTTTTTCGTGGGAAAAGGCGACGTGCATTGGTCGCTAGGTTCATATGGGGAAGCACTACTTGAACAAGTAGCAATCGAAACGAAACATGAACACCACAACTTTTGCCATCAGCCGAATCTTCGGGCCGCTTGCTGTGAGTCTTAACATGAACAGGTATCTCGGCACGACCACGCGAAGCGAAAGCGAAGCGAGAAACCCATCTACTCGACGCTCGATACCCCTGCGATCTGCACCCGCAAGGCCCTCCGGCGCGATATCATAGCACCCTAGACAGCTACCAACCAACCGGTATCCCGCGGCGCTCCGCCTCCCTCCAATGGCTCCAACCCGCTCCCAAGCAGCCCATGGACCTCTCCCGCTCGTTACCTTCTCAATCTGGCTCCCACCACCCAGCATCCCCACAACGGCCACACTCCGCACCCACGCCCAGCAAGCACAACCTCCCGTGCCCGCGGCCCTGTACCAATATCAGCGTAGCAGGACAAAAAGGCCGTCCAAACAGACGCACTCTGCTGCTTCGCGCCGGGTGGACTTCGCGAAAGGTGCCATCGCTCGCGGGCTAGGCTGCCGGGTACTGTGTCTATCCAAAAGGAGGTAGGTGGGTAGGTAGGTGGATTTGCGCGTCTTCTTTTGCGGTTAGGGCTGTTGGTTCTTTTTGCTGGTTTTGGGGGTTGGGATTGGGGTTGGGGAGGGGAGGTGGGAGATGTTGGGTTGTGGTGCGGTGGTGCGGCTGGTGCAGTGGTGGACTAGTTAGGTCCAGGCGGCGAGAGTAGGACGTAGTGAGGGTGCTGTGTGGATTGTTGCTGCTATAGGTAGGACTGTCACTTTTTGTGGAGATATACCAACAGGCTGGGTTTGTGTAGTTTGCTCACCTTTCATGCCCGTTGAGTCAAGCTTTGTCTGCTTTACTGCTCACAATAAGTTCGCCTGCGCTACGATGCATGGATGATGGAGTGAGGTTATGTGAAAGATATGAGGCCATCACCGGAGGTGAGTAGATTGTTAAACGTCTTTTTAAGGGTCGGAAGCTGGTATCTGCCTTGTATGCTGTAGCTAGTTCAGGATGTGTGAGGATTTCATTATTGGTTAGCTGAGGGAGAGGATATTCTATTTGCGGTCTGTAGACGCTATTTGCCTATGGATTTGCCTTTGTATATTCGTCTAGAAAACATGTTAACGCTACGGCAGATATAAATGAAAGACAGTGTTTGTAAAAACCTTCTTCTCTACATCAACGGAAATCTTTCCTATGATAGTTGATGTTTGAGACAATTGGATGCTCTTCTGAGTTATCCAAGTTTGTTTGTCCAACCAGGCTTTAAAGTTCTAGTTGGATCGTAGCAGAAGCGAAACCAAAGAATAGACAACCCTATTGTGAAGAAAAAGAAGGCAGTGACTGCGGCGTGGAGTCTGACCAAAACTTGAAATCCTTCATCTTCAGAAGCCTTCTCAAGTAACAACAACGTCTTGCGGATAGTAGTAAAGCCTGCTAGAAACTCTGCCACAGCTGTAAGCAAGATAAATGGAACCAAGAACCAAGTGACCGCCATAAAGTAAACACTAGGAAACGGCAACATTCCCGAGCCAAATATAGCAAAACCATCAATCAAGAAGGTAAGCCCGCATAGCGTCGTCCATCGTCGTAACTTATGAGCCATGACCATAAGGCGGAGTCTGATAAATAATAAAAACCACATAAAAAATGAGATTACAAGAACGAGTGTCTTAACGCTTGGGTATCTTGAGTGTGAGTACTTTATCAGCCGAAAACACTCCCAAAAGGATAGAGCCACCTGTCCGAAACTCGCGAGGAACCCGATCACCAGGCCTGTAGTTTGTGGTAACTGGCCACTGCCTGGCGACTGGGCTGGAACTGATCCATACCATCCCTGTAGGAGGAGCAGCGCTTCCGTGACCACGTATGAAGCGAAGTACATTCCCGCCCAGGCCTGTGTCCACGGAACACCGCGCATACCGAACACTTTTACGGTTGGCAGTAGAACTCCGAAGACGAATAATAAAAACCGCAACAACAAATTGTCCTTGAGTTTCTGAAGGGCTGCTTTCTCTTTCTCGTTGTTGTCTGCAAACTTCCATACTACGATTACTTGTGCTGCTTGAGAACGCCCTGTTCGTTGGCAAAGTGCGACGACAATCTGCGTTATTACGTCTAGCGTATCGGCAGCGCAGATGATGGGTGAGCTCCGTAGGTAGATACGCAGGCTGTTGGGAAAGCATAGGACGCGTCCGGATTTTTGTGTCATGACGCACAGTGCAAGCGTGGCAAGACCCCAAAAAGCACTTTGCCATGAGACTTGGTCTAAAACATGTCAGTCTCTTGTATATGTATCTCTTTGTAGTATAACAGTTACCTTCGGAAGCTGAGGGCATTTCTTTGAGAACTATTCTGAGTGCAGTGGAATGTGAAGGAGAAGCACGTATCACAAGCAATGACCTCGCACAACGCGCTTATATATGTTGTCCGCAAGGCTGAAACTTTGAACTCAGCTGGCTAGCCCGATATACGGGCTCTGTCACGAGGTAGGAATTGGTTGCTAAACTCGTCCTGCCCACAGTGATGCATCAGTGGCTGATACGTAGCGAGGAGAGCAAGCCACATTGCAGGATACCTTGCCTATCAGAAAACATAACCAGATACCATCACCACACAAAACTTCTTACAAGTCTTCGCTAACCTCGAGAGCGAGTCGGAAAAAGTACTACGTACAAGCACTGCTACAGCAACCAGCCTCATGGTCTATGAAAGAAACTCTAGAGCAAACAGCAGGCAGATAAAGGAGGCACTGTTCACCATCCTGTCATCGGTAAGGTAAACCCCTTCAGCAAAGAATCAGGAAGCACCTATAAGCCGCACAACCCTAAACCGGAACGCCGATTTCCGAGAATCTTACGAAGTTGCAACACTAACCCAGAAAATAAGTGAAATGCATTAAGTTAACGAACCAAGGCCAGGATCGGAAACGTCGGATGGAGTATATACGCGGGGCATTGCGTGTTACTGGGGATGGTAAGTATAGTGGCGGACAGCCATAATAAGTAGCTGAGCTTCCATGTGACAGCATTTCACATGCGCGCGTGCCCGGAATTCTGCGGCATGGCGCTCCGGCGCTCCGGCGCGCGCTCTGGTGCTCTGGCGCTCTGCTATAAGGTCTGTTAATCCACGCCATGTTTCGGTGCTGAATCTCGTAATGGCCTACTGTTAAAAGTGTAGGCATCGCTGGTGGTGCACTCTCGATGCACAGCATATGTACACTACAAATATCAATGCAGTACAACAGACATCTGTATACATTTCTCACAAGGCTAAACTTCTCAAGCTGAGCACTGCATCCCGCCACGAGGTAAGCATACCACGTTGGTTATCGCGCTCGTCTTACCCGCAGCAGCAGTGACGCAACAGTGGCTGATTCCTGGCGAGGAGAACAAGCCACAGTGCAGGGAACCATATCAATTGAGAGGGTCTACCAGATACTCGGGCACCTGCATATGTTGTGGCTTTAGCTAGCATCATACATTATTTTGGTGCCAAAATCTGCAGGGTTATTCGTAAGCTCACCTCAGCTCAACACCTCCGCTCTCCACTTTCACGATCAACGTAACAGAAGCACGAATACACATACTTATTTAAAGCACGAGTATATAAACTTATTTAAACCACTCACAAGCCCCTTCCGTGCTAGAGAATAAATCGAAAATTTAATATCAAGCCCGCCCCGTACCTCCGCGGACAAAAGGTATAAAGGCATATACCAAGTTATCCGAATTTAAATGTTTTAGAACAGTAGTAAACCGTACCTCTATAAAATCACCAGACCCTCCCCACGTCCAGATTCAACTCCCTCCCCACCTCCTACCCCCCTCCCCCCTCTCCACAACTAAACCTAAAATATCCATATCCCAACGAAATCAAGCAACCACAAAGACAGGAAATACGTCCTTCCTTTCCTATCCTCTCTAACTCCTTCTCCCCAACCCAACACCACCCCCCCAAACAAACCACCAAAACCCACACTCAACCCCAACCCAACTCAACAAAGCATCGCTAAATTGCCTACAACATATTCACACCAACAGACCAACCGACAGCCAACACTAAAACCGCGCAAGCTCTGCCCAAGCTCAAACGCGCGCTTCATCTTTATCTTACCTGGCGTAGGTAGGTATGCGGCAAAAAGTACGTGAATATGTAGGTGTATCGGTGGGTTTGTTGGGTAGGCTGGTAGGTGTGTAGGCAGGAAGGGCTACTGGAGCGTGGCGCGTTTTGTTGGACGCGTGGGCTGCTTGCTGGGGCGAGGAAGAAGGCTGGGAGGGGAGGGCAGCGGACTTTCGCTCGCTCTTATGTACCCTCGTCTTTCATCCCTCGTCTCCGTCACTGCCTGCCCAGTCAACCAGTCATACGCCTCACAGCTTGGCCCCGCTTCATGCCTTGCCATACCTCGCCTCGCCATGCCATACCATGCCATTCATGCCTACATCCTTCATCTCATCCATTATACATCAAGCATGCAAGCATCCATCTCCCCAGCACCAGCACCAACACCAGCACCACCCCACCACCAACAACAACAACCACCCATCACCTAACCCAGCAAATCATCCAGCCCACTGCTGCCCGTGCTCGCCTTGGGCGCGCCCCCCGCCGACGCCGCACCCCCCGGCGGCCCCGCCGTAGTCGGCGACGGCGCGCCCCACAGCCCCGAGCTGGTCTTCTGCTTGGCCATCTCCGCCATCGTCACTTTCTGCTGAGGCGTCGAGTTTGTCCTCTTCGGCCCGCTGACGCCCGACAGCAGGCCCGCGAACGCGTCGCCGCCCGCCGCCGGCTTCTTGCCCCCGCCCAAGCTGTTCAAGCTGCTGATGCTGCCCGTGCCCGTGCGGTGTGGCGACAAGACGCCTCCCGGCGTGCTGGCCGCTGAGCCCTGCTGTGGCGGCCCCGCCGGCACGCTCGTGAAGTAGTTGGGCTGCGTGGGCGCAAAGCCCGTGCTCATTGGCTTCTGTGCCGGCGGTGGCGAGAAGGCCGACATGCTGGCGGCGGGCGTACCGCGCGCCGTGCTGGTGCCGCTGGGCGGCGGCGAGATGGTCGCAAACAGGTCGTTCATGCTGTTGGCCTGCGCGCCCGACCGCGGCTGCGGCGCCGCGAACTGCGTCATTGTTGGTGATGTCGGCGAGGTCATACCAAAGGCTGAGGCGGTTGGGGGCTTGACGGCCGCCGCGGCCGGCGCGGGAGCAGGCGCGGGCGCCGCCTGGAAGTCGTCAAAGTCGTCATCGTCGGCGCCGCCGGATTGCAGGGCGCCAAAGTCATCGGCCGCGGAGCTCGTGGCGGGCGCCTTGCCGTTCGAGGCGGACGTGCTCGGAGCAGGCTCGTCAAAGGAGAAGAGGTCAACCTCGGGCTCTTTGGGCTTGGGCGGCTCTGGCTTCTTGACCGCGGCGGCGCTGCCCGTCTCTCGCCTGGTGCCGGCCCTGGGCTGGTCTGCCACCCTCCTGCCGGGCGCGGCAACGGCGCCCTCGTCGTACTCGTCGTACTCCTCGAAACGGTCCCGGCGGGATTGCGTGGCTCCGCTGAATCCGCTGTCCGCCTCGCCTCCGAAACCTCCTCCGTCACCGTATACGCCTCCGCTGTAGGCACCGTAGCCGGCGTTTTCGCTGCCGAAGCCGCTGTACCTGCCGCCACTGCCGCTCGAGAAGCCAAGTCCCGCGCCACCTTCCACACCGGTGTATTTGTTGCGCGTGGCGCGGGCCTTTTTGCGCTCAGCACGAATGCGCTCGACGTCGCTCAGCAGCTCGGCGAGCTCCTTGGATCGGTTGCGCACGTTGATGCCCTGGTCCTTGCCGTTCTGGTCGATGTAGTGGAACTGGCGCAGCATCTTGAGGAGGGAGAGGTGGGATCGTGCATCGTCGATGACGCGCTCGGAACCGTTTTTGATGAGGAATTCAAGGAGTTGGAGGGCCTGGCTGCAGTCAGCATCAACTCCAGGTGTCAAGATGTCGCGAGCCCTACCTTGTAGATCTGCCGCCATTCCTCGGCAGCCTTTTCGGTGAAGCGTCTGTAGATCATGGGCATAATCTCGTTGAGCAGCTGGCTGGAACATCATTTAGCACTGGCGAGCGCGAGGTCGTGTCGGGGGGAGACTGACTAGTTGTAGGTGCCGTTTGCGATCTCCTGCATGATCGTAGACGATGCTCCCCTGGGCCGAGTTAGTTGAGTGGTTGGCCGGGGACGTGGAGGACTGACCATGGCTCGTTGTTTGTGGCCTCGCGCACCTTGGCCTCCATCTCGGTGTAGTTCATGACGGCTGTCGCGCACATCAGCCATCAAGGGCTTTGGGCCGGGGTACGGGGATAGGCCAGGCTCACCATTCTGGACCTTGCGCACGCCGGCCTTGATGTCGTAGAGAGTCAGGTTGCTGACCTGGTCCTTGAGGCTGTTGAAATCCATGCTGGCTCGTGGCTTCGAGGGCGATGTGGTCAGGAGGCAGCTCGTGGTGGTGAGGATCGGGGATAGAGAGTGTCCAGTGGTGCTGGCCTGTGGCTTGGCGCCCCAAGGCAGTTCGTTGCCGCGACCGGCGGTCGAGTCGAAGCCCCGGGAGCCGCGCGGAGGGCAAAGTCACGTGATGGAGTGGCATCCTGTGGCATCCTGTGGCCACTTCTCCTGAGCGTCACCGCTCGCCCGGCCCGCAGAACGCTCCCGACGGCCACGTGACGTGACGCTTGCCGTCAGTGCTTCGACATTTTGCAGACAGCTCTCTCTGCCCTCTCTTGCTTCCACAGCTCCCGCAACGGCCTCAATCGTGCTGCATTTGCCCTCGCGCCCGTCTCATTGCTTCCAATCCACCTGCACTTCTCCCATCGTACGTCTCCCGCCCCCCAAAGCCGGCTCCTGCACGCCGAGCTGGTGCCCAGAGGAGCTCGCAGCTCCCTCCCCCAAGCTTGCCCGGCTCCCAGGCTGGCACAGCAGTAGTAGCTCCTCTGCACAGCCCACGCCCAGCAGCAGCAAGGAAGCCAGACACAGGCCCGCCCCACAATGACGACGCCGACAATGGCGAAAGCTGCGTCGCTGGTGGTGTCGGGTGTCAGGGAAGCCGGGAAGTGTTTTTCCCCTCCGAATCAGGCTAACCCGATTGTGTCAGCAACGCAATGGCTTCGCTGCGGGGCATGTTGAAAACCACCCCACCCCGCCTCTTCTCTCCTCTCCGATTCTCCTGCCAACAACAATCCTTCCGTCCTTCAATCTTCTCTCCCATTAGAACTTTCCACGCTTCATCAGCAAACATGGTCACCAAGGTTTACGTACGTCGCTGTCCCCGCTGTTGATGCCTGCTTGAGCCGCTTGCTAACCTCACCCCGCTACAGTTCGACTGCGAGTGGGAGTAAGGACGCCCATCGTCCGACCGTCTGACTTTTGCCCGCTGACAATCATCGCAGGGGCCCCGAGGTCCAGGTCGACTCCAAGGGCAACGTCACCTCCACCGGTGGCGTCAAGGAGCAGGCTGGCCGCATCAACTTCGACCTCTTCGACGATGTCGTCCCCAGGACCGCCGAGAACTTCCGTGCTCTCTGCACCGGCGAGAAGGGCTTCGGCTACTCCGGCTCCAAGTTCCACCGTGTGATCCCCCAGTTCATGCTCCAGGGTGGTGACTTCACCCGCGGCAACGTAAGTGCCCCTCACTACCAATTGCGTCATCACGCCGACACCCGCTGACACGCCTCACAGGGCACTGGCGGCAAGTCCATCTACGGCGAGAAGTTCGCCGATGAGAACTTCAAGCTCCAGCACTCCAAGCCCTTCCTCCTCTCCATGGCTAACGCTGGCCCCAACACGTAAGGATTGCCCCGCAGTAGCCCCGCATCAGCTGTTCCGAGACTCGAGCTAACCGTTTCACGACAGCAACGGCTCCCAGTTCTTCGTCACCACCGTCGTCACCAGCTGGCTCGACGGCAAGCACGTCGTCTTCGGCTCTGTTCCCGATGGTGACGTCGAGTCCTACAGGGTCGTCAAGGCCATTGAGGCCTGCGGCTCCGGCTCCGGTTCTATCAAGTACAAGAAGGCTCCCGCCATCGTCAGGGCCGGCCAGCTGTAAGCGGCTCGTGCCTGGCGTTGAGATGACGGGGATGCCAACTGTTGACTTTGGATCCCCATAATGAGACATGTTGGCATGACGAGGTGCAAAAAGGAGCAAGTTAGACAAGCAGTGATCTTGCTGCCAATGGAACAATGATTTCTGCTGTCATTTGCGTGTGTTCGCCTTGCCTGTGTGACTTGTATGACTTGAATGACTTGACCTTCGACGCTTCCGAGCCTTGACCGATTACTGTGACAACCGACGCACGGGGCTCGATTTCATCGGAAATAAACACTGATGGTGATCCGACCTAGTTCACCACCTGGTAGGGTAAATAAACATCCTAAGCTATAGCCCGAAATTCATGGCGCACGTTGAGGTAGGTGGCTTCCAAAAAACATCGACGTAGGGCCAGATGATTCTAGATTCATGGGAGATTGTGCAAGATGATCAGATTCCGATAAGGTTTCGCGAATTCTTCTTTATAGTGATGGTGCAGCAAATGTTGTTGGCGCTGCATGCTTCAACTGATAATACTGTTGTCAATTGAACGTCGGCAACACGTAGACACGCGTTTCAACATCGGTATCCGATGCCATTCCATCAACACTGGGGCAGATTACTCATCGATAGTGAGTCAAGGTGTGGTGCCATATTGACTTGTCACTTCAAGCAACTCTAGGGTACAAAAGCCAAGCACCAACCATGAGGATTCAGCAAACGGACGCTGTCAATTGCTCAACTCCCACCCACCACCAAACCCCGAAAAGCGCACGCGTGCGACGAAGACGACAATGAGCGAGTCCACTCACACCAAGCCCGTCACGGGTGCGGACTACGCGCCCGAAACGGTGGCCATCCATGGCGACAGCTGGCTCAACAAGAGCGCAGACGTCGCGCCCGCCATGCACGTATCGACGACGTTCCGCTACCCGCACGACCCGGAGCAGCTGACGCCGTGGGAAGACCCGTCGAAAGCGCAACCAGCATCGACAGACTTCCCGCCGATCTACTCGCGGCTCTCAGCGCCGAACACGACGCGGCTGGAGGCGCTGCTGTCGCAGCTGCTCAAGGGCCGGGCATTGACGTACACGAGCGGGCTCAGCGCCTTCCACGCGCTGCTGACCTTCTTCAACCCCAAGGTCGTCGTCATCGGGCACGACGCGCTGGGCGGCTACCACGGCTGCCACGGCGTGCTGGAGCTGCACCGCAAGCTCAGCGGCGCAAAGGTCGCGGACCTGCACGACGAGGCGAGCTGGGACGCTGCGGGCCTGGGCAACGGCGACATTGTGCACCTGGAGACGCCGCTGAACCCGACGGGCGAGGCGTTCGACATTGCGGCGTTTGCGGCCGCCGCCCACAAGCGCGGCGCCCTCCTCAGCGTCGATAGCACATTTGGGCCGCCGGGGTTGCAGGACCCGTTCGCGCTCGGCGCCGACATCGTCATGCACTCGGGCACCAAGTACATCGGCGGGCACTCGGACATGCTGTGCGGTGTGCTCGCGGTGCCAGAGGAGCGCAAAGACTGGTTCTGGGGCCTGGCCGCCGAGCGCGTCTTCCTAGGCAGCGTGATGGGCAGCCTGGAGGGCTGGCTCGGCGTGCGCAGCCTGCGGACGCTGGAGCTGCGCGTCCGCGCCCAGAGCCGCAATGCCGAGCGCCTCGTGGCCTGGATCCACGGCCTGCTGTCCTCGGACGAGGAACCCGCCGTCAAGGCTATTGTCGCCCGCGTCCAGCACGCCTCTCTGCAGGCCCCCGACGCGCCCTGGCTCCGCAAGCAGATGCCCAATGGCTTCGGCCCCGTGTTCGCGCTGTGGATGCGCGACGCCGACGTCGCGAGGTGCTTGCCCAGTAAGCTGCGCTTGTTCCACCATGCGACGAGCTTGGGCGGCGTCGAGAGCTTGGTCGAGTGGCGCCGCATGACGGATGCCGGGGTGGATCCGCGCTTGTTGCGCATTTCGGTTGGCGTGGAGAGCTGGGAGGATTTGAGGGACGACTTGTTGAGCGCTTTTAGGGCGTTGGCGGAGGGTTCGTAGAGGTTCGATGGGGTGGACAAGATGGGGGGATGAAGTGGTTTGAAGGGAGTTGTAGGTATTGGGTGTTTAAAAGGAGAGATAGAGGCGGATAGAGATGGGTTGTCAAGAGGGCTGTAGATGTGTAGGTGTCTAGACGACAGCGCAGATGTGCATGTATATATGTATGTATGTATGTATGTATGTATGTATGTATCACTGTCTTCCCAACCTTTTCCCCACATCCTCCAACATACAACATGTAAAACAACTAACTCACTGTCCTCCGCAGCGGCGGCATATTCAACCACTCTTCCTGCGACCGTTACTACAGCTCTACCCTGCCGTGCTCTGTACGACGCGGCGATGGCATGGACAACACGCGGTGGGTGTGGTGGTTTGTATGCTTGTGGGGGAGGTGTCAAGTCCTCCATAAAACGAACGCTGAATGCAGCAGCTAGACGGCAGCAAAGTCCAACGACCCTAACAGCAGTCTCAACCTGCTAATTCTGATGTATAACGTCGGTAGCCAAGGGGCAAACACACACACACACACACACACACACACACACACAAACCTCACGCGCCCGTCTTGTGGTGTCAGGCGCCAGCACGAACAATGGAGATACAAGCAATGATCGCGACGGCGACCAGGACCAAGCGATACCTAGCGGTGGCACTCATCATCAACATCATCATCAACACTCGCCATCATCGCCGTTGCCCCTGTCAGCAACTTGTGCGCAGGAGAGAGACATGGACGCATGTAGGAGCGCCATGCTCACTTGTACGACAGAGAGAAGACGGAGCCGCCGAGCCGGGCGAAGAGAAGGAACGGCGCGACGTGGATCCAGACCTGCGTGACGGTCGCGGCGAGGATCCTGCTGGCTTGGGTGGCGGTGATGAGGGTAGGTAGGGTTGGAGGAGCTTATATAGGAGGGGGTTGGGAGAGCGGAGGCGGAATGCTGACTAAAGCGGAAGGAAGCAGTAAGGGTGAAAGGAAGGGAGGTGTTGTGCTGTGGAAGTACTCGGACAGAAGGAAAGAAGAAGAAGCGGCAGCACCAACCCGGAAACTTTATCTACCTTTGGCGACTATTTCGCCCTCCTAATATGATACCGCATCCACACAGCCAAAAATACTTCCTCACCTGCCGCATACCCGCAACTTCGTACTTACATACAACACTCTCGCATTCTCACCAGCCACATCTTCGTCCTCTTTCAAGTCCTCTCGTACCCTCTCATCTTCCCATCTACAACCCCCCGCCCTACTCCATTACCACCTCCACCTCAGATAACATATCCACCAACAACCACCTATCGAATGCTCAGGCAGTATACGAAATTTCATCCACTACGCCGACCAAAACCAAGATGGCCTTGCATTACCCACAACACAACACCACAGCACAGCACAGCACACCCCAGCGCATCAAGAGGAAGAAAAAAATGAAGAGGATTATAACTATACACTGCAATACAGACCAGCCCCAGCCCAGAGCTCCGCTCCATGCCGTAGACGCCCTCTCGCCCTCTATCAAGCGTGTACGCGCGCGCACACACACACAGGCACCGCACCCGACCATCGCGCACTGTACGCCGCAGCCACAGAGCCCAGCAAAGCCAGCAAAGCCAGCAAAGCCAGCAAGCCAAGGCAAGACAAGCAAGCAAGGCAACGCAGCATCCCCCACCCAACCAAGCCAAACCACGCCACGCCACGCCAGCCATCCATCCATTTTTAAATCCTCATCCGCACCCATTCGCACCCATTACCGGAAACCCCGATCCATCCATCCGTTCGTTCGCTCGTTCGATCGATTACGTTGTTCGCGCGTTTTGTTCCGGTCCGTTTCGCAGCCGTGTCGCGCCCGAGTCGGTATTCCCAGTATCCCCCTCCTCTCTCGCGAGAAGGCCCCTATCACTAACGCCCCAGCCGCATCGCAGAAAACGCAGGTACTACGCAGACGCAAACGCAAGCAAGCAAGCAAGCAGAAAAGCAAGCAAGAGACCCAGAGTGATGGCCGCATAGGAGGTAGAGAGAGGAACAAGGGACGAGGAAGACAGCGAAAGAGAGAGAGAAGCCAAAGAAGCAATCATCTACTCCTCCTCATCGATCCTGAAGGACCAATGCTCAGCCAAACAATGCTCTCAAAAACACATTAAGGTCAAAGCGCAAAAACCGGCAACCCCGTCCCTTCTCAAAGGGAACGAGGCCACCGGAAAAGGAATAAAGGTAAACACAAAAAAGACTCGCAACTTACTGCCCACTAGGCGTGACGCTCCTGTGTCGACTGCTGCCAAACAGGCCCCTGCGCTCCCTCGTGCTCTTCGGACTGCTGTTGACCGTGCTCAGCGCGTCCGCAGACGTGAAGCTCGTGCGCAAGAAGACGGTACCCGCGCCTGCGCGCACTGCCTTCTCGCTGCCGCCTGAGCCCTGGTCCTCGACGAAGAACATGCTCTCGCCCAGCTCCTCGTCTGCGCCGAAAGTGCTGTGGTCCTTGACCACCAGCTTGAACTGCGTGTCCGCCGTGCACTGCTGCTTGACCGTCTCGCGGTGCTGGTCGAACGCCACCTCGCCGCTGGCCGAGCGAATATCCTTCGTCTTGTGGATCTCCTTGGCCTGGCCCCGCGAGTTGAACATCGCCACGTGCACCCGCACGTTGGCCGAGGACGGGTAGCCCGCTGCCGAAAGGATGGCGATGCTGGCCACGCCCGCCTCGCCACCACCTGCACCTATATGGCCCGACGCGATGCTCGACGCGCCCACCGACACATGGCGGTTGTGCGGCGTGACGGGCGTCTCGCGCTGGAACTGGTCGACGTGGATCTGCGGCGGCGTCTGCGCGGTGCTAGGGCGGCGACTCTGGTTGTCGCCGTTCTCCGTGATCGCAGCCGGAGCGGTGGCGGCGCGGTCGGCTTCGGAGTCCTCCTCGCCCTGCCCGCGACTCTTACGGCGTCCGAGACCGAACACCTTGCCGACACCACCACCAACAAACGTCGCGCCCTTGATGACGTTTCCACCGACGAAGACAGCGCCCTTGCCGACACCCTTGACGGGTGCGCCAATGACCTTGCCGGGCGCCGCAAAGGTGCCATGGAAAGTTGAGGAGCCCTGGCGAGAACGCACGACGTAGTTGGGCTTGAACATCATCTTGAGGCGGACAGCACCGCTCTTGCCATCGAGTCCAAGAGTCACCTCTTGTTGTTGCATGGGCTCGAGAACGTCGAGGTTGATGATGGCAGAACCAAGGTGATCGGCCTTGTCGCCAAAGTCCCAGTCGTACACGTCGACTTGGAAGTGGGCCGCCGTCCGGCTTCTCACTTGGACCTCGAAGACCTCATTCCACGCCGGGTGCAAAGTCTTCTTCTGCTTGTCCGTCTTGTGAACTTCCTTGCCGTTAAGCACAAACTTGCAGTAGGGGTCGGAATAACCGTTGCGGTCGGCGGCAGGGAGATCGGCAGCGTCGAGGACATCCACGCGGAGAGTACCGCTGTTGTTGAAGGATTCGGCGGCATCCAGTTGCATCTTGACCGGGAGGTACTTGAGCGAGACGATGACCTTGTTCTCGTGACCATCCTTGTCCTCAAGCGTGAGCACAGTAGGAGTGTACAAGCATCGGCGGAGGGTGGAGAGAGTCGGGCCCTGCAGCTTGGCAATGACATGATCCTCATCACCATCTCCCTTCTTGTCCCGCTCCTCGACCAGGCGAAGGGTGATTCTCGAGAAGTCGAGTTCGCGAATCATTGCGTCACCAGCTGCGCTCATCGTCAGTGTTGTACACATACTCGTAAACAAGGACACTTACTGTCGTTGAACGTGGTATGTTTCGACCGAATCTTGGAGCTGAAGTAGTTAGGGAACAGCTGGTCATCCATGAGGACCTCGAGGTAGATGTCCGTCCTTGAGAATTCGCCCTCGATGACCTTGAAGACGAGAAGACCGGATTCTGCCACACGTAGTCAGTTTCTGAACAAGAGGCGGAACCTCTTACACAGCACGCACCGTATTGCTGGAGCTCTTCTGCCGAGAGTCTAATCTTCGGCACCTCAGGCTTTTCCTCGACGTGCTCCTGCTCTCTCTCGCCCATATCAAGTTTCTTCGCCATGTCTAGAGAACCATTAGTACCGTCACTGCGAAGAGACGAGATGGTGCCACTACGGTCTCTCGTCTTCTCCACTGTCAACAGATCGCTGCCTCCCGACACAGCTGAGTTGGCCGAAAGACCAGAAGCATTGCTCAGAGTGGGCTTGTGGCCCTTGACACTCAGATTGCTCTTCTCAGCATCGCCGGCCGACAAGGCCGAGTTAGCCGACATAGCAGAAGCATTGCTAAGCTTGGGCCTGTGGCTCCTGCTGTCCATGCTGCTGCGTTCCTTCTCGGCCTCCTCCTCATCAGGATCAATGACATTGAGAGTGGGGTAGAACGAGCAAGTGTAGCTAAGAGTACCCTTGGCGGGAGAGCGAGGACCCATGCGAAGGCCTTCAATACGGGGAGATGACTTTTCTTCGTAGACCTTGTACTCGCCGTTCTCGTCCTGCTGGAGGTACTCGGAAACAGGAATCTCGATGTGGCCGAGCGACCGATCCTTGCCCACGCTCTCCTGGTCCATGACCTCGACCAGGAGCTTCTCGCGGTTGCTGTGGACGGGAACATAGACGACCTCATCGAAGTCTGGGTTCAGGTTGTTCTTCCATGTCACGGTGCGTCCCTTTTCGATACCAGAGAGCAGCACGCGGACGTACGGATCAGACCTGCCAAGGGATTCGAGGTTGCGCAGATTGCGAGCGTTCTGGAAGTGCAAGCGGACGACACCGACGGGCTTGATGTAGCCGTCACTCATACCAGTACCCTTCAGGGAGACGGGCTTCCACTGAAGTGTCATTTTAGCACGTCCAGTCTTGACACCAGCCAGATTGTACCAGTCCTGGCCCTTGCTCATCAGGTCGAGCATGTCATCAAGCTTGATCTGGTAGGTACCAATGATGGGATCGGCAGCAAGGTCGCGGTCGTCCTTGATAACAAGACCGAGCTTGGCCTTCTTCCTGTCCGTGATGAGCAATTCTTTGGTGGCGTCGGGCCAAACGGGGTTGTTCGTGCGCTTGAGCTTCTTGGAGATGTGTGCCTCCTTTCCGTTGACGAGAAGGACCGCGTAGGGGTTGAGCTGGCCAATCATGCTCTTGGTCGAGTCCAGCTCCTTGGCTTGTTCAACGGTGAATTTGGCGATACCAGTAAGAGACTCGGGAGGAGGTTGCTCAGTGCCGTCTTCGCCCTTGAAGCCTTCGAGAACGGGGAAGAAGCGAATGTCGGCGGTGATGACACCACGAGGCCGGCCATTAGCCATGACCTCAAGAGCCTGGTTTTCAAACTCTTCGTTTTCCTCAAGCTGCTCGAGCGCGAAGCTGGCAGTGCCAAGTTCCTTGTCCTTGCGGTAATCGTTAAAGTCAAAGACTTGCAGCGTAAGAGCATCCTTCAACGAAGTAACAATGATGCTGATGGTCTCGTTCCAGCGGGGGTTTGCGCTCTCGCGGACCGTCTTGGTGCGACCAAGCTCCTGGCGACCGTTGACGGTGACCAAACAGTAAGGGTCCGGAGTTCCAGAGAACTTATCAGGGTTCTTCAGGCCTTGCGCACCGTGGAAGGTGATCTGAACCACACCAATGGCCTGGTCGACCGGGTTACCGGCCAGCATCTTTGCGATTTCGACGGGGAAGACGTTCGGCTCGTACATCATCGGGCCCAGGTTGGCGTGGATCTGCTCCATGATGAAAGATTCCAGACCAGGAATAAAGTTGATATCGAAGCCGAAAGTGTCACCACCGAGAGGCTTGCAGACATAGTCGATAGTAGGCCTCTCAAGGAACGAAATTTCCACCTTCTCGATGTGAGGAAACGGAATTTGAAGCTTCACCTTGATCCTCATCAAGCCAGAGAAGGCCATATCCTCGACAATGACGTCAAGGCCCTTACTGACCATACCTTTGCCAATACGGACCTCAAGCACGACTTTGGGGTTCTGCTTGTTCTTGATCTGGCGCGCCGTAAGGTCGGAGACATCGTTGGGTGTGAAGCTGAACTTCCAGTCCATAAGAACAATGTCATCCTGGGACTTAGGATACGTTTTGACATGCTCCATGCGGGGAGGCTTGGTGCCGAGAACGAAGAGCTTCATCCTGAGACTGTCAAGGAATGCGGGGGTAGCGGTGGAGAGAACCTGATCAACGGAGCTGATAATGGTCTTGCAAAGAACCGGCGCGTAGATGGGCCAGAATTTGACCAAGAAGCTGTTGATCCACTCCAAGCTTTCGGTGTCCGTCTCCAACTTGGTCTTTGCCATTTCTCTGTTCACGTCGTCCCTGAAGTTCCTCCGCACGCGACGGATGGAGGTGCGGTAGTAGGTGCCGCAGATGGCCATGACGATGAAGACCCACGCCAAACCGCCTCCAAGGACAGTGACAACGTAGGAACCTAAGCAGGCGAAGACGATGACGCCGGCATTGTGATACCAATCTGCGGAAAGTCAGCGCTTGTACAGCGGGCTAGCAGCGAACAAGCTCACCGCCGAAGAACTTCTCATCCAGATTGCTTTCTACCCACGTCTGGTGGTCCAGCAATGTGCCCTCGTCCACATCCTCGCCTGCGCCGGGCAATCCGAACTGCGGGGCCCAGCCGACTCTATCCCATTGCTTTTCGTCATCTTCGTCGAGGTCGGCGACAGAGCCATCGGGGGCGGTTTTGGTTACGCTGGTGGGTGTGGGAGGGACAATCGCGCCTTCTTTGGTGGGGGTAGGCAAGTCGTACTTGCTGGAAGAACCATCGTCCTGTAATTGGATTAGTGGTGTCGCTTTGGAGGAGTGGAAGAAGGGCATTTTGGGGCGTCCTTACGGCGTCAGACACTAGGGCGGTGACCTTTGGTTTATGCTCGTGGTGAAATCCGGCCGGAACATGCTATTGCAGAATAGGGATTGTCAGCGCGACTGCGCAATATACGCCACGTGGAAATGGTTGGCTCCAACGGATGGATCGGATCTGACGACTCACCGCGCCCGCTTGCATTGCCTTTTGTTCCGGCGAGGCATCGGGGTCGAAAGCGAGGGCTTCCCCACCGGCCTTCCTGGCCTCATTCATTATCTTCTGCTCGGCGTCTTCTGGCGACACGGACGTGTTCGGATCCCGGGCTGCCTCGATGGCACCCTGCTCCTTGAGCTCGGCCTCCTGTCGTGAAGCCATGACAGGCGCGAGGGTGGAGAATGGGCGGCTATGCAAGCGATATGCCGTTCTATCCGCGGAGTGACGAGGGGGGGTGTGGGAGCACTGGGCGGGGCGACAGAAGCTGGTCTGTGAGCGACGTGCCGTAAAGCGAGGGACCTCTTCGGGGGGGTGAGATAGTTAATCGAGGGAGAGAAGTCGGGAACGGAGAGAGAGAGAGCGAGAGGGAATGTTGGGGCCGGTCAAGTAGAGGAGGGCTGGAAGAGTTGGCTGGATGCGGTCGCGGCCTTGGCCGTAGGAGGTAGAGCTAGGACCCTGGCAACAGAAGCAACAGTAAGCCCCGCGCTGGCTCCTTCCGCGAAACAGTGCTAAGGAGTTTTTAGGGGGTTGAGACAAGCGTGCAAGCGCTATGCTGGCAAAGAGACCAGAGCTGCAAAGTGGCATCAACGCGCAGCGATGTCATCCACGTCGATCCCCGCACATCCCCAGCGCTCGCCCAGCCACTCGACCCTCATGGACGCGCACTTCGCCCACGGTACCTCAATGGCTAACCCGCACGTTTGCGCACCCCATTGGTCCCGTGGCCCCTTCCCGTCCGGCCGGCCAGCTCAACCAACCCACCCGCAAACGCGTCGCGTGGCTCAACACCATCCCAAGACCTTCCCAAGACCGGCCGCACAGCCACGCTTGCCAATCACTGCCTAGCGGAATTGCCAGGCTAGTCGACATTTCGCTACACTAGCGAGTAATTAGTTACTCTACTATCCAATTGCGCCATGCATGGAAAGACGCGCCGGCCCGCGACTTTTGATATCTGCTCTAGTAGCACGCAGCCACGTCTTCCTGTGTGAGTAGCTGCCTTCTGGTGTAATAGGCTGCCAGATCTCTCGCCGTGACGCGTGCATCCAGGGACTGGCAAGATCAAGCCCCGCCCGCCTGTTGATCGCAGTCGATCACCAAACCCAGGGCAGGGTTCCAGTTGGCCGCCTGGCCCCAAGCCCTGGCCCGGCGGTTCCTTCCCATCACCACTGCACGTGTGCACCCACTCGCAACGCACCGTCGCACCGGCGGCAGCGGCGTCGAATCGAACTGAATCTCGCAGAGTCTGAGATATACGACTCTGGGGGGGTTTTGCTTTGCCATGCATGCGCATCTCGCTCAACGGGGTGCGTGAGCGTCCCTTGTAAGTTGTGGAATATTCGACGCCGCTCCGGATGTTCAGATCCGAGTCTGCCGACTGGCCCGAGCAAGATCGGCCTGCAAGTTGCCTGGCTGCCTTACCGCCCCGCCCAACTTCCCTCTCATCATCACTGCGAACGATACCAAACCGTAACAATACCAACCCTCTTCACGGCTTGTGCGTACGCCACACCACAGCGCCACTCATCCGGCCAGTCGGACGACGCGTCGCTTCCCTCCTAGCAGCGCGAGACCGCGTGGCGAGGCGCTGGCGCACCACGAGCGCGACGACTTCCACCCACCTCATCTCCGATCTCTACGAGGACGACTACGACGCTGCCCGGCTTCGTGCCTGCTCTACTCCACCCCTCCTAACAACCGTTCCAACGCCGCGCCAACATGTCTGAGCGAAAGGTTCTCACCAAGTACTACCCCCCGGACTTCGACCCCAGCAAGATCGGAAGGCAGCGCAAGCCCAAGGATGCCGGTCCCAAGGTCCAGACCGTCCGCCTTATGGCGCCCTTCTCCATGTCGTGCCAGAAGTGCGGCGAGTTCATCTACAAGGGTCGCAAGTTCAACGCCAGGAAGGAGCACACCGAGGAGAAGTACTATGCGATCACAATCTACCGCTTTTACAGTAAGTCAACATCCTCTCTGGAACCTGACCTAATAACTAACCGCTTCCACAGTCCGCTGCACCAGATGTTCCGCCGAAATCACATTCAAGACCGACCCCAAGAACATGGACTACACATGCGAGCGCGGCGCAAAGCGCAACTTCGAGCCATGGCGAGAAGCCAAGCTCGCCGAAGAAACTGAAGAAGAGCGACTGGACCGGCTCGAGCGCGAGGAAGCGGAGCGCGACGCGATGGCGGAGCTAGAAACCAAGACACTGGACGCGAAGACGGAGATGGCGATCGCAGACGCACTGGACGAGATCCGCACGCGCAATGCGCGTATCGAGCGCGGCGAGTTCTCGGTCGAAGCGAGCGCGGAGAAGCCGGCGCAGGATCTGGAGCGCGAGCGCCAGGAGCGCGAGGACGAGGAGGCCGCGAAGCGCGCGTTCGAGACTGAGACTGGGGAGCGGGTGAGACGGCTGGGCGAGCCGGAGCAGGAGGGGGGAGAGAGTTCGGCTGCTGCTGCTAAGGGCGCGGCTGCTATGCCTCCGCCTCCGAGCTTTAAACGCGCGCCCAAGAAGAAGAAGGACTTGAGCGCCGCGCTGGGGATCAAGAAGAAGGGACCTCTAGTTTAAATGCGGGGTGGGGTGGGGAGGTGAGGAGGGGGAGTTCGGGGAGCTGTATATATATCAAGAAGAAGGCAAGCGCACAAAGGAGCCCAGGAGAGACGGAGTTAAGGCGCAGGACAGGTCTATCCAGAGAATGTACGATATCACGAACACCAGCAACAAGCAAACCGCATGATATTATGTCCATTCACCGCGAACCGAGATGCACCGTCTAGCGAGACAGGGGACGATACAAGCAGACCCTACCGAGTGCTTCACGCCTAGCTCACAGCGCGAGTCCTGGGTATGGGTGCAACGGTCTTAGAGCACACACAATGTCCATGACCGCGAACCGAGTTGCACCGCCTAGCGCGACAGGGGACGAAGCAAGGAGTCCCTACAGAGTGCTTCACGCCTAGCTCACAGCGCGAGTCCTGGGTATGGGTGCAACAGTCCTAGAGCACACACAGACTGTCCGCATCTTAGCTGCGTCTCTTCTTCTCCTCCATACAAGCATCGCCGTCTCGCTTCTCGGTGAATCTCGCTTCATGCTGACACACGTTACAGAACCCGTTTTCAACGCACGCCAGTTAGGCTCAAATGCCTACCTAGGTAGCTATTCCAAATCCTCGGGTCCTCGGCGTTCTTTTATGACGATCTGCCCGCATCCCAGCTGCCAGTCAGGCAGTCAGGCAGTCAGGCGGGCAAGCACGCAAGCAGGCGCAATCCCCCGAATTGCGAATTACAGACCTACCCTAGTCAGCACAGCACATCTCCATGTTATTTCCAGGGCAGGGCAGAGATGCACCGCACACGCCGCGCCCTGGGGCCGCGCGAACGCACGCACGCGCGAACGATGGGGCCGTGCGCGTTCCTGTGCCTGGTGCCTGGCTAGAGTAGGTGGGCTGGCTCGTGCCCCTTGTGCCTAGTTAAGCCATTGACGACTGTGGCCGCGGTTAGTGGCACCAACACCGACTTCCTGTGCCCCTCGTGGCTTTGACGCTGCCCCTCTGTGGAGCGAGAGAAATGTTTTTTTGCTCGCAGCGAGATGCTTCATAAGCCTGTCGGTGGAGCGCCGGAAGAAAAGCATTTTAAAGAGAGGTTTTGTGCGCGACGGGAAATTGTGTTTGGGTTTGGCGTTGGCGTGGTTGCTGATGTGCGTTTTGTATAGAATTGTATGTATGTATGTATGTATGTATGTGTGTATGTATGTATGTATGTACAATATGTAGTAAGCTCAGTGCTTCTTTCTTAAAACTAGGCGCTTGGGAAGGCGCTTCGCGGTGCAAGGTGTGTGTGTGCTAAAGCTATGATGTGCGCGATGGTGTGTTTTAGATAGAGTAGGGATTGCCTACTTTGTGCTTGTGTAGGTAATATATTATATATCCATTGATAAATAGATGAAGGAGGTGGGTTGATAAAGGAGGTGCGGATAGGTGGGTTTTATTATTTAATATCTATTTACCCCTTTTGCTGGGGAGGTGGTAGGTGGGTTGTTGGTCGTTTATTTAGGACGATTGTTTGGGATTGGGATTGGGGGGGGGGGGGGGGGGGGGGGGGGGGTGGGGTGGGGGGGTTTTGAGGGGTAGGTAGGTGAAAGGTGGGTGAATAGCTGCTGACGCCCCTGCCCCTATAAAGGCATGTTCTAGAATGCATGCACTCACTGTACATGCAGCTCAGCATCCACATGCACAGAATCGGCACAGTCAAAGCACACAACACAATAAACTTGTAACAGTTGATTCATTCGCTCGGGCCTGTACGTGTATGTACCTGAGACCTATCTACCGCTGTCCGTTTCGTGTGCATCTAGCCCCTGTGTGCCTCTATGGGCTTTATGTGCAAGCACCCTGAACACACCCCCTGTCGTTGTGGAAGCCGATGATACCAAGCAAGTAAAGCCATTATGTCCCCGCTGATTGGAGGCCGGAGTAGTGTAAGCAGGACGCGCTCCTTTTCCGCTGCGCAAATGAAAGGTCACTTGGGCATTGTATCTCGCGACGCACACGCACCCAGGGGCCACCTTCCAGAACATTCGCGAAGGAGAGCAAGATCAGCAGAAGAGGCTCGCGCGCGTGCGCTCGTTCTCCCTCGTCTCGTTGTGCAGGTGCTGCGTGACGTCGAGCACGGTGATGATGTGCTCATGGCGCAGCGGCTTGCCGCGGCGACTGGCCAGCAGCTGCGCAGTCTTGAGCACGTTCTTGATCTGGCGACCGTTCATGGTCATGAGGGCGAGCGCGTCCAGCTGCGCCGAAGTGATCTCGTGCTCTTGAGGAGACGCCGCGAGGAAGTTCGTCCAGACCGTGCGCCGTGAGTCGGTGCTGAGCTCCGGGTATTCGAGTGAGATATGGATGCGTGACTGGAAGGCACTGTCGAAGGTGTTGACGCGGTTGGTCGTCAGGAACATTATGCCTTCCTGTGGGGTGGGTTAGCTTAGGTTAGTGTGGGGTGGGATGGGTATGGGATGAAAGACTTACGTAGTACTCGAGGATGCGCAAGAAGATCGAGACGAGCTTGTTGCGTTCGAGCTCGTGGAGGGAGCGCTGCTCGAGGAAGACGTCCGCCTCGTCCAGCAACAGAATCGCGTTCCATTTGGTGCACATCTCGAGGATGCACTGCAGCTTGGACTCGACGCTGCGGGGATCGAGGCCCAGATCACCGGCCGACATCATGTACAGCGGGACGCGCATCTCCTCAGCCACAGACTCGGCCGTCAACGTCTTGCCTACGCCGGGCGGGCCGCAAAGCAGCAGGATGATGCCCTTGCCCTTGCCCTCGATGATGTCGTCGAACGAGGCCTTGTACTTGCGCTGGCTCTCAGTGAAGCCGAGGATCAGTTCCTTCTGGTTGGCCGGGAGCACGAGGCTGTCGAACGCGTTGGTCGACCATTCAATCTCCTTGACGCTGTTCACGAAGAAGTTCAGCCACTGCTTCGTCTTCAGTGAGTAGCCCCGCAGCAGCGGCGTGCTGACCAGCTTCTGCTCCGCCGTGAGCGGCAGCCGCTTGATGCCCTCTTCGTCTTCATCGCCAAAGCTGCCATCCGCGGGCATGCTGTCCTCGTCGACTTCCTCAATGTAGCGGTAGCTATTGTAGCCACGGTATTCGTCATCGCTATAATCTTGGACTCCTGAGGAGTCGTCGTCGTCGTCGTCGTCGGAGTCGTCAAGCGATGGCTTCCCGTCCTTTTGCGCGAGCGGCGTCACGTAGATGCCCATGTTGGGGTTGAAGCGGTTCCAGCCAAATGTGTCGATCACGATGCGTCCCTTGATGTTGTACTTATCCTTGGCGCTCAACGAGCCGCGCTTCCACCCAATACCGTGGTACGCCTTGTAGTGCGAGCCGGCGAAGGCCTCGAAATTGGCGCCACGCTCCAGCAGGCGCTTGCGCAAACCCTCCTCGTCGTGGTGGAACTCAATCGGGAAGGCCGGAAGCTGCGCAATGTACCGTGTGCCCGAATAGGCGGAGATCTTGATTCTGAGCTTGTTCGTCCCGAAGCGTGTTCCGTCCCAGTCCAAGTACTTGCCCGTGATCCAGAAGCATGGTCCGGTGTTGGTGTCCGTACCGTACTTGGTCTCAGCCAGCTTCAAGGCCGTCTCTTGGCCATCCTGGCGAGAGTAGATGATCGCACCGGGCTGGAAGAGCGTGTAGAGGCAATCGTATGTCATCACGCCCTTGGACTTCATATCTTGGAAAGTGTCGATCATGTCGTTGAATTCCGACTTGAGCAGGCTGTACAGCACCTCGGCGTGCTCCAGGGTCAGCTTCACTTTCTCGTCATCTTGCGACTGGCTCTTCAGCTTCTCAATCGCAGCCTTTAGCTCAGCCCATCGATGGATGAGCGGCTCGAAAGGATCCGAGAACTCAAGACGCTTCAAGCCAGCAGTGACACCGGGGTAATCCTTGAGTACCTTGCGGAGCAGGTCCTTCAATAACGGGCTCTGGATGACAATAGAGTGAACTTGGAGCACCTTCCGGGGATCGTTGTAGACCTTGACGTTACGGACGAGGAGTGCCCACTTTGAAGTTTCTGCGTTCTCGACCGGTTCGCCAACATCCTCGGGGATCGTGTCCTGCCACTGGAAACGTCCCTTCCTGTCTTCCTTACCAGAGTAGAGATTCTTGAAGCCGCATTGCATGCCGACCTCGGAGGGGTCCAGGCTCTCGACTTCGGCCGGAGCAGACTTGCCGTTGGACATGGTTGAATTTTTCATGCCGCTGGACTTGGGCAAGTCGTTGACGCTGGACATGTGCAAGTGCTTGAACGCGTCAGCGAGAGGCAGATCCGACGGGGAATTGCCGTCTTTGACGTTGTGCGGTGCCATGATGAATGGAACTTGGTGGTTTTAGAAGTGTTCGTTTGGTTGGGTCGGCGGGGAAGGCCCCGGACGGCTTTGTGCGACCCCAAGTGAATGGCCTTTTGAAAGTCTGAAGCAAAACTGTATTAAGGGAACAGGAAAAGAGCAACAGCAGAGCTTTAAGAGAGCAGTGAGAGGGAGGCCCAGAAAAGTATTATGATGGAAACCAGACAAGTCACGGTCGCTGCTCTTTATGCATCACTGCGTGGTTGTTGCTGCTGCCTGCACATCACTGTGACGAGGCTGAGCCATTCAGTCAACGAGCTCAACGTCAATCCAATAAATGACGCGTGCCTGCAGTTGCTGCCTGCGTTGCCTAGGATGATAGGTAGTGACTCTACATGTACTCATCCAACCAAATGCCGCACGTTTCGAGTGCATCCTTTAGAGAGTTTTTGCCAACGTTCACAAGTTAACGGGCAAAGCCTGGTCGTTCATGTCGCGCATGTGCGCAGTGCTATAGGCATAATCAGATCTACAGTAGACGTCAGTTGCCGACTAGACAGACATTAAACTGAGTTATAATAGCATACGACTGAGGACTACATAAGAAGCATGTCAACTCCACTGCGAAATGGTTATTACGGCTACGTAGAGATCAGCTGCGGGTGTGCTTTACAACAACGGTCGGGGTTTACTCAACTACGCCTGGGAGCCTGATGCACTGGAAGTACGTGGTAGATACGAGTGTTTTTATCCATGTCTTTATCGCGGATTCGCGTGAGTATTAAGATGGTGTTGTGGGTTGGCTCGGATAATTTTCCCATCCTTTGGCAGGCCGCCCACGTGATACTACACCTGCATAAGTGTATGATTTACTTTATACCCTTTACCCTCGTACATGCGTATACTTCCTTGGCATGCCTTTGTGCTCAGGAATCTCTATATCTGGTATCTTTACAAGCACTCCTTTTGCCCTCGCACTTTTTTGTATCTGTGAAAATATCTTACCCATATATATATACTATTTTCGTATATGTGTAAAGCAATCTATGGCTCCGCAAGCAAAGAGTTTCGATAGATATGTCCTGCGTAGATTCAGGTGGGCAATGCGGGTTGAATGTCGTTGCCTCGAATCTGTGGGGAACCCCAACCAGACCCCGCCGATTTCCGCGCCAGGCCGATCGACTTAGTCGTGACCACATCTCGACTGCACCAGCACCCCGACGTACGATATGATAGTGACAAATATTTGTTGCCTGTCAAGCCGCCAAGTGATGCCCCAACACGACATGAAGGAGCTCTGTTTGATTGACGTTTGACGTTTGATAGGGCCAAGGGCTTCCACAACTGCACGTTGGAGACGGACAGAACCAACTCGACCAGGCCTCGTTCTTCATCACTGACGACTGACGGCGGTTGAGACACCCCAACGGCAGCCAGTTTCGGGCCGTCGAGTTGCACAGCGGCGCCAGTGCCGCCCATCCACGTTATGGGTGGTACGAGACGCGCAGGGAGCCGAGGGCCGCGAACCTTCTCCATCTTGTCTCAGAGTATCGAGGGGGGTGGTGGCACAGTCACAGTGGGGCACATCCAATGAAGGATGCCGTGAGGCATTTGAGCCTACGCATGCCCCCTTCTCTCCAGAAAACATGCTCAGGGCTTGCAGGCCATGTGGAGCTACGGCTGGGCCGGACCGTAGCGATTGTGCAGCCGGCATGCTCGTATTGGCATGCACGAAGGGCCCAGATCTTCCAGATATCTGGTGCTGCTGGCCGGAACAGGGTAGCCAGCGCGAGATCTTCACGTCGCCGTCACTATCACAGATGAGATAACTCAACGTTCCACGAACATGGCACGACCCAGACCCGATGCTAGCATGTGAATGTCTCAGGCGGCGGGCAAATGGCGCAGCAGAAGGTTCGGTGCGGCTTCCAACTCGTGATGGGAGGCGTGCAAGGAAGGCCGAGCATGCGCGCGCCTCTTACCTCAACCGTCTAGCGAGGGGTGCGCGGTGCAACGCCGAAATCCCGCCCTGCCTGCAGATTTCACAATTGTGCGTCTGACATACCTACCACTACAGGCAATTGACTCCCTCCGCTCTCCCCAGACCGCGCAGTTATCACCCCGTCCGCCCCTCTCTTATTTTTCCCTCACGATGTCCACCTCGTCGCACCCTCCGGCCTCGAAGCCTGACCCTACCGTCAACGCCGATGCCTCCCAAAGAAGACTCTCCTCCTCCGATGCCGCCGGTTCCGCCGAACTCGCCAATCTTAAAGTAAACCTGAAGAGCGCTCTGCGCCAGTTCCCCGACTTCCCCAGCAAGGGCATCCTCTTCGAGGACATCCTGCCCATCTTTGCCGACGCGTCCCTGCACCAGAAGCTGGTCAGGGCGCTCGAGCTGCACGTCTCCAAGAACTACGCCCAGAAGCCCGACGTCATTGTCGGCCTCGAGGCGAGAGGCTTTTTGTTCGGCCCTAGCCTGGCGCTGGCGCTGGGCGCTGCCTTCGTTCCCGTACGCAAGCAGGGCAAGCTGCCCGGTCCCACCGAGACCGCCAGCTACGAGAAGGAATACGGCCAAGATTTCTTCCAAATCCAGGCTGACGCCATCAAGAAGGGTCAGCGCGTCATCATCGTGGACGACATTATTGCGACGGGTAAGTACCTAGCTCAAGGCCGGCTTTTGCAGGGTGTTTCGCATACTGACAAACGTTTGACAGGCGGTTCTGCCGGCGCTGCTGGTGACCTCGTCCAGAGGCTCGGCGGCGAGCTTCTCGGCTACCTCTTCATCCTCGAGCTCGACTTCCTCAAGGGCCGCGACAAGCTCAACGCGCCCGTCTACACGCTGCTGTCCGGCCAAGAGTCCAAGATGGAATAAACGAGCGGGCTCCGACAGCTGCATGACTCTAGCTGCAAAGCCGGACACGTCACAGCAGCTGCATAACGGGAACCCTGCCAGGTCTAGGGTATTTCTGCACGGCACGACTGGGAATAAAAGGAGGCTGACGGTGGCGTCGCGGGTGGTATCTTGGCCGGGCTACATGGCTTTTCGGGAGGGGGGCTTATCTGCATTGCACATATCTCGGGACTTCTTTTTCCAACTCATCTCTAATCCGCCTTGCGATTCCCCTACATAGATCCGCCCATTCTACATTCATGATTTCGCTGCCGTTTTCAACACGGGCGGACGTTCATAGCAAAGACCAAAAAGGAAAAAAAGAAAAAAAGTTTCCTTGTGCAAGCGGTATCGGATCGTCGTGATGAACCCCGCCATGAACCCCACCTTGATCAGACTCCGACCGTGCGCCGACCTTCCTTTCCTCGCACCATGCTTGCTCGCACAACAACAATTCATCTGCTGCAACGATCCGTCTTCAATCCTCATTCTCTTCGTCGATCGGCTCCGCTCCTGCGCCAACAACCTCTCCGCACAATGTCTGACATCAAGAACATCTTCACGGCCAACGCCTGCCCTCGTACGCGATGACTCCTCCCTCGCCTTGACTAGCTGTTGCTGACAACTGGCTTCTCTAGCTGCTGGCCCTTACGTACGTCCCGCAGTCCATCCCTTCCCTTTCCAATCCTGATGTGCGGTCCGAGCCGTCCCGCCAAATGCTGTGTTGCTGTGCTAGGCGTGCGGGGAGCAAAGCACGCCGGGCCAAGCTGCACCCCAACATTCCCCACTTGCATTTCCGCGCGGCAAAAGCAAGAGACAGAGCAGAAGCGGAGGCGGACCCCGCAAGCAAAAAACGCCACACTCACACCTAACACGCCGTGTACACGCGCACGACGGAAGTTCCCAGAGCTCTGACGCTGACAGATGCTGCGGTGAAACAGAGCCAGGCCGTCCAGGTCGGACAGCAAATCTTCGTCTCGGGCCAGATCCCCGCCGATGCGCAGGGCAATCTCGTCGAGGGCAACATTGGCCAGAAGACCGAGGCCTCCTGCAAGAACATTGTTGCCATTCTGAGCGAGGCGGGCTCCGACATCTCCCGCGTCTTCAAGGTGCGTACGCGGCGTGGTACCCGGCGCGAGACGCTCGCGTGCGGTTGCACGCAGGGCGTCCCCGTGGTTGCCGCTGCGGGGGCGTTGGATGGAAGCTCATGGCTGACTTTTGCGCTAGGTTAACGTCTTCCTTGATGACATGGCCAACTTTGGCGAGATGAATGCCGTCTACGAGAAGTTCTTTGCCCATAAGCCTGCTCGCAGCTGCGTTGCCGTCAAGCAGCTCCCCAAGGGCGTGCCCGTTGAGATTGAGTGCATTGCCCTTGCTGGCAAGGCTTAGATGGATGACGTGATGCGTCTGACATAGTATGAATGAATAAAATTGGCGAGTCAATCCCAATTGAGCGCAACGTGTGACCGGTGCTTCGTCTAGACCTGGGATTCGACTACTTGCTTTGCTGTGCGTGCTCGTGTTGCGACAACCTGTCTTTTGCTTGTTGGGAATTCCGTTACCATTTTTCCGTGCGTTGTCCTAACAGAGAACAAATCTCCAAGAAAACTGTTTGTTGTCGTCTACAGGATATAACGGTTATATAATTTTGCAAATGCATCCGAAATAGTATGTTCAAGTGAAAGAGTCGAATAAGAAGTATCCGGGTAGTGCGGCGGCGGGATTTTCCCACCGGCGTAAACAGCTCGCTTCGGCGGCGCGCTCTTCAGCCGCAGCTCTTCACCCGCGTCACCAACCCACGCTCGGCACCCACAACCCCATCAACACGCGCCTCAGCAGCGCCCATCTCCAGACTATACGCGCACAACGCGGACGCCGCCGACCCAATCGCGCACCACCAACACGCAGCACGGCGCTTCTCCATCCCCATACCACAGCACAGCACCGACGCACACTCGACGCCCACCATGGCCGACGCGGAAATGGACATCGACACGGCCACGCCCTCCGCCGCCGTCGAGGAGGACAAGGCCCCCGTCGCAGAGGACAGCAGCAACGTCAAGGGCGCCGAGGCGCGCACCCAGGCGGGCGCTGTCGCCGTCCGCTCGATTGAGGGCTGGATCGTTATCGTCACGAATGTCCACGAGGAGGCGAGTGAGGAGGACTTGACGGATCTGTTTGGCGAGTTTGGCGAGATTAAGAATTTACATCTTAATCTGGATCGGCGCACGGGTTATGTTAAGGTGAGTTTGTTTGGGTGGTGGTTGGTTGGGTCTGCGCGAGGCGGAGCTTGAGCTCCAGCTTGCACGAGCTTGCACAATCAACTGGGAGCAACAAAAAAAGAGAAAGAGAGAGAGAAAACCATCAGAACACCGGCTAACGACCCCCCGCTTCCTCGCACCACAGGGCTACGTCCTAATCGAGTTCCCGACGCTAGAGGAGGCCAAAGCGGCCATCGACGGCGCCAACGGCAAGAAGCTGCTGGACCAGACGATCGCGGTCGAGTATGCGTTTGTGCGGCCGCCGCCGAAGCAGGCCGGGCAGGGCGGGAGCGGGCGGGGCGGCGGGCGCGCGGGCGCGGCGCGCGGCGCTCGCGCTCGTAGCAGGAGTCCTGGCGCCGATCGCGAGCGCAGCAGGAGCCCGGACGTCAAGGACGTCGAGGTCGAGTGAGTGCTGCGGCGTGTGCGTGTGTGTGCGCGCTGCGCTCGCTCGTGCCTCGTCCGTGGGCTGTGTGCGCGGGACGGCGATGCGGCTGGCTGGCTGGCTTGGTTCCTGAGGTCGCGAAAGAAGAGATTGAGTGAGCTAGGTAGGGCACGGCACGGCACGGCACGGTACGGTACAGGTGGGAGCGGTCACACCGCATCACAGAGCAGAGAAAAGCATAACAAAGCTAAAGCAAAACAACATGCGCGCCGGCTTGTCGAGCGATTGACAAGTTGGCCTTTTACGAAAACACCTGGTACGTCGCGTCCCATCACGTCTCACCTTAATCACCATCTCCGTCAATCCTACAAACAGCAACTAACCCTTTCCTCGCAGACACTTGCATACTCACACTCGAACACCGTGCTTGGAATCTAGGTGGAGTCTAGCACCGAGAGGTCTACATCATAATTAGTTGCTGAAACGTCTTTTTTCATGGCACGCTTGCTCGCGGCGGAGCAGAGATGCTGGTGCGCCTATGTAGGCATGCCGTGCGTTCGCGTTCCGCGCAGCAAGAAGATGAAAACGTATGCCGCACATTTTCATAGTCATACTGTGCAGCAGCCTCGCCCCCTCTCCCTGGAACTGGTAGATGCCTGACCAGGCACGCACTGACTGAACTGAACTGAACCGAACTGACCCAATCCACCCCCGTCGATCCGCCAAGCGTGTGCTTGGTTTAGGCTGTATGGTGATGGTGGTGGTGGTGGTGGTGGTGGTGTTCTTGCTGCCCTATGACCACCACCATAAAAAAGCCGTCCGGGGCGTGATGTGTGTGATATGCGTGCGCGTGAGCGTGTTCCTGGCATGCGTGTGCATCTGGAGCCATCAAGCCGTTCCTGACAAACCCATCACTCGAGGTATCAAAAGCGCTCGTGCCCGCGTGATGCGATCTGTCTCAGATACTCCGATGGAATGTACATGGAGCGGTTTTAGACCCACCCAGCACAGCCAGCACGGCCATTGCGCTCGTTGGCGTGATCGTGATATTAGATCTCTGATCTGTGTACGTTCGTACGTATGTACATATAGGTACGAGTGTTTGAGGCGTGCGGGGGAGCGAATCACCACGGGGCTGACGTTCGTTCCTTGGACCTGGCCCTGGCGCTGCCCTGCCCTGGCCACGCGAGCTGCCCTACGCGTACCTACAACCTACTAACCACCTCTCCATCTCTCTATCTGACGCCCGCACACGTTCCGCCGCCACCTTGTTCTGCGCGCTTTCTGCCTCTGGCTTCTCCCGTTTGCGAATTGCGAATTGCGGATCGCGAGTTGTCTCGTCGCACCCCCCGCACACGCGCGCCCGCATGCCCGCTAGGTGCTGGCTCGGCTCGGCCCCCACATGACGTTGAGGTTGACGGCTCGGATGACTGCTGCCGCCGCTGCTTCTGCCTCTGCCTCTGTCTTTGTCTGGCTCTCTTGATTTGATTTGATTGCTGTCTCTGTTGCGTTTGCGTTTGCTAAGTGCCTTCTTACGGTTGGGTACTGCTGCTGCTGCGGAGGGCTGAGGCTGGTGCTTTCTTTCTCTTTCTCTCTGGATTTCTCACACACACACTCTCTCTCTCTCTCTCTCGCGCTCCTTTTCTCTTTCTTGAATTTGCGTCTGCTCGTTTGCTCGCCTGCTCTTTCGCCGGAACTATGGTGTCGTTTGGATCGGGTCCCCGGCTGCGCGGCTGGTGTGCTGGCGTCGTGTTTGCTGTTACCACGGTGCTGTTTCTCGGTGCCGGCACGCGCGCACATGTCCAGCTGGGTGGTAAGCAGGAGATGCTGGTCCCCGGGCAGCAGCAGCAGCAGCAGCAGCAGCAGCACTCGCTCGCGCTCGACCCGCTCGACGAATTGCACGCCGCGCTCGCAACAATGCAATCGCAGTACTTTGAGCTGTGGCTGGGGCAATGGCCGCAAGCAATCGACTGGACGGCCGCGGTCACGGCCACGCACGTCTCGAGCTCGTTGCGCTCACTCACGCACGCGCTGGCGCGCCATCAGGACCGCATTGGGCCGGTGCGTGTCGAGAACGAACTCAATCGGTTCTTTGAGCACGTCGTCGCATACTATTTCGGCGAGGACGCGTTCGCGCTGCGCATGCAGGCTTACGACGACATGCTGTGGGTGGTGCTGGGGTGGCTGGAGGGGATCAAGTTCACGCGCGAGCAGGCGGCGCTGCATGAGCGGCGGCATGGCGCGAGAGATGCGGACGAGCCGGCTACGCAATGGCATGGCACGCAGTTTGTGTCGGCGTTCGCCCACCGCGCCCACATCTTCTACGATATTGCGCGCCAGGGCTGGGACACGCGCCTCTGCGGCGGCGGCATGACGTGGAACCCACACCTGCTGCCGTACAAGAACGCCATCACCAACGAGCTGTACATCTCCGCCAGCGTGGGCATGTACCTCGACTTTCCGGGCGACGAAAACACTTCGCCCTTCCTCGCCTCTGGCTCCTCTTCTGGCAGCGGCAACGACGACGACGACGCGGCCCTCCCCCCCGCCCGCCCCCATGACTCCGCCTTCCTCCGCGCTGCGCAAGACGGCTACGCCTGGCTGAAGCGCAGCAACATGACCGACGACGCGGGGCTGTACGTCGACGGCTTCCACATCACAGACTTTGGCAAGAACGGCAGCATCGGGACGGGCAAATGCGACGAGCGCAACGACATGGTCTACACGTACAACCAAGGGGTGCTGCTATCGGGGCTGCGCGGGCTGTGGGAGAGCACGGGTAAGACGGCGTATCTGGAAGACGGGCACGCGCTCGTGCGCAGCGTTATTGCTGCCACGGGCTGGGATGCCGAGCGTGGTGAGGCTGGCGAGGCTGGCGATGACGCGTGGCACCCCCTCGGCCGCGCCGGCATCCTCCACGACGCCTGCGACAGGGACGCCACGTGCAGCCAGGACGGCCAGACCTTCAAAGGCATCTTCTTCAACCACTTCACGGCTTTCTGTGCACCGCTTCCCGCGCAGCCCCGCGTCCCGGACGTCTCGTTTGGCGCGGACGCAGAGCTGCGCAGCTTGCACTTGAGCAGCTGTCGCGGGTACGCGGCGTGGGTTGCGCGGAATGCGAAGGCGGCACTGGCGACGAGGGATCAGGCGGGTAGATTTGGCGGGTGGTGGGGCGCGGGCGTGGGCATTGGTGAGGAGGGCATCGTCGTGCCTGCGAGCGCGACGGACTACAGGAACGACGGGGACGTGCTGGCTCGCGAGCCGTGGTCGGTCTCGGACACGGACGCTTCTTCCGAGCCCTCATCACAGTCGCAGCGGCCTCCACAGTGCCCTCGTCGCCCCGGCGCGCGCCGTGCGCGAACTGCGGAGGCGGCGGCGGCTGATGATCCGAATGATCGTGGCCGTGGCCGCACCGTCGAGACGCAGGGGGGTGGCGTGGCGGTTGTGCGGGCGCTGTGGGAGTTTGTGGCGTTGTTTGAGGGGGAGAAGGGGGAGAGTGAATGAGGGGGTTGGTGAGTGGGTGAGTGGGTGGAGGGAGGTTGGGGGAGGACGATGTACACGATCTCGCATATGGAAAACGGACTGTATGTGGGTGGGTGGATGGATGAGGAGATAGGTTTGGTAGGTACGTACGGTGGTGGTTATGTGTGTGTGCGTGTGTGTGTATGGATGAACGACCTTTTTCCTTATCCGCTTAATTTATTGGTTTGGTCTCGGTAAACATATATATATATATATATCTCGGCATCAGCATACAGCATATACCTAGGTATCATTTCACTTATACACCTACCTACTCCCCCAAGCGACAGTGAGTAAGTGAGCGAAAAATCCAACCCCCTACCGACTGATAAGCTACAAGCAACAAGCAACAACTCACTACCTACCTTTTTGCCCTTCCCGCATCTCTATCTATGGATCTGAAGGAACACGATCAGGGAAAACGCGCTTAAACGCTTCGAACAAGGTTGACTGGGGCGCCGCCCCGCGCACGAAAACAGCAACAGCAAAGCGCCAGCGCCAGCAGCACGTCCGACACGCCCTGTTTCTTCTTCTGCGGCGGCGACGGCAACGCTAACGCACACCACCGCCACCGCGCCCTACTGCTCGCTGTCGTTGTTCTTTGGTGCTAGTCACCACTACCATTGGTACAATCTACCCCCGTCCTCCTCTGCTCCTTCTTCACTCTAGAAAGAAAGGTTTCTGCTTTGGCGCTGTGCGCGCGCCCCCCGCGTGAGATCTACGAACTGACCAATTGGCATAACAGCTGCTAGTTTTTTGGACTGGCTTCTGGAGGGAGGGCGGCTAAAGCTCGCTAGATGGCTTGGTGCGTGACGGTAGGTGCAAGGTTTCGGGCTATGGGTGTGTACAGGTGTGGGTGTTGTTGGTGACGTTGTGAGGGGGTGGTGAGTAAGTGTTTTTGGCTTTGCTTCGCGTTTATTAGGCGTGTGTGATTTCGATGAGGGAGGCGGCTGGAAGGTTTTGGGCGTGTTGGGTTTTGCGCATTGTCGGGCTGGATGATGCACGCGTTGGGGAGGTAGCGTGATAGTGTGGTAGGGACGTGGAGGTCGTCTGGTTGGTGTTGTGTGGGAAGTGCACGATGGTGAGAGGAAGCGTTTTGCTGCGATAACTTTGATACGGGTTCAAGTGACTCATGGGTCTGGAGAAGAGCTTTGTGCATGGATAGAAAAGGGAGGTGCCAGTGCCGAAGACAAAGTATATATAGCTTCTCAAAGGCTCGATCTCTCCCTCGCAGACAAGCACTGGTCCAAGGTGAACCAGTGAGTCAGACACAGCAGCATACTTATTAGTGTCTCGACAACATATGGTGTCATACCCGGTACTGGGGGCGTTTCTCTCATGAAAGTCTGTTCAGTGAGGAAGCAAACGGCTTTCTGGATGCGGGATAAAGCTTCTTGTGGTAGTGGTGGTGAATATTGTCACCATCACATGGTTTCGTTTGCCATCTCCAGCCATCAGTGCTTCTGATTATCACCACCCCATGTTAGTTTTTACATCAATAGTTCCCTCCTTTTTTACCTTTCTCTTTCGTTTTTTCCCGCAAGTGTTTACGGTGAGGGGGGCACCACAGCCCACACAATCCAGTTCTAATTCAAGCAGTCGACATCTCGTGGTGTCGTAGGCAGTGGTGGAAGAAGTGGCGCAGATGTAGCACCGCTATTTATCTACTCTCCGCCAAGAGTAAACCGCCTCCTCGCTGCCCCAGGTGCGTCCTTAGCTCTCACATCGCGGCCATATACGCGGGCAGTTTCATACACTTCAACCGTTCCCCACACCGTGCATCTACGCAGCCATGAGCCAACATCCACAGCAATACCATCATAACGAGGAAAGCCGGAGGGAATCGGCTGGATAGCTACCAAAATACTACCGACATGCTGCACCACAAAGCCATCCCAGTCCCACCAACCGGCTTCATTTCCGCAACACATAAATACCTGCCACAACCACAGCAGCTGCCACGACGACAGCCCATCAACCAAGGCAGCTGTGGATTGAGCAGAGTGCACGAACATGATACGTGTTTGTGGGATACCTCACGTCAAACGTTAAGCCACTATATGTTCAAACCTGTTCAGCCGTCCTTACCTACCAGCTTCTGAATGTGATGATAATGAAGCAAATCCGTACCTCATGATGCTGTCCACCGCCTCCAACGGTTGGTGCTACTGGCCATCATCATTTTCGTGCCATCATCACTTGTTATTTTCCCTTCTTTCTTCTCTTCTTCGTTAGTGCCTCTGAAAGACGGTAGAAGTGAGCGGTCACCGCCACGTATGAAAGAACTGTATCTCTGCTGCTTCTGACGGAGAGGAATCGGTTGTATAGAGAGAAAGAGCTTCTCACAAGGTGCTATTATTATGGAGTAATACGACGCCGGACTGGCCCGGCAGCACAGCGTGTGCTCATATCTCTCCGGCCGCAGTATGCAGATGATATGCCCATTGAAGCCTTCAACTGTCTTAATGTTGCAGCCACATCAGCATGAAGAGGCAGCAGCCGCGGGCCTGAACAGGTGGGCGATAGCTTACCTATGAACTCTCCCATTCTCACGTCCTTGCTCCCTTGTGTTTCCAGGCATTTTAACGCGTGGAGAGTACGTACATGATGCTGTACAGCGTATAATATTCCTTCTCGACACTGTTTAATATCGACAAATGATTCGAGACCTACCCCCTGAGCAGCTCCAAACTAGTTCGTGCGGCCTGTCTGCTTAGCAGATCTGCGTATGATGTTTAATCCACTGCGCGAAGACGTTTCTCACTATCTCAAGTGAGCGGGTGGGACTGAGATGAGATCAAGAGCGGGAAAAAAGGAAAGAAAGGGCAGTGGTAGCGACGAAGTCAAGACCACCAAAGCAGCATGCTGGCCAAGCACCTCAGAAGCAGAGACAAGCAGGCAGGCGCAGGCTCGACCTCCCGTCTTTGTCCTCTTTTGCAGTCCATGGCCCCACACCATCTCCATCATCGCCGCTTTCTTGCTCGATCACACGCGGCTCACGGCTTTTTAGCCTCGCTTGCCCCAGTAACAGTCAGGTGGCGGAGCTAATCTGCTCCGCTTCATTTCGGTCCAGCTCTAGAGCGTGTTGATCTGCCCTGGCCAGCTCGATCTGGTTTACTCTAGCCCGCCTTGGCCCTTGCTCACCTCTTTAGACCAATCAAATCCGTATCAGTGCGTTCGATTCGGTGCAGTGTAGCCGACGACGACGTCAACGCTGGCCAACCACAGTGGCAGGAGGCCTGGTCGTGTGGATGCTGCTTCTGCCGCCGTCGCTGGTGGCTTCGGGCTTTGGGGTGCTGCGAGAGGCGGTGGCGGGGCGGGATGGGCCATGGCGAGTCGAGACGAGGCGGGGCGAGGCGGTGCCGCGTGACGGGATCTTGGTACAGGCGGCGGAGACGAAAAAGTAAGGGAAGGAGGGAGGGCGTATGTGGATGCGGGAGAGACAGCGAGGTCGGGATGGATTGTAGCGAGTCGAGACGAGGCGGGGCAAGGCGATGCCGCGTGACGGGATCCTGGTGCCGGCGATGTTGGTGAAGGAGGCGGGGGAAGGAGTGAGGCGTGTGTGGGTGCGAGAGAGACGGCGAGCTCGGGATGGATTAATCGACGAGCGGAGAGGCGGAAATGTGGCTGCAGTGTGTGCTGAGCGCCGGCCCCGGATAATTTGTCTACCCCTTCTAGATATTTTACCTACCCCTTAACTATGTGTTGAGTGAAATCTACGATATCTACAAAGTACTCCTTAGGTAGTTATAATTAGATAGTTATGCTATAGCTAGTAGGCACTTTATAACTATATAATAGTGAAAAAAAGTATAATAGTACCTAAAAAGATATAATGGTGAAATTATGTACGAGTCCTAAAGGATTCTTTAAAAGTATAGAGATATAGCTATATAAAAATTAAAGGATATTGTTGAACAGTGCGAGAAAGCTGGACACTGCTGTCGCATTGAATTGAGTGAAACTGTCTGCTTAAATACACGACCTCCCTGGGTAGAAAGGTGACTATCGTTCCACTAATAGGAGAGAATGGCATGATGTTGAAAAAGCAAAGTGATGACAGGGTTCGTGCTAAACGAGATAATATAGTTATGGTGGTGATGGTTGACAGATATATTACGAGGGTATCAAAATAAAATGTTTGAAGGATTGAAAGGTACTTATAAAGAGATAAATATATAAGCTATCTAAGAGTAGAAAATATATTATATTGTTTTGCAGGTATGTCGTCTAGAGGGGTGGGAAAATTGTCCGGTGCCTCGGTCCTTAAATACTCTTTTTCGCACTCATTCGCTCACTGGATTCCACCTTGCTCTTACTCTTATGACCATTTTGCTTTCACATGCCAGACCACTTCGGCCAAACACTCCATTCAGCGGAACCTTCGAGAGGAACCATCGAACGCTCACGATGGTTCTGATCCGAATCACCAGGGCAGTCGTACGCAGCTCCGGGGTTTGCATGCACGCTGGAAGCCCTACCTAGCACTAGTCTCTGCTCATCAACCCATTCGACGTCATCCATCTGCCCTAAAGAAAGCAAACTGATCATCAAGGCAGCTTTGGTTCCTGGCTTGCGGAAGGATGCGCTGCTCCTAGAGTAGAAGTGTGTTCGCGCGTGCGGCGTCTGGATTCCTGCTCCTTACGCCGCGGCGGGCATGCGGAGCCGCAGCCTCAACCGCAGCTGCGCGACGAGATGGTTGGCCGGCGGGCGTTACCGGGTTCGTTGCAAGTTCCACCCACGTGTTGGCGGATGCCGTCCAGAACAAGGCGGCGCACATTGGGCATGAAATCCCGACGGCGGCACGGCCTGCCAGAAGCTCAGACGGCGGCATATGTGGCCGATGGCGCGTTCGTAGGCGAAAATGTCCTGGGCGGCTTGACACGGCCCACTTCCCCGCAACGCCCTTGACCGCGCTCCACCTTCCCCAGATTGACCCCGCGAATCCGGGGTCGGCGCCGCTCCGGTTGGCGACGCGGGCTTTAGTCTCTCCTTTGAGCCAGCCTCCACCCGCTTTCAGAGTCCGCGGCAACAGGACACGGCTCTGCCGAAGGCTGGCGCGTTTGGCCAATGCGGCATTGAGGTTTTCCGACGTCTGTTCGGAAAATGCTCTATATAATGCCTGTTGCCGCCCTTGTCGTGATGCAGCAGCAGCAGCGCACAGTTTGACAACCTTGCACGGTCGCTTAAGCTGGTCTTTCATTCCTCGTCTTGCATCAGTTGCCGCACCTGCTTTCATCACGCCTCTTCCCTCTCATTCACCATGTCGAAGACCGCACTGAAGCACGACACGCTTCAGGACAAGGTCCTGGCCGACCATATCGAGAAGCTCGAGGACATCTCGACCGAGGAGCTGACCGAGTACATTGACGACTCAATTGAGGACACCAGGACCGGTCCCTTCATTTGGCTCTTCGCCTTTACTGCCTCCATCGCCGGCTCTCTCTTCGGTTATGACACGGGCATCATCTCGGCCGTACTCGTCTCTATTAACGCAAGTCTGGGCCATGAACTCTCGTCTAATGAGAAAGAGCTCATCACCTCGCTCTGCTCTGGCGGTGCATTCTTCGGCGCCATCGTTGCTGGCATGACAGCCGACCGCTTTGGCAGGAAGATGGCCATTTACGCCAAGTAGGCGCATTCCATTCTCGTTTCTCGATCTTCGCTGACCATTCCAGCTGCGTTCTCTTCACTGTTGGCGCTATAATCCAGGCTGCAGCATACTCGCTCGCGCAAATGGCCGTTGGCCGCCTGATTGTCGGCGTCGGTGTCGGCTCCGCCTCCATGGTTGTGCCGCTGTACATTGCGGAGATTGCACCTACCAAGTTCCGCGGACGCATGGTCGGCCTTAACAACATTTCCATCACTGGCGGCCAAGTCATCTCCTACGGTATCGGCGCAGCGTTTGCGCACGTCGGCCACGGTTGGCGCTACATGGTCGGCCTGGGTGGCGTGCCTTCCATCATGCTCATGTGCCTGCTTCCGCTCTGCCCGGAGAGCCCCCGCCACTTGGTCGCACAGGGCCGCAACGAAGAAGCGGAGCGCGTCTTCAAGCGTATCTACCCCGATGCCACGGCGCAACAGCTCTCGGACAAAGTGCGGCTCATCGCGTCAGGCTTCGAGGCGAGCCGCGAGCACAACAGTGACAAGAGCACGTGGTACCTGGTCAAGCAACTCCACACGGTGCCATCCAACTTCCGCGCTCTTGTCTGTGCATGCGGCCTCATTGTTACTTCTCAGATGTCTGGTTTCAACACGCTTATGTACTATTCGTCCACGTTGTTTGCCCTTGTGGGCTTTTCCAACCCGGTCGCGGTGGGCCTGGTCGTGTCTGGCACCAACTTCATCATGACCTGCTTGAACGCGATGCTTGTGGACCCCTGGGGCCGCCGCAAGCTCCTGGTTTCGACAGTGTGGGGTATGAGTGCTGGCTTGCTCGCCGTGGCCGTGGCCTTCTCCTTCATCCCGATCGATGCGCACACGCTCGAGCTCAAGAGCGACAAGGTCACCGCGCCTGCCATCGTCGTCCTCATTTTCATCATCTGGTTCGTCTTCTTCTACGGCGTGTCCGTCGGCAATACGGCATGGATGAGCACCGACTTCTTCCCCATGGAGGTGCGCGCCATCGGCACCATGTACATGACGTGCACGTGCTGGGCCTCGAACGTCATCGTCTCGAGCACCTTCCTGACGATGATGCACTCGCTGACACCATCGGGCGCGTTCGGCTTCTACGCCGCGATCTGCGGCATCGGCTGGGTGCTGATCATCTTCTTCTACCCCGAGGTGTCGGGCCTGACGCTCGAGGAGACGCAGGAAGTGTTCAAGCACGGCTTTGGCGTCAAGTATTCGCGCCAGCTGCTCAAGGAGCGGAAGGCGGCGAAGAAAGCGGAAGCCAATGCTCAGGCATAGGTGGTTGGGGTATTGTGGGGTTGGAGAAAGGGGTGGCTTTGATGTATTATGACGATATGCGCGGCTGTTCTTGAGCCTTCTTTTGACAGCTGTTTGTTTCTTTTTCTCTCTCTCTTTTCCTCTTTCTTAGCGATTTCTTCTTTCTTTATTAGTAGCGCTACTACCTTGTTATGGTTAGCGCGGTTACGCATGTGGGCTGCGTTGTATATAGACCCACGACTGACGAACGAACGAACGAGCAGATGAATAAATAAGATACTCACTACTATAAATTTGGCTCCGGCACCTTGTGCTGAGGTGTCTGTGGTAGGCATGGCCTGCTTCAGAGGTAGGTGGGCGGAAGTGCTGTGCTGGAGAGGGTACGCGCTGGAGTTAGTGGGTGGTTCGTATAGTTCTTTAACTGCTTCGTCGTACTCGCACCAGCTTGTAAGTGTAAGTTAGCGGTAGCCCCTGAAAACGCCTTGTCTGGGCGGGTATACTTACGCACGAAAGGGCGAAGTGGTTGGTGTGCACACGTGTAAAGATAAACAAACGACAGCGAGAGTGCGGCGTAGAGGTATGGTATGTGTGTGTCTGTACGGGTCCGGCATCACGTGCTTTGCTGTCAGCGCTGGCATATTAACCCGGTCCCTTGTGTTCCTAGCCCCGTTGAACATGGGTGCTGTCACGGCAGCAATTTACCAATTGGCAAAAATGGATCATGTCTGTTCTGGTGTCGTTGGTCGTGTTTGCTTGCTTTCTCGCTTGTCTGCTTGTTTGCACAAAGTGGTTTTTGAGGGGCGGGGTGAGAGTAGTGGTGTGGTGGTGACGAGTATCACAAGGCGTTGGTGACGGTGGGCGGTAGGTTGCGGGGATGGTGGTGTGCGGCGGCGGCGACTAGCGGGGCGGAGTAAGGGTGAAGACGTGTTGTTGCGTAGGTGGTTGCGGTTGCCTAGAGAAGATGTATTTGTTTGGAATGCCGACCGCATTAGGTCGGCAAGAAGGACTTTTAGCTAAGCCGGAAGGCTGATGCTGTTGTTGACCATGAGAGTTGAGGCTTGAGAGGTTTTTGTGGTATCGGCTCGGGGAGAAGTGGTACTGTAGGCTGCCGCTGCTTCTTTTTTGAGACTGCTTTTGCCATCTGCGCTTGCTTACCTCTATTTGATGTTTTGCTGTTCAAGCTTTTTGTATTTAAATTCAGGAACCGTCGCTCATGGATCTCCGGGTGACTTTGGCTCTGACGACGATGGAACGAATGAGGTATGTACCGCAAACAAGTTTGAAGGCGGCGGTGTGCGTACAATAGTGGACTTCTTTGCATTTGTCGCGGAAGACTGTGTTGGATTTGAGAAAGCAGTGAATACCACGCGCCCACAAGCTCGGTTCTAAGTATGACGACAACGAGGAACTTCCGGCGATATATTGCTTCCTTGAAAAGACGCCTCAAACCGGACAAGGAACACGGAAACCGGCTTGTATCAAAGGCTTCGGGATTGCCGTAACGTATGTCTTGACTGTTTTGACTAAGAGTTTCGTAGGGGTTTACTCGACCATCATGACAGCTTATGAATTAACACACTCGTCACTCGCCTGGTATGAGACGAAAAGCCGGTTGCTGGACATTGGAGTAAGAAAGAAGTTCCGGGTGTTGCGATGGAGAAATGGTTGGCGAAAACATGGCTCCAGGATGCACTTAAAACTTAAATGGGGCTCCAGGCTGACTTGATAACTTAACCTTATCACTCCAGTATTCGGTCAAATGCATAAACATGCAAGAATTACACCTCACATTAGGTATGACGCGCTGCGTCCGAAGGTATTAGCCGCAATTGAGACAAGATCAAACTCTACCCGCTTGTCCTACCTTCGAAAAAGTTTGAGACCGGCGGTGGTCTTTATGTCATGTTGATGGTGCATAACAGCAATGGAGGAAGGTGGCGATGAGCGTCTTCGCGCGGAGTGTGGAGTGCTCGAGCTGGATGTGCACTGCTTTAGGCAACGGATCCAATCTGCGGCTCGCACAGGTTGAATAAGCCACTAGGAAGGTTAGTCTTGACAGTGCTCCTATGCGCATCGCATGATTAACTATGAGGGCCCGACCAGTCGAGAAGATGTCGAGGACGAGACGGGTGGCGGAAATACGGGCTTTTGTGTCGGACAATGGGGATCTAGGATCTCTGAAGTCCGCTCCTATGTGCAGCTTGAGTGAATGCATCGACTGTGCTGCTGCCGGTGTCAGTGTATCTAGGCGCTGTATCTCGCCAAAACATCAAAAAGGGAAGATAGTTGTCTGTGCTCATCTGCCGAGGGTGAGAAGAGCGGCGGGTATGTAGGTTCTCGGCGCGCCGTGCTGGAAGATTTCGTTACCGTTTGGGCGACTTTGCGCCTCAGACGCTCATTTTACTTTACCATGTCACCGTCGATTGCCGAAAGCCACGCCCTAGTGCCTTAATGGCACAAACTCACGTCTAGGCAGCATAAAGGCGAGACCACAAGCACTTCCGGGTTCCCAGTCTTCGACAATCGACCTACCGGCGCGGGATGTATCATCGACAACAAGAAATCTGCCTCCAAAGCGTACCTCAACTCCACATTGGAGAGGATTTCGGAGCTCTTGGGTACTTTGCAGTACATTACGCCCCGGGCAATCTGCTCACCCTTCCTTCAAACAAGTTCAATGATGCTCTGCACCCTCACCCATCAACTCTGCACACCATCACCGTCACCTAGCCCCGGCTATCACCATCTCGGACTCCTGATGTTAACCACTGCAGGGCAAAGCTCGGAGCTCGATCAAGCGGTAATGCAACAAACTCAACGGCCGAGAGAAACCACGGCCGAGAGAAACCACGGCTTCGGCGAAAAGCAGCTACACGGCCCGACACGATGAAAGTAGGCTGAACCCGCGAGTTGTGCCAAGATGCCCATCAGGAGTTGACTGGTTGTGGAGTGCTGGAAAGAGGAGGTATTCATAAAGCAGCGTCGGGGAGTGGTCTGGGCCGGCTCAGGGAGTGCGTCATGTAAGACCGTCATGTAAGACCCGTACAGCAGTAGATATTGTAAGAATCCTTCGCAATAAAAGTTCCACATTCCTGGTGTCGTGGAGAGTAATACGTGAGGTCGACGTGGCACGGTAAGAAGGGCTCCTCTGACTGGCTAGCCCTCTCGTCATAGCATCTGCGGTGGTGATCATGAAGGGCGAGTACACCGGTGCGTCGGTTGAGTGAAAGTAGTGGTGAAACTTGAGTGGCATACTGACGGCTATGGAGCTGAAGTCGAAAATTTTTGTGAGGGAATGACGATGCTTTATCCGTGTACCATTAGTTGTAGAACTGCAGTTTTGAGTTTATTTCTTGAGCATCTCTGTAGAGACGTGTTTATACTAACGTGATTGTCCAGCGAAACACCACGGAGCATGGCAAACCTCAAACATAGGCACACTTTCGCCAGAACAACCCCTGCAGACAAATCAAGTCTATTTCGGCTCTCCGCCATGCTAACTCTGCAATCCTCTCTCTCGCTCATATCTCTCCAGTTCCTCACTCCCTACTCTACATGATGCCCAGCTTGCCAAACGCTTGCACAACCTCCTTGTCCACGTTGACCAGCCACTCATCGCGGAAGCGTTCCTCGCCGCCGCATACCGCAATCGCTTGCGCCAGGTGCTCGCGCACGAACTGCAGGATGTTGACCGTGTGCACGGGGTCAGAGTAGATGAGGTTGCGGCGGCGGACGTCGTCCGGGGGCTCGGGGCCCGAGACCTGGGGCGTGTCTTGGTGCCAGACGAGGCAGCTGGAGCAGGGATGTCAATGTTCGATCGTGCTAAGGTACTTGCGAAAGGTGAAGAGGGAGTACTTACTCGACGCTCGTGTCTTCTTGTCCGTCTGTCAGCTCGATGATGAGGTCCGTCCACATGGTCATGAGGTCTTGGAGCTTGATCAGGATCCAGCCTTTGCCTGTCTCCAGCAGTTTCGTGAGAGCCAAGCACATGAGCTTCTTGCTGACAGGCGCGGCGATGTTCTCGAAGTGGTCGAACCATTCCTCAAGCAGCCACTTCATGCGGCCATCGAGCGACTCTTCGGGATCCTGCATGTCGTTGGCGTCAGTGCCGGTCTGCACCGCTTCGAGAGCTGAGAGCAAGATGCTCGGTGAGGCGAGACACATCCGCGCGATGACAGTGAAATAGTCGGTTTCAACGAGACCGTCTACAGCAGACTCTCTAGCATTTGGTCCGGTCTTCTGGTGGGCTTCCCAGGCGCCCTTCAGGCCGTCAAGGAGATTGCCGAAGAAGCCGGTGTGGATCATGTCGCCCGTCAGAATCTCTACTGCCTGCTCTCCACCGAGGAGTTCGGCGGTTCTGACAAATGTCTCCACAAGGTGCGTAACCAGGCCGTTAGCTTCAGCCCTGAGTTGACCCAAAAGAGATGCTGAACGGGGCGTTAGTATTATGTTTCGAGCGGACAATCTCGGCGTGACTTACCAAGGGACTGCAAAAGCTGAGTTCGAAGAGCATCTGAACACATCTCAGCCGGAGCAAGGATCAGATATGTGTCGGCAATTTCCAATGTCTTGCGGAGACTGTCAGTACCAAGCTCCAAGGTCGAAATAAGGTACGGGGCCAGAGAGAGTATGTCCTGAGATGCTGGTGCTGGTGTCTGAACGAGAATGGAATGCCAGAGTTCTAGAGCATCCTCCAGCAGATACAGTTGTGTCTCGGATCCGGGCTCGAGAGTTCCCTTAATGATAGGTATGACTAGCGAGTGATATGGCAGAGAGTCGGCCTTCATAGCGTTGATGATGCGAGCGAGCATGGTGAGAATGGCTTGTTTCATGAGATGCTCCTCCCCAGATTGATCCCATAAAGGCGGTAATAAAGAGACAATGCTGTTGGCATAGGGCGTGATCTGTAGATGTTAGCAAACTCGCCATAAATGTGAATTTTGGATCATACATGATGCTCGAGCCTCTCAACAATGACGCTAATGGTGTTTAGTAACGCCATCTTCGTTTCGGTCAGCTCTACCTCTTCAATCAATGCCATCAAGCGTGACAGGATGTCGGGTGCGTATGGCAAGAAAGATTCGACCTGGAACTCCCAGTCATCGGCGATATTTCTGAACTGTCTACCAGCAGTCACTCGAACGACGTGGTCATTGAGTGGGTCGTCCTTGTTCAATAGGTGTTGGAAGATCTGATAGACGAGAGGTCTGCTTTCCTCCGAGACCTTTATCGTTATCCACTGACCGAGCAAGATGGCAATGCGGCGGCGAAGAAGGTTATAGCCCTGTTGTTGCTTCTGGACCTCCACAACCAGCGTTGAGCGGATGAAGGCGTCGAAGTCGAGGTGTTCGTGAAGAACCGGGGCAGCCAGACCAACGGACGTATAAACCGAGTCCTTGAAAAGAACATTCTCGTTGTCTGGCGAGGCGACGGAATAGAAGACGTTGAGCAGCGGTTGAACAAGCAGATCTTTGAAGTTAATGGAAAGGTCCAGGAAGAGCTTCTCTGCGCAGGACCTAACAGAGAACTCAAAGTCGTCTCCTTCCATGTCTTCGCGCCTCTCCCACTCGTCTGGTTCTTCTTCCCATTGGCGCAAGTCGCTGGACTGGTAGACGAAATAACGGGTGACCGCAGTTTCCATCATTTCCCGGATAAAATCCTCTTGAAGCAATTGCTGCTTGACAAGCTGCGTGGCTTCGGTTTTCTGTAACAATTGTTAGAATGCTTGAATGTGTCGCAGGAAGTTTGTCCACACATACCTCTTGTTTTTCCTGTTCGTGACGGTATTTGAACGTCTGGGCCGGGTTGAAGACCATCTTAATGCAAGCGCGGATCAATAGCAGTCCCTTGAGACTAAGGCGTTCCATGATGGTCTTCACTTCATCATCCGCATCGCCATCTGTTCCGATTTTCCCGGAAGAAGGGAGAGAAGTGCCAAAGTCTTCTCCAAACTTGACTACCAAGCCCCAGTAAGCCTTGACAAGACTGAGTGAGTCTGGAAGCAGTACAAAGGCAGCTGGATGGGTTTTGGCCATCTCAAGATGAAGCTTAGAAAGCTGCATAAGATGTTTCTCGACAAGAAGCTTCAAATGCTCGGGAATCGACTGCGTGGCGAAAGTGAGGAATTCTCCTAGCTGGTTCCGTACAATGGCCCAGAATTGCTGTATGTCGCTCTCCCGGTTTGGGAATTCAAAACCCACAATTAGCAGACGGCGTATTATTTTGATTGAAAGGAGGCTTTGTTCCATGCTTTCGATTGCTCCGCCTTCATTATCGCCTCCATTATGCAGCCATGCTTGCCACTGCTGCGCCTTTTCCATGTAAATATGACCAAGGACGCGGAATACTTCGGGAGAAATCGATTGAAGGTTCGAGCGCAGCCTGATAAGACGACCAGTCGCCAAATCCTTGACAATGTGAAGGAGAATCAGAAGAGTCCGAGGGAGGTACAGGCGGTTTGCAGTAGGTGAGGTTGAATTGCGCAGAAGCTCGAGAACTTGGTTGATGACATCGGGCCAATCAGAAGGGTACTCAAATCGGACAATCTTTGCAATCACTAGAGCATTTTGCAGGGCGAGCCTTTGGTCCACTTCGCTTACGCCGCTTTCGAGCAGTCTCGAACGGATAATTGCTTTATCCTCCTTGCTGACCGCACTGCCCATATGTCAGATAATATAATGGCTTTTGGTGGTTTGCAGTACTTACTTCATAGCCGTCTTACGCCAATATTTGTCGATACCATTCTTGAGTTGGATGATTGCTAAATAGCGGACCTCGAGGGGGAGAGACTTGTCTATAAAGGCAGCCTGTTAAACCTTAGCATAGCTGAAGTTTTACGATTGCTGCACGTTCAAGCTCCAGTGATTTGAATAAGGTTTCAAAGAGACGGCGGAGCGGAAAGATAAAAAGAGACGTCGAAGAAAATATGCGGCAAAAATGGAGTGAAATCATGAGATAGAAGGCCTACCTGCAGCATAGGGTAAAATCCCTTCTCTGTTTGCCATTTTTGAAGCTGCTTCGTTCCAGTCTGGACTTGCTGTGGATCACTTGACGATGCAGAGCGGAGCACGTGAAAAAGGATACCCTCAGTTAGCGGGTTTGCTTCCGCCGGCAGTTCGAGAGCCCCCTGGAAAGCCATTGCGGTAACACCGGGCGCGAAAAGTAACCTATGAGTGTGATAACGCGGATGTCGGCATTGAATCTATCTCGCGGCGTGCTGAGTCTACAGCCTGGTGCTGACCTGGGGTTTGTCGTGGCTTGCATGCATGGTCGGCGAACGAACGATTGAAGGCGGTCGTGGACGCTCGAGCCATCTGTCAGTAGCGCGTGATTATGTCATCGGCAGAGTAAAACTGCCGGCAGGGGAGTACAGGGTACGAAGTACTCTTATACCGCGACCTATTGTGTTTGTTTGTAGGGGCAAGAGGAGAGGTAGAATTTACCAATTCCTTATGGTCCAACTAATTTTCTACAACACAGAATGTTCTCGAAGCTGTCAATGGACTGCCTAAATGGCAGCAAAGAGCTATGCCCCACTATGCTTACGACCGCCGAACCAGTTGCCAGGAGCTTCCAAGAGCAAGGATAGCGAGTCATCCTGTTTGTCAGAAGGCGTTCAGAAGTTTGAAGTAATCTTCTCGGGAGCATGGCGGCCTATCGATGTATATTATCTATGCACCTGTTGAGTGAGAGCCTATACGAACGATCGTGAAAGAGTAGGATACGACGAAAAGGTACCAGCTTCAAGGACCCATGACCCTGGCAACCATCTCCCTTCACAGCGCCTGAGGCGATTCCTAGCACAACTAAGACCAATGTTTTCGAAGAAGACGAGCACCGCGCACGAAGATGCAAGATTCAAATAAGCGCCGGCCTTGACGCGTTTTCGTACCCCACGGTCGGCATCTCTTGCAGGCTTCAATGTCCGTAACCATATGTCGGGTCGGAGACGACCGTATTGCCCCTTAACAGGCCTCAACCATGAACTCCTGCAACTGCCCAGGGGAATAAGAAGCTTACGGCCATACAAAGTCAACGAAAGCGCCCACAGAGGCGGTGCATCAGGAGTCCAACAGCTCGTAAAATAGGGGAAGGGGTCTCGAACACTGGCCGGGAACACGGAGGCTGTTGTCCGTACGTGTCTTTTGCACGAGCGCGGGTTTAAGGGGATGGGTAGTGAGCTGTTAGTGCAAGGAAGCGCCCGCGTCCAAGCTGCGGCAAGCTATGAATAGTGGCACAATAAAAATAGTCTCCGCAAAAGTGTCAATACTCATCATACATGTCTCTACACATGGACGAGGATCCCATGCCTCGGGACAGCCGTGATCCCCGATGTTGACGGCTCCGACGGCGCCGGGTCGCACGCTCGACGGCCGCGCCACCTTGATGCGGAAGCGTTAATTGCAGATCTCCCGCTCGAGCTCCAGAGTCACACGAAGGCCCCTCCACGTGCTGAGGGCAGGGCAGCTTGGCAGCAACGTGCAAGCCACGAGTCAATCGGGGGTCTCGGGGGTGTGGCGTCGCTCATTTCCGACGGCATCGAGCATCGATGCCGACGACTACTCAGAGCCTCTATCTGTGACAGGTGGTACGAAGCGCAGGGTGTGTGGCTGGAAGAGTTTTCTCCGCAGCGGGCATGCCAACGGTGCGCGCGCGTGTTGCGTCGGCGGCGCGGCCATCGAGGGTGAGTGGACGGCGATAGGTACACAGGACTCTAGCCTGCAGCCTGCAACCCCTCGCGCGACGCCACCGCCGTCAGGTCTGGTCGGGGCCGCGTGCAGTGGAGTCGAATATGCTAGCTTCCGCAAGCCGACGAGTTGGTGTTGGGCGCTCGCTACGGATTCGGCCATGGACTTGCTTTGCGGCCAAAGCTTCTGTCGTGCCCTCCCTACAAGTACATCTGGCAAGCTTTCCCCTCAGTCCGGTCTCTGACTCTTGCCTGCATCCCTCTTCTTCTTGCATCCCGTTTAATCGCCTCGCATTGGAAGCCCGAGAATCTTTCCTCAATCGGCTTTCCATCTGCATATCTCTCGCTTTGTTGTAAGTCCCGCCAACGCCGCTCCCCTCACCCCCATTTCGTCATTCCCTCCTGAGCTACGACAACTGACTTTTATCGCGTCTCCCCCCCAGACTTTCTCCCAACACCCATCACTTTCATCCATCAAAATGGCCTCCGCGCTCCCCACCCACCTGAAGCCTGGCAACGCCGCCGACGACTTCGCCAGCCGTCACCATGGCAAGACCCAGTCGCATATGGTAAGTGCTCTCCCGTAGCTTGCCCCCCGGCCGCACCAGCAGCAGTCCAGTCCAGTCCATCCCGAGGCCATTGGCCACCGACAAGCAAGTTGCGTGGTGGTTATTGGGATTTGAAGCCATCGAGCGGCCGCAGTCCTGGGTTCCACTTGGCTGTGAGGGACCAGAAGCACAACAGCTGCTCGCCACCGACCGTTGGTCGATTCGCGAGTATTCCATCGCCAGAATACACCGGTCCAACACCACCTTCAGTACGGTGCGACGATTGCCGTCAACCCCTCCGATCAAACGCTATGGTCAACATTTGCACGGAGTACACTGCAGGTCAGGGGGTGATCGGGACAGTTGATGGCATGGTGTTATGGAGGGGTTCAAGCTTAGGAACGGACCTCATACACCATCGTCGAATGCTGTCCGGAAGCCCCCCTGATAGATGGCGAGCATCGACGCCCCACCTGCGACGTGGAAAGCTCCTGGATTCTGCCCCTTAACCTTAACTTTAAGGTCTCATAACTGGGCCCTGGGATCCATATACCCAAGGCTGCCTACACCCTAATCTTGATAATACTCTAGTTTAGAGTTTGCCTATTGTATTGGACTGGACTTGCTGCTGGCGACCATGGCGACCACTATCAACCACAACAATGCTGACATCAAAAACAAGGCTTTCGAGAACACCTCCACTTCCGTTGCTGCATCGCAGATGCGCAATGCCCTCAACCAGCTGTGCGACACCGTCAAGGACCCCGCTGAGAAGCAGGTATGGACAACCGACGCCGGAAATCTACGAATGCGGGCGCTGACAACAACTCTAGAGGTTCGAGACTGAGATGGACAACTTCTTCGCTCTGTTCCGCAGGTACCTGAATGACAAGGCGAAGGGCAACGCCATCGAGTGGTCCCGCATCGCTCCCCCCAAGCCCGAGCAGGTCGTCAACTACGCCGACCTTGCCAACAGCGAGTCGGTCGAGTACCTGAACAAGCTCGCCGTTGTCAAGCTCAACGGTGGTCTTGGTACCTCCATGGGTTGCGTTGGTCCTAAGTCCGTTATCGAGGTCCGTGACGGCATGTCCTTCCTGGACCTGTCTGTCCGCCAGATCGAGTACCTGAACAGGACGTACAACGTCAACGTTCCCTTCGTCCTGATGAACTCGTTCAACACGGACTCGGACACCGCCAACATCATCAAGAAGTACGAGGGTCACAACATTGACATTATGACCTTCAACCAGTCCAAGTACCCCCGTGTGCTGAAGGACTCTCTTCTGCCCGCGCCCAAGTCTGTTGACTCGCAGATCTCCGACTGGTACCCCCCCGGTCACGGTGACGTCTTCGAGTCGCTGTACAACTCGGGCATTCTCGACAAGCTGATTGACCGCGGCATCGAGATCATCTTCCTGTCAAACGCCGACAACCTGGGTGCCGTCGTTGACCTCCGCATCCTGCAGCACATGGTTGACACCAAGTCCGAGTACATCATGGAGCTGACGGACAAGACCAAGGCCGATGTCAAGGGTGGTACCATCATCGACTACGAGGGTTCCGTCCGTCTGCTTGAAATCGCGCAGGTGCCCAAGGAGCACGTCAACGAGTTCAAGTCGATCAAGAAGTTCAAGTACTTCAACACCAACAACATCTGGATGAACCTCAAGGCCATCAAGCGCGTTGTCGAGAACAATGAGCTGGCCATGGAGATCATCCCCAACGGCAAGTCCATCCCTGCCGACAAGAAGGGCGAGGCCGACCTGTCGGTCATCCAGCTCGAGACGGCGGTCGGTGCTGCCATCCGCCACTTCAACAACGCCCACGGTGTCAACGTTCCCAGGAGGCGTTTCTTGCCCGTCAAGACGTGCTCTGACCTGATGCTCGTCAAGTCGGATCTGTATACTCTGCAGCACGGCCAGCTCGTCATGGACCCCAACCGCTTCGGCCCCGCTCCCCTGATCAAGCTCGGCTCGGACTTCAAGAAGGTGTCGAGCTTCCAGGCTCGCATCCCCAGCATCCCCAAGATTGTCGAGCTTGACCACCTGACCATTACGGGTGCGGTCAACCTGGGCCGCGGCGTGACGCTGAAGGGCACGGTTATCATTGTGGCGACGGAGGGCAGCACGATCGACGTTCCTCCCGGATCGATCCTGGAGAACGTTGTCGTGCAGGGTAGCTTGAGGCTGCTGGAGCACTAGGCGGCTGGCAAGGCTGCAGACGCGTGGAAATGAAGCATGGATGCACGTCGGGGACGGGTGGGCACGGCAAGCGGTACTACGTGAGATTTAATATAGAATGATGACACTACGTTGCCCAGAACCGGCTGTTATGGCGCCCCTCACATGGGGAGATGGTGATGACCAGGGGAAAAAAGCAGGCAGCGTCATCCGGCGCGGAGCGGGCATGCTTAGGCAACGAGTGCGAGGGTGCGGCTGTGCCGTTCATGTCAGCTGTGCTTGTTCGTGGCTCGGCGTGAATGGTTGGGCGCGACGCACGTCGGCAAGCAGGACAGGAACGAGGGAGCATGCGCACCTATAACAAGGCTGGCGCACCCACGACCGACCGGTGATCCGACCTCTGCCCGCGCCGCGCCTGCAGTGCGACGACATCATCGTGAGCGGCAATCCTACTTACTTACATACATGACGCCGCCCGTTGCGCACCGCTGCGACGACCGCGGCGCGCATCATGACCCCCCCGGACGCTGCCTCCAGGGAAGCGCTGCAGTTTTGGGGATACCTGTTCAAGGAAGATAATCGCGGCTCCGACCTGCTGAATAGGCTGCTCGACGGCATTGCAAACTATGTGGTCTGTACCTGTCTTTCAGCTTCACCCCACGTCCGCGCGCGCGCTGACCCGAGCTCCACCGTAGACCGCCCACTTCCCGCCAACTCCCGACTGCGCCGATATCACGCCCGCCCAGCTGGCCGCTTTCTACAAGGCCGTCGGCGGTGACTATGACATCCTCTTCCTCAAGACGCAGGCGCCCGATCTTGCTTTCATTTACAAGAATCTCGGCTGCCTGCATTCTCTCCAGCCCGCGCCCGAGAGCAAGGGCTTCGACAGCCCCGCCATCCCTGCCCTGAAGCCCAAGGGTTTCGTTACCTGGCAGACGATACAGCTCCTGCTAGGCCCAGATGAACATGTTCCCTTTTTGCAGAATGCAGTGGAGCGCTTCGACATTGTGGACCCTGGGACGAAGGGCGTATTCCCCAAGCTTTTGCCGAAGGAAGCCTTCCCAGACAAGCCGGACGAGAAGATGGAAAGGTGGTACCAGGAAGTATCAGAGCGGCTGAGAAAAGAAATGGAAGAGGGGCAGGAAGAGCAGCACCAGCACGAGCATGCCGCTGATCAAGGCCGCAGTAACAGCCCCGGCCCTGGTCCCGGCTTGCGGCCTCCGCCTGCCGGAAGGAAACGACATCCCAGAGATCGCATCTCGAGCGACTTATCCGAGGAGTCGATGGACGACCACGCCGGCGCGGCTGAGTATTTTCGTGACCCGTTGTACCGCAGGGGAGGTACAAGGCCCAGGGTTGTCCGTCGCTACAGCCGGATCCCACCGAACTCGCGAGAGTCCGTGTCGGATCGGGGAAGGCAAGTAGCAAGCACGATTGGCAGGATCTGGCCGCCATGGGGCCGAGGCAAAGAAAGACGGGGCAGCCTGACAGATAGGCATGCCAGCGGTGGGTATTCAGAGGATGCAGCAGGAGAATATGACTACAGCGGCGAGGAAGTCGAGCACCTGTCCCCAGGAATTCACCGAAGACACGCACATGGAGGATCGGGGGGCTCTAGTGGCCACTCCAACCGTGCCCAAACCGGCTCCAGACGTGCTCAAGCCGGGCTGGAGCCAGGCAGCAGTCGTTCTTTCGATAGCGAGTCGGAAACAGACTCGGGCTCGCCACCCCGCATGAAAGTCCCACGCCCCAAAAACTATCCAGAGCGCGGAGGCCCAGAGCGCGACGGCCGCCCTCCAGAGCCCCGCTTCTCCCATCGCGGGGGTTACGCAAACCATGTCCCACTTCATCATCGCCGCTCGCACTCTCCATCCCCCAGCCCACGAGAGTACTTTCCGTCTTTCAACGATTACACCTATGGCCGAAGGCATAGTCAGCAGCAAGGCTACGCTGGCCCTGCCGCGACAGACCAGCCTCGCCCTTCGTACGCCGCCCACGTTGCTCCGAGCCCTCCGCTGCCGAGAGAACGGCATTCTGACCCTCCCAGTCGGATGGCGGAAAGTCGCGAGAAACCCCACGAGCGTCGAAGCCCGCTTGAGACGAGCGATAGAGAACGGAAACGCGAGCGCGAGCGTGAGCGCGCACAGAGGGAGCGAGCAGACAGCCACCGCGAATCGACACGTCCGAACACACGAGATAACTTCTCACAGCAGCAGCGCGACAAACTTTCAGTACCTCCGCAGCCTCCCACACCGCCGCCCATCAAAACCCACTCCGGCACCAACCTTAGCGCGCTCAACGGCTTTGGGCCAAGCAAGGAACCGCTGTTCGCCACGCAGGTCGCACATCTGCAACCCCCCGGTGGGCCCTACGTCACACGGACCTACTACGACAGCAGCACGTCTCCATCTGCCGCGACTGCGGCGACTACTACCGCCGCACCAAGTGCCGCAAACACACGTAGCCGGCGTCCCTCGTACCCCCCTCGCGGCAGCTACAGCACCACCACCCCAGAGCGCGCCGCCATGCCCGCGCGAGCGAGCAGCATGCGCTATGCTTCAAGGTCACGCGCGCCTAGCGGCAGCGCAAGCGCCAACGCCAGCCCGCGCATGGCACCAATGGGCTTGGATAACGACCGTGAGCGCTGGGCGTTTGGTTCCGCGACTGGAGGCCTGAGCAGCAGAGGTAGCTCGAGAGAGCGCGCTCGCTACCTCGGCCCTGATGGCATGCAGGGCGTCGGCGGGCGGAGGTACCCGGTCGATTTCAGCTTGGGACCAGGTGGAGCGCCTGTAGGCGGTGCGGGGTGGAAGGACGAGCGGTATTGAGTTTTTGTTTTCTTTGCTATTCCCCTTCCTCCTCTCCTTTTCCTTTCACATTTCGTTCTGTCTCCTCTCTATCGGCGTTTGCTTTTTCTGTCTTACCCCCTTACCCTCCAATACTGACCCGCTGCTGAACCCCTCGTTGGCTGCCTTGACATTAACATGGCCCGCACCAGCAGCCCCGACGAGCCAAATCGTAGAGGAAAATGGATTGACTGGTGGCGCGGCCAGCGTGCCCTCGAGCGATGGCGCAGCGAGCAAGACGTCTTTGAGGTGGCCAGCGAGGGAGAACGGTACGCGGGGCGGCGAAGGCGGAGGCGTCGAAGAGTGGAGGAATGGGAGTTGTGAGTGTGACAGAGACAGAGACGGGGATGCTATTCGGTTGCTAATGATGGCGCTGGAGGCCTTTTGTATTTTCTCCCCGCGGGAGAGGCGTTTTGCGGTGTTTCGTTGGCTCGTTTTGAGGACACTGACAGGGGGAAGACGGGGCTTTAGGTATACCTTTATTGTTAAGCAGGCGTTGGTTTAATACGAAGATTGATGATCGACGGGATGTCACGCATGACTCGGGCGGAGGAGGCGTGGTGGGGCACTGCGAGTCATGGAGCTGGAGTGGCTTCTAGAGCTTTCCAGGTCGCTAGTGGCTGGAAAGCGGAGGGCACAAGGCCAAAGACATAAACTCCGAAGAGCTCTCTCACCACCCACTGACTCTGACGTACCTCAACCATCGCCGTACGCTTTCCTCCTACTCTTTATATCCCTCCATATCCCCTCATCCTTACGCACAATGGCCGACGCTCTCAAGGCAGAGGGCAACAAGCTCTTCGCCGAGAAGAAGTTCACTGAGGCAATGTAAAACACCCCATCTCTTCCAGCAGGCGCAACAACTGACGACAAGGCAGTGAGAAGTTCTCCCAGGCTATCGAGATCGACCCTTCAAATCACGTCCTTTACTCGAACCGCTCCGGCTGCTACGCTTCGCTCAAGGACTTCAACAATGCCCTCAACGATGCCGTCAAGACGACTGAGGTCAAGCCCGACTGGTCGAAGGGCTGGGGTCGTAAGGGTGCTGCCCTTCACGGAACCGGCGACTTGAGTATGTACCCGCGCAGGTTATATCGCACGCGAGAGAATTGCGCTGACACGCACCGACAGTTGGCTCCATGGATGCCTACGAGGAGGCGCTGAAGATTGACCCCAACAACGCGCAAGCCAAGTCTGGCCTCGACTCTGTCAGACGCGCCATTGATGCCGAGACTTCAAATGCCGGTGGCGACCCCTCTGGTGGCCTGGGTCAGATGTTCAACGACCCCAACCTCATTCAGAAGCTCGCCTCAAACCCCAAGACGTCGGGACTGCTGGGTGACCACGAGTTCATGAGCAAGCTCCAGAACATCAAGAACAACCCCAACAACATTGGTCTTGAGATGCAGGACCCCCGCTTCCTGCAGGTCATGAGTGTGCTGCTGGGCATCGACATGCAGTTCGGTGCGTCAGGCGAGCAGGGCGGCGCAGAGGCGCCCAGGGCGCAGGAGGCCGAGGAGGACGTTTCCATGCCCGACGCCAAGCCCGCGGAAGAGCCCAAGAAGGCGCCGGAGCCGGAGCCGGAGCCGGAGCCGGAAGACGAGGAGGCTGCTGCGAAGAAGGCGGCCAAGGCCAAGGCAGACGAGGAGAAGGCGCTGGGTACGCAGTTCTACAAGAAGAGGCAGTTTGATGAGGCCATTGAGCATTACACCAAGGCGTGGGAGCTCTACCAGGATATCACCTACCTGACGAACCTGGGTGCTGCCAACTTTGAGAAGGGCGACTACGATGCTTGCATTGACGCCTGCAAGAAGGCTGTCGAGCACGGCCGTGAGGTCCTTGCGGACTTCAAGCTCATTGCCAAGTATGTGTTTTCTTTCCTACAAAAACCTTTGCGCCGCTGCTAACATGAACGCCAGGGCTTTCGGCCGCATGGGTACCGCTTACGAGAAGAAGGGCGACCTCGCCTCGGCCATCGACAACTACCAGCGTTCGCTCACGGAGCACCGCACCCCCGACATCCTCACCAAGTTGCGCGCTGCTGAGAAGGCCAAGACTAAGGCCGAGAAGGACGCATACATCAGCCCCGAAAAGGCTGAAGAGGCGCGCGAGCTGGGCAACGCCAAGTTCAAGGAGGCGGACTGGCCCGCGGCCGTGGATGCGTACAGCGAGATGATCAAGCGGGCGCCCACGGACCCGCGCGGCTACAGCAACCGCGCCGCGTGCTTCATCAAGCTGCTGGGCTTCCCGTCGGCGGTGCAAGACTGCGACGAGGCCATCAAGCGCGACCCCAAGTTCATCCGGGCGTACCTGCGAAAGGCGCAAGCGCTGTTCGCGATGCGCGAGTACAACAAGTGCCTTGACGTGTGCACGGAAGCGTCGGCGCACGACGAGGGCGGCAAGAACGCGCGCGAAATCGAGCAGCAGCAGCAGAAGGCGCTGCAGGCGCAGTTCTCGGCCCGCGAGGGCGAGACCGAGGAACAGACTATGGAGCGCATTCAGCGCGACCCGGACATCGTCGCCATCCTCCAGGACCCTGTCATGCAGAGCATTCTGCAGCAGGCGAAGGGCGATCCCGCGGCCCTGCAGGAGCACATGAAGAACCCGATGATCAGGAGCAATGTGCAGAAGCTGATTGCGGCGGGCGTTATTCGCATGGGCAGGTAGATGGTCGTTGATGCGTTTGTGAAGAGCTGAGTTGGAGGTGGGGATGGATGGATGGATGGATGGTTGTTTGAAAAACGGACGCGATGCTGCGCGTGTGATGATGACGATATACTATGTCTATGCCGGATCGGTTAGGTTAGGTTAGGTTATTCATGCTTCTTGTTCTTCTTGTGGTTGTTTTTACTCTTCTTCTTTGATGAGTTTTGAGTGCATGTCGCTGTCTGGCACTGCTTGCCTGCCTGACTGGCTACTGTCTACCACTCCCACTCTCTTACATACACACACTTTCTTTGCATCTTTATCACCTATCTTGTTCTCGTCTCTTTTGGAGTGAGAGAAGAACAGGAACTGCGGTCCCTTACATACTTGATCAGTGAGTGCTTGAACGCGTTATTTCTCTTTCTGGAAGCCTTCCTCTTGTCCTGGTGCCGCTGCCCCTTGTGGGTGAGGTGAGACGGGGTAAGATGGGTAAGAGAGGGGAGAGGGTGAGGGGAGAAAGAGGAAGTGCGTCGCTGTGGTGTTTTGAGGTGTGGTGGTGTTTTGTGTGGAGTTGGGGTTGGGGGTGGAGGTGAGGTTGAGGTGAAGGCATTGGATGTGAGATTGGGCTTGGGTTTGTGTGGGGTTGTTTGGGCGTGTGGTGGTGTAGGGGGCGGAGGGGCGCGTGGGGATGGTATGGAGGGAGGGAGAGAGAAAGACTTATATAATGAATATACAACACCTCGCACACCGTAACAAGCTTATATTTGAGTCACTTCGTGTATCTACGCTATACGGAGGAATCAGTGGTTAATTTGGTTGCTTGTGTGTATGCGTGCGTTAGCGGGCTTGGGGTGCTGGCGGAGATGTGGGTATGTTTTGGGAGTGTTGTGTTTCTGTGAGGCGATGGTGGATACCCGGCTGCCATTTTGGGATTAGGTAGGTACAGGGGTTAGCCTGATGTATCTTTTTCAGGGCTCGTTTTGCCTAAAATGTTTAATTGAGGGCCCAAGCCTAAAAAGCCTATGCCAACAAGCGCTCGTTAATCGGCGAACAAGAAGGTTGACAGGAAGGCTAGCGGAAAGGCTGAACTGACCCACTCACGACCTCACACGTAGACAATATCGCTGATGCATGTCAGGCACGTGAGCGCTTCAGTCTACTGTCAAAAGGTCGGTGGCCACCCATAATTGAGGAGCAGAGAGAGACAGCCCACACATCCGACATCCGAGTGCACAATCAACAACAAAATTACCCCATATCAAAGCTTTCAGCCAGATGGACCGACAGGATGTTTTCACACAATCCCCTGGCCCCGCAAATAACACGAAAAGCAGGGTTTTGCCGGATACTGTCGAGCAGCCAATACCAGCCCTTAGTGATCTTGGAACCACTGAAGCGCCTGACAACAAAGTCATTTCCCCCGAAGGACCAATATTAAAGAAAAAGGGTTGTTGGAGCGAATTTGCGATTCACCTTACCCTTGCGATTTCATATACGCATACGCACCAAAACGATCACATTGAATCGTCGGAAGAAGGCCCAAAAGCCACCGGTTTCAATGATACCCCCGGCAGAGATCATGGAAGCGATGATTCCGGAGAAGAATATCTTCGTGAATCCAAATCTAGCCTGCGCACCATGGCTGTAGAAGAAGTTACTTCTCTCCAAGAAAATATGTGTAAAACATGTTGCAAACTCTCGGAAGTCACCAAATTCCATATTACGACGGAGATACGAATTGGCACAATAGGGGAATTGCAATCAAAGGTCGATTGTCGCATTTGTCAGACAATTGCTGAAGCAATAACCCAATTCAACCCTCCTTTCAAATCCGAATGGCAGGTTAGATTTAATTCTAACTGGTTTTATGTCGAAGATTCGGGTTCTATTTTCCATTATTTCCATATGGTTCCAATGGAATATCAAAGACTTGATGACCGCCGGGGGGTAATCCTTGACACTGAATGGATCCGAACAGACACACTGCTTCATTGGCTGAAATACTGCGACAAACATCACCGCGGACATTGCACTGGTCGTCCTGAATGGTTAACTATAAGCAATCCTTTGAGAATACTGCTTATAGACGTACAACAAGAATGCCTTGTCGAAGGATCGATAGATGTGGACTACTTCGCCCTCTCCTATGTTTGGGGCTATCTAGGGCACACTCTCGAAACAAGAAAGGGCAACCTCGAGATTTTAAAGAAAGCAGGCTCCTTGAAAACAGAAATGGAAGACACCATGATACCGGAGACTATCAAAGACTCAATACGCCTTGTTCGGAAACTTGGATGCCAATTTCTTTGGGTTGACCGCTTGTGCATTGTGCAAGACGACGAAGAAAACAAAAAAAAGCACATTGATGCTATGGGATCCATATACAGTCAGGCATACTGCACGATAGTGGATGCTGGTGGCTCAAATGCGGGATTTGGGCTCCCAGGTGTGGGGAATGGCTCAAAGCCTCGAAATTATCCTAAACAACATGTCTTGGATTTCCCTGGTTGTCCAATGCTTTTGGTTCATTCCGAAGTAAATCCATCCCATGATTCGGTATGGAGTACACGGGGATGGACATTTCAAGAGGAAAAGCTATCTAAAAGACAATTGGTTTTCGGGAAGAACACAGTCTCCTATGATTGTTCACAGGATCACCGTGATGAATACGTCACGGAGCCTGTGAATTCAAAGGTGGTATTGAAAACGAAAATCTCTATGATACCAGATCTAAAAGAATGGACAAATTCGGTTGCAAACTACAACAGACGAAATCTCACTTTCGACGACGATACACGAAATGCATTTGCTGGGTTTGAAGAAGTTCTGCGACCTTACTATCCAGGGGGTTTCTGCTATGGGCTGCCGGTGTGCTATTTTGACATCGGTCTGTTATGGAGACCTGGCACACGCTTTCGAAGACGGCATAGTAGTGTTGGAAAGGAATCAAACTACCTTCCTTCATGGTCATGGATGGGTTGGCAAGGAGGTATCGGCATAGATTCGGACACCGAAATTACATCACCTACCTGGATTGAAGTACGCCCCCTGGTCGACTGGACGCAATATGGACCGGTAGGAGAAGAGCGGCATATCAGTAACGACTATGTCAAATGGAGAAGAACTGAAGATGTCGATCATCAGTGTAAGTTGGGGTGGGAGTATGATGAAAACGGGTGGTGGCAGCACCCGGCCCTCCCAGGTCAATATCATCACTACCCGTTGCCAATTGGACCGCAAGAAGTCACCGAGGATTTTCGAGGTTGGCCTCCGTATCTTAGACTACGGTCACATCGAGCATCTTTCAGACTCGAGAGATGCATATCGAAGGGTAAGAGCGAGGCATTGAGAGGGGAAGTGACAAATGACGCGGGCGAACGGGTCGGCATACTTTTCTTGCACACAGACGCAATCGATGAGGTGACGGTGGGCCAAACGTGCGAGCTGGTTGCGATATCTCGGGGTAGGACTGCGGAAAGGTGTGGTCTTCTGCTTGAATATGGCGAGCAACCAGCTACGAAGGACATTGAGGAAGACTTATACCGTGGGACGTTCTTTGAGTTTTACAATGTACTCTGGATCAAGCGGGAAGGAACATGGGCTCTCCGAGAAGCAGTTGGGCGTGTCGAAAAGTCAGCTTGGGAAAGACAGGAGTTGGAGGAGATTGATATTGAGTTGCGTTGACGACAACAAACTGCAGCATCTTTCAGCGTATGTATCTATTTCAATTATGGCGTTTTCCACCATGGCTCTGGATAACTAGCTTACCTGGCATGATAACATACCTGTAAAAGTATATCATGAAGCATAAAGGTACGAAAGTATCCAGGTTCTTTTACATCTGAAGAAGTTACTTTCGTAGGTACCCCCGTGATTATCCAGGACCTTCTATCTTTTGACCGAGTTCGCAACGCTCGAGAATGGCAGACAAGATGAATACTAAGAGGATTGCTTTTGTAATTGGTATTGATACAAAAATACAAAGAAAGAGAATGTCGGCACGCAAGGAGTCCCACTTGCTGTGGAAGGTCTCGACAGAGCAAGAAGTGAGAACTATGAAGGTCCGTTTGGTTTTGCAACTTTGATGCACCCGCCGAAACAGATGCTGTATGCTCCCAGCCCACAATCTGCCTCGACACAAGACGCGACGAAGACAGACTGCTCCTTGAGAAAGGACTTGTGGTGACCCCAAAATGGAGCAAGTAGCCGGTAATACAGTTGCGTGTTACAGTGAAAGGGGGCTTCCATGGAGCCCTGGGGTCAGATAGACGACGATCCGTTGTCTGCGCAGCAAGCGCTACATTTACGCTGCTGTGGTCGCAGATGCGGGATGTGTGAAAGCGACCTGCTGTGAGGAAAGAGAGAGCGCGCGGGAGAGAGTCGACATTTTCGCGCGGGACGCGCCAGCCCAAAATAGGCATAGTGGCACCTGACTAATCAACGTCATTTCTCGACAACCGCTCGCCGCAACCTCACCCGCAAGCCATCGCCAGCAACGCGACCCACCCGACGCGCTTTCACCCACGCTTGCTTCCCTGCCTTATCCTTACTGTCAAATTACCGAAAGCGAACGCGCGCACATCAAGATGGGCAAGAAGAAGAGAGGTCACCCTGATGTCGAAGAGATCCTTGCGCGTCCTTGGTGCTACTACTGTGAGCGCGACTTCGACGACCTGAAGATCTTGATAAACCACCAAAAAGCCAAGCATTTCAAGTGCGAACGATGCGGTCGCCGGCTCATGACGGCTGGAGGTCAGTTGCACTGCCCCGCTCACCTACGATGCGCATGCTGACTCCTGTCGCAAGGTTTGAACGTCCATATGACCCAGGTCCACAAAGAGACCTTGACTCAGGTCGAGAATGCGCTTGCCAACCGATCTGGTCTCGACTATGAAATCTTCGGTATGGAGGGAATTCCGGAAGACGTCTTGCAGGCGCACAACCAACGCGTGCTCCAACAGTACTACGAACAGCAGGCGGAGCGTCGCGCTGCGACCGGCAACCCACCACCTGGGACAGGCACGTCCAACGCGGGCAACAACGGGCCTAAGAAACCAAAGCTTGAGCCGAAAGAGAGTTTGAAGGCACGCTTGGCGGCCCATAAGGCGAAGAAGGCTGCCGAAGCTGCTGGCGAAAGCAGTGGAGACGTCACCCCTGTTGCGGCTCAAAGCCCTGCTGCTTTTGTGAGTTTCCCGGGACCGAACTGGTCCGATCAATTTTATAACTGAGATCTGCTTTGACTAACGGAACTACGTCGCAGCCGCAGGCCGTTTCGCCAGGCTACCATCAGCCTCAGATGCCGTATTCTGCTCCCCAAGGCAGTCCGCCTCAGGCTGCGTACGTCCAGCCGTATGGTCAGCCTTCTTACCCCGCGCAGTCGTCACCATTTTCTCAACAGCCCCCATACGCTCAACAGCCACCCTTCCCGGCTCAGCAGGGTTACGGTGCTCCGCCATATCCCGCGCCTGGAGCTGCTCCCTTTTCGCCAACCGGGCAACAATATCCCCAGCCCGCTGCCTCTCCCTACCAGGCGTCATTCCCGGGCGGCCCTCCCCGTCAGCCGGGCTCTGGTTCGCCTTCGGTTCCCTACCCGTACGGCGCGCACCAACCGCCTCCCAGTCGCACTCCTCCGAACAATGCACCGGGTCAACAGAGACAAGGAAGCTTGCCGGCCGCGCCTGGTCTTCCGTCGCGCCCGGCGTTCGCTGCTCCACAGGTGAATGCGTTCCAAATGCAACAGATGCATCAGGGCCACGTTCCACCCCCAGCAAATGGTCCGCCTGGTGGGTTCGCCAATGGTCCTGCGCAGACCAACGGCCATGGCCAGCCACCAGCGCAAGAGTCCATTCCAGGCCTCGAGGCGTCTGTTGATGAGCTCATATCAAGCGCAGGCCAACAAGCTGCCGCCCCGAAGGAAGAAACAGCCGAGCAAGCCGACAAGAAGGCGAAGAAGAAGGATGATAAGAACATTAACTTGGTTTACTCCGACAACCATGTAAGTCCTGAGGAAAAAATGGCCCAGCTACCTAGGTACGCATTCGACCCCGCCGTCAGGATCAAGGACGAGCGAGTCGTCGGTGCGGTGGAGCCTGCTGTTACCGGCATCACCACCGGTCCTGGTGATGTGATCGACCGCACAGAGTAGGCTCTTCGTCGACAAGCAGAGACGATTGCGCAAACCCGTCATGGCTTTTTGCACATGCAGAAGTAGACAGAGCCGCCATTTCCTACCCCAACAGGATTCTCGCGAAGGATGTTTTGAGACAGCTGAAAGCAGCTAAGTTTTGCTGGCACTTCAATCCATTACGGCCCGCAGTTTCTAACCACGGTCGAGGATCGAACACGTACGGAGTACGCTACAGGCGCTGCGGTTGCGACTACAATCCGAAACAAACGGCGGTCAACGGTCAACGGTCAATGGTCAACGGAGTTCGTCGGTTAGTCTTCCAAGGTCCTCCCGCCTGCAGAAGGGCTGATTGTTGGTTACGGTCAAGAATTGGTCTGCCTTGTTCATGGCGCCAAGCTGGTTTCCCTTTTTCGATGCCCGACATGTAAGTTTCTAGAACGGTTGGTACTTTCAATAGCTGCTTCGAGTTTTCAATGCTGCGACTGGCGCTTAATGGAGCATGATCAAGCTTTTTTCAATAAACCTTAGAGCGCCTATTGACGCTTATGAATCGATTTTCTACTGCCCCAAACAAAATGCCTCTCCTGGACATCTTCGAACGCCTGCAATGCTTCCCATTCGGACTCCAGAGATAGGTCATACCCATCAGCGTACACTGATAGAGCCAAAGTTGTATTAATTGCGGCTCCGGTTTAGCTTTTGTGAAGCGCACGCTCCTCGCCTTCGACTGATCGCCAGTCACTCGTTCGGCCCAGCGGAGCAGTCGATGCCTCAGCTGAATTACCTCAGAAACACCCCCGTAACAGCCAGGCGGCGGGCGACATTAGTGAACCGGCTGTATCACCGGGAACGGATTCTCGAAGACGTAGATCTGGTTCACCAAGCCCATGGCGCGCTTGAGCTTGAACAAAAAGCCCATATTGTCGAGCTCGATGGTGGCCGCGAACTCGCACTGGCGACACTTCTGGGGGTCGCCATCCGTGCGCAGATCGTGCTTGTGCTCGCCTTTCGCGGGCACGTAGATGTCTTTGTTGCCTCGCCAGATCGAGCGCGGCATGTCGACGATGTTCAGCGGCGGCGTCTTGGAAGCTGCGGGTCGCGTCGTCGTCAGTCTTCCTGGAACTGCGACCCTGTAGAGGGGTTTGACGAAAATGAAACGAAACAGGACAGGACAGGGCAATACAGACCTTGGTCCTCGACCGCGGTGCGGTCTTGCAGGTCGACTTCGTCGGCTGAGCGGATGAAGACCATGACTTTGCCCTTGGACCTGCGGCTGTCGGTCGAGCTGGCCGTGAGCGCCGAGTCTTGACGCCCGGTGCTGCCCGTCAGCCGTCGCGAGAAGCGCCGGAACGTGCTCGGCGAGTCGGCGCAGGCGGAGGAGGAGGTGGTGGTGCCTGTGCTGTCGGTGGTGGAGGTGGTGGAGGCATGCATGCTGGTGTAGATGGATGGTCACGTGGGCCTGAAGGACGGAGGGCGTGGGACGGGACTTGGTTGCGTGTGCAGAGGGCGAGAGGGGCGCCTGCCTGGATGGATATATGACGGACTGGGCTGGGTGCTGGGCTTCGCCCTGCCTGCTCACATGGCTAGGTGCGACGGCGTCAGCAAGCTGTTGCACGGGGCGGGCGTTCGGAATGGCTGGCTGGCTGGGGCCAGGGGGAGATTGCTACTTGGTTGCTTGCATGCATGCACAGCGCCCGCGGTTGGGGCTGAGGCTGTGGCTGGGGCCGGTGTGCAGCAAGGGGGCTGTGAGTGAGACGGGCTCGTGTGGCCTTGGCTTGTGGCACGGGGTTTGTCAGTGTCGGCTGCCTGGCCTGCTAGGTTACTGGCTGGGGCTGGCGTCTGCCTTGTAAGTTGAGTTGTTTCTGCCTGGCGTAGGTACCTAGGTCCGTACTCGAGGCCGGGCTGCGAACCTGTTTGTGTGTTTGTGCGGGGAAATGCTATCGCACCCTACTACGTATAGCTAGCTAGCTAGACTATACACCGCTTCAAACAAATAGGTATGGGTACAGCGTCCACGCTCGTACATACATACCACGTCCCACCGCACCGACAAGGGCGCGACCCGCAGCCGCACAGCCACAGCCACCCACCGCAACCCTCCTGCCCCAGACGGCAAGCAGGCAACCAACGGCGATCGTCGCGCACGCATGCATGTATCTACACCGTACAACTTACAAGGCGGCTCCGCACGCCCCAGCGGCCACACCCGCCCTTTGCCTGCACATCCCAGCGGCAGGCAGACAGGCAGACCTGAGGCCGCCGCGCTTTAAACACCTGCGTGCGCGCGCGTGTGCTCTTACTTACTTACATTTACATTTACACTCCACATATACACACACACGACGCCATCACGACCAGAGCGCGATTGTTTCGTTCGTTCATTTGTTTGTTTGTCTGGCAACCACAGCCACCACGGAGCGCCGCGCTCGCGATGCTTGCTTCTTCGACCCGTGCCGCGGACGGCGTGGAAGACGATGGCGTCCTGCCCGCGTGCACGCGCGTCCATGTCTCGGACTCGAATGAGCGGAGTCCGTGGTCTAGGAAGATGATTCTCGCGTTTGGTAAGTCTTGCTTGTGGTTGTGCAGTGGACTGATACTGACTAATGTGGGATAGATGGTGGTGGAATCAAAGGCTACTCGTCGCTGCTGATCATGAAGCGCCTGATGGTGCTGATAGAGCGGCTGGAGCGCGGGCTCGTGTCGGTACGTACCTTACCTACCCACCCACCCACCTATTTGTACCTTAAGTTAAGCACGCATGTTTTGCCGCCGCCATTTGCTGACGCCGCACCGCAGCCCCTTGACCCGGAGCAGACGCCCTTCCCGCGCCACGACTCCAGCGAGGCGTACGCGTGGAACACGAGCGCGGCGGTGCGCTCCAAGGAGCCGCTGCCGGAGGGGCTCTGGCCCGCAGACGACCTGGCGGAGGACGTGGAGCGGACGTTTGCGTACGCGTGCACGCGCTTCAAACCGCATCATTACTTCGACTACATGGCGGGGACGAGCACCGGGGGGTAAGTGTGCAGTGTGCGCTTGTGCATCTACGATGAGTCGAGTGGCTAACGCAGGGCAGGCTGAGCGCCATCATGTTGGGCAGGATGGAGCTGAACGTCGAGGACGCCCTGGCCCATTACCAGACGGTTGGCGACCAGGTGTTTGGGAAACCCCGGTTTTTCCCCAGCCATGTTCGCGGCAGCAATGTCATGCAGTCCAAGTACGCGGCCAGGCAGATGGAGCAGGCGCTGCAGGAGGTGACGGAGCAGGCGCTGAAGGAGGAGCTGAAGCAGTGGAAGACGACCGCGCACGACGTGCCGTTCGAGAGCGACGCCAACCGCTGCAGGACGTAAGCGCCTCTCCCCCTCACTGTCGCATTGTACTGTACAGGCTAACACACACGGCCAGGATTGTCGTCGCGCTCGGCGCAAAAGCAACAAACCGCGTCTCCTGGCAGCCGTACCTCTTCCGCAGCTACAACCACCCGCACCCCTCGCCGCTCGCGCACCAAGAGCACAACAAAAGCCACAAGAACCCGGGGCAGGCGCACCGGCACCCGATCTGGTGCGTCGCGCGCGCAACCTCGGCGGCCCCGACCTTCTTCGAGCCGCAGCGGGCGGGGGACTTCATCTTCAAAGACGGCGGGCTGGGCCAAAACAACCCCTCGCACCTCGCGTGGGACGAGGTGGTGCAGCTGCACGAGCAGACGCCCGCCTTGCTCCTCTCCATCGGCACGGGCAAGGCGGCGGAGCCCGCCCCCGGCGCCGCCAAGGCCTGGCTGCCGCGCTTCCTGGAGCGCCTGGGCGATAACCTGCACCTGATCGAGCTGCTGCAGAAGATTGCGACGAGCACGGAAACGACGCATGAGACGGTGCGCGACATCCTGGAGGGCAAGGCGGCGTACTTCCGGCTGAACGTGACCCACGGCGTCGGGGACATGGCGCTGGACGCATGGGCGCCGAAGCAGGGCGGCAGCAGCACGCGCGCGGCCATCCTCGCGCACACGAAAGTGTATCTGCGCCGCGCCGACGTCGACGCCTCGCTCCGCCGCTGCGCCCGCACCCTCGTCGCCGCCCGCCGCCAACGCGCCCGCACCCTCCGCTGGGAGCGCTTCGCCGCCCGCGTCGCCTACTACTGCCCGGAAATTCCCGCGTGTAGCAAGCAAGGCCGCATGTTCAGCTCGCGGGACGCGCTGCGCCGGCACGCGCTCGAGGCGCACTCGTTTGTGCGCGAGACGCGGGTGCGCAACGACGCGCGCGTGCGCCTCGCCTGCGTGCTCGACGAGTGCTGCAGCGAGGGCGTGCATGTCTTTGCGGAGCTGGGCGAGTATCAGAAGCATTTGGCGCAGCGGCATGGCATTAGCGAGGTCAGGTTCGCGGATCGCGCGGAGCTGGAGGGCTGGCTTGATCGGGGCCGTTGGCCCCTTAGAGAGGCGTTTCTGCGCCGCGAGACGGAGCTGCTGCAGGCGAGGGAAGCGGCGCTTGCGGGCCTGGCGGCTTCGAAGGCGGGTACGGCGGGGAAGGAGCTGGAGCTGCGGGACGAGTCGGTGTCTGCGAAGCTGTCGGTGCTGGATGGTGTGGTGGGGACGGCGGAGGACGCAACGGCCGGCGCAAATGTCAGCAGCTCGACATGGCGGCGCAAGCTCTCGCAGAAGACGAAGACGAAGACGACGAGAAGGCGGAAGAACTCGTCACCGCATCGCGATCGCGAGCGGGAGGAGCTGAGCGATGATAAGGTCGGGGGCAGGCCGGTGGAGGCGGAGGGAGAGGAAGGAGAGGGAAAGGGGGAGGGTGGGGAGGACGAGGGAGCGCCGTTGAAGCCGCAGGTGCCGCGGGCGCGGAAGACGTGCTGATTTTTATTCCTTTGCCCGAGGAGAGTTGGGCAGAGTTGTACATACATAGCCTCACACAGACATCTTGAGCATTTGGAGTAGGAGTAAAGACACGGCATGGCATGGCGCAGGAAGGGAAAGGAAAGGTTGGGGGGAAGGGAAGGACATGCAAAAGATATGCCACAACGAAGGAAGGAACGAAAGACTCGTCGGCGATGGTGGTGGTGAGGTGAGCGAGTGGGTCCCTAGGTTAGGTTGTTAATTTCAGCCCTACAGAAATCCAGCCAGCCCGCCCCGCGCGCCTGACGTCACAGCGCGACGACAACATCATGATGCACTCAGACGCGCGCAAACAGCGGGTCTCGGGTCTAATGCCAGACCTACATAACGGCGCGCAGGGTACCACTTGACCTGCCTTTTCCACGACCCTACACCTTACGCTTAATTGGCTTGCTTTTTTGTAATTGTTGATTCGCATCTCACTACATACTGTACCACGACACCATGGCTATGCACCACGCCCTGCACCCGCTGCATGCGAACCAAGCTGCGGCCGAGGCGCCGGGAGCGGACGCCGCGGCTGGGGTGGGTGCTGCGGAGACGGGTGGGAAGGGCGTGCGTATTGAGAAGGTGCGTGTGCTGCTTGTTCTCCGCTGCCCCAGACATGGCATATTTTTCAAACACACACGCAGACACACACACACTAACACGCCCTAGATCGCAATGGTAGGCTGCGGCAGCATGGGCGGGGGCATGGCGCTGCTGTTCGCCGAAAACGGGATCCAGGTATCACTCAAAGACCCGTCCTCGGAAACAATGGACGAAGTGCTGCGCAAAGCGCGCGAGGAACCGCACATCGCCGACGGCATGATCCGCAAGTTCACGCGCGACGACGAGCTCTGCGCCTCGCTGGGCACGCCCAAAGTCTTCGTCTTCTCGCTGCCGCACGGCACCGTCGGGGACGGGGTGCTCGAGAGCCTGCTCCCCTACCTCGAAAAAGGCGACATCATCATCGACGCCGGCAACGAGCATTGGGCGAACACGCAGCGCCGCCAGGGCAAGTGCTATACCCGCGGCGTGCGCTACGTCGGCATGGGCGTGTCGGGCGGCTACCAGGCTGCGCGCGCCGGGCCCAGCATGTGTCCGGGTGGCGACGACGAGAGCTTGGACTTGGTGCTGCCGCTGCTGCGCAAGGTCGCGGCCAAGGATAAGAATGGCACGCCTTGTGTGGCTAAGGCGGGGACCGGTGGCGCCGGCCATTACGTCAAGATGGTGCATAATGGCATTGAGCATGGCATGATGAGCGCGATTTCCGAGGCGTTTGATCTCATGAAGAAGGGGCTGGGGATGAGCGACGATGAGATTGGCGACGTGTTTGAGGCGTGGAACAAGGACGGCGAGCTGGTGAGTTCTTGAGCTGTCGTGCTCAGGTTTTCCACAAGACTGACTAACGACGCTTCTTCCTACAGAGAGGCACCTTCCTCATCTGGATCGGCGCCGACATCTGCCGCGCAAAAGACTCTTCCCGCAACAACGAGCGCGTGCTCGACACGGTCGAGGACAAAGTCGTGCAAGACATCACGGGCGAAGAGGGCACGGGCATCTGGAGCAACGAGCAAGCAATCACACATCACATCCCCGCACCAACCCTCACATCCGCGCACTACCTACGGCTCGCGTCCGCGGACCGGGCGCAGCGCCTGCGCGCGCAAAAGACCATGGGCGGCGATGGCTTCCCTCCGCAAAAACTCGACGTCAGCGCCGGCCAGAAGAAGGAATTCGTCGAGTTCCTGCACCAGGCCGTCTACGCCGCCTGCCTGGCCGCCTACACGCAGGGCCTGAACCTGATCGAGCGCGCCAACCGCGCCAACCACTGGAACGTCGACTTCGCCGCCGTGCTGCAGATCTGGCGCGCGGGCTGCATCATCCAGGCCGACTACATAGCCGAGCTCCTCCAGCCCATCCTCGCGCAGCACAAGGCCCTCGACTCCATCAACCTGCTCTTCCAGCCGAGCGTCATGGCCGAGCTGCGCCCGCGCCACCCCGCCCTGCGTGACGTCGTTGTCAAGGCCGTCGCTGCCGACCATGTCGTCCCTGCCCTCTCGGCGAGCTTGGAGTACTTGAAGTATCAGACCGGCGCCGAGCTGCCCACCGCGTTTTACGAGGCTGAGCTCGACTATTTTGGCGCGCATATGTATGATCGGAAGGGCGAGGAGGGGACGGGCGCCCCGACCGAGGGCAAGTACCACTTTGAGTGGAAGCCGGCGAGGAGCTCCAAGGCGTGAACGTGCGTGTGCGATGGAGGCATGTGGTAATGAATGGGCGAGATGTATGTAATGAACGCGGCGTTTCTTGGTTTGTTGGATAACGATGAATGTATGTAGTTGGGAACGTTATGACATGTACAAACAAACCCCTTTTCCTTGAAAACTACCTCCAATGTCAAGCAATGCCGAGTGATTTGGCTGATTGGACTGTAGTAATCGTCTTGCTGCTCATGTGTGTATGTATGCCATCTGCTATGCAAACCCACCGCGAACCCCAGAAGCCACAGCTCGCTTCGCTTTCCAAACCGCCGCCACCCACGCATGCCATAACCAACTCCGCAACCCCCAACCCCACGCCCCTACCTATGCAAAACCCCACAAACCCATCCACCCCCTCGCACAAACTCCCACCCCAAAAAACCCTCCCATTACCGCGTCTTGCGAGCATTCCTCGACTCCCTGAAAGTGCAGCACACGCTATTAGCATCGCACCAGCGCTGCACGACCCACGGATCCAACGCCACCAGCACGCCCGGCTGCTGCTGCTGCTGCTCCCTTGCCGCTTCACCACCCAGCAGCACATCCTGCACGTCCGAGTCCGCGTCCGTGTCCGCACCCGAGCCAGCGCTCCCATCCGAGTCCGTCTCCGCGTCCGTGACCGCGTCGCCATCGTTCTTCTTTTTCTTGCCCCTCCCCCCTTTCGCCTTCGGCTTGGCTTTCGCTTTCGCTTTCGCTTTCGTGCTCTTCTTAGCCTTTGGCTTCGCGACCGCTTTGCCCCCTCGCGCTTGCCCCTCTACTACGCTGACGGGGACGCGCATGCGGAGTCCCTTGGCGTGCAGCCACTCCTGAAGGTCTTCTAGAACGATGGGGTCGTACAGCAGGATGTGCTCGTGCCAGCTGAGCTTGCCGTGGTTCTGACTCCTTGGCTCCTCTTTGATCGCCTGCGTGATCTGCGGGAACAGCGCTGCCAGCACTTCGGGCGTGTGCTGCCTTGTTGCCGCGTCTTTTGTTTTGGCGGCTGCTTTGGTCGTTTCGCCAGCACTGTCGAGCGTGGTTGCTGTGCGAAGCGGATCAGTTGCGGACTTTGCCGTGTCGTCTTGAGCTGCTTGAGACAGCGTGAGGGTCTGTCGGGGCGGGCTGGCAGATCTTTTTCGACGACGGGGCGGAGACGGCGTCATTGGGTCCTCCGAGTCTTCGATCTCGTCAATGTGCATCCAGTCCGTTTGCGCCGCTTGTTTGCGTGGTGATTTCTTCCGCGGCGTTGACGGCTTTTCCTTGCTTTTGGCGGAAGAAGGTTTCTTTTTTGGGGATTTGACAGGCAGTTCTGCAACATCTGAGGCTGCCGCGTTGGCATCTTCGGCGGCGCTACTATCTTGCTGTGCCTTTTTCCCTTTCGTACTCGGCGCCTTCTTCTTCGCAGGTTTGCCCGATGATTCGGCATCCGAAGCTGCATCATTGCGGGGTAGCCATGGAAGAGTGTGCACCTTTGCACTTTTCGGTGTGGAAGCCTTCTTCCTGGAAGGCTCAGTAGAGGGCTCAGCATCCTCCGTTGCCGCATCATCGCTGGCTTTCCAAGGCAGATTGCGCACCTCTGTGCTTTTCACCGCAGCAGTTTTCTTTGTAGTCTTCGCAGGTACCTCAGCACCCTCCGACGCCACAGCATTAACATCCTTCCGCGGCCGACCAGGACGCCGCTTGGGAGGAGCAGCGACATCATCCGAGCCAGCAGCCGAAGCAAGCGTCGACTTTGCGCGCATGCCTGCAACCTCCGTGCCTGGCTTCTTCAAGACAGGCAGGGGAAAGTTTGTCGGCAGCGACTGTAGAGCCGTCCTGTGCGCGGACAGAGAGGCTTTGGTCTGCGAGTACTGCTGGTGCAGAGGGGCCGAGGCGGGTAGTCTCGACCCTTGACGGCTGTGCTCTAGCGGGTCTGTGTCGGAGATGATGTCGTCAATGTCGATGTAGTCTGCTGTGCGCTTCAGTCGCGGCCCCGATTCAGGGATGTCATCAATGTCAATATAATCTGAAGACGGAAGCGGCGGCTGCGCACTTGTGGGAAAGTCAAAGTCGTCGAAATTGGAAGGACGTACGTCAGCGTTCGTGCACCGAACGACCGCAAGTTCATCATGGTCGGGAGGGTCGTCAATGTCCATCAACACCGTGTCATTTTCTTGGTCCGTTACTGAATTTCCGCCTACAACATCGGATGCAGGAACTACGTCGATGAAGGTCGTTGCAGCTTGGAACTGCGTGGGTGAAGGTAAATCTGCATCTGCCTTCGATGCTTCAACCGAACCTTCTTGCATCACAGTCGGCTCGTCGGCACCGTTGAGACCAACCGACTTCTCAATCTCTTCAATCTCCAGAAATCCATCATCGAAATCCCGAGCCGCTGCAGCCCACAGGCCTTTTCGCCTGCCCATCAACGAAAAGCCACTGCCCGCAGCGGCGGGACGGAGATGCAACGTCTCAACATCATGAACTTCATCGCCAGCAGTGGCTTCGGATTCGCGCATTGCTTGCTGCAAGTCTCGAATAAATGTTGGCGAATCCTCGCGAACCAGCTGTGAAGACGTGCCGAATAGAATGTCCTGCCTATTATAGCGTAACTTTGCCGTCTCTGGCGAAAGCAGCTTCTGTGCCATGGGCTTGGCGGCCTTCTTGGGTTTTGCGGTTGGCTTCTTCGATTTTCCTTCTGCTTTCTTTGTCTGATTCTTCCGCCGCGCCGGAGCCTTTTCTTTGTCTGGCTTTGTTGGCTCCGTGGTGGTCGCGCTCCCGCCTCGCGGGGCGAAGAAATCCGACACGATCGGGCTGATCTCCGGAGTACGGTATGCAGCGGTGGCCAGTTCAGTTATGGTCCGCGGTTTTTTCTTGGGAGCATCTTCCTTTGGCGGGGTCGTCTCTCTCGACTCGACGGTTGTTTGTGGCAAAATGGAACTTATGAGCTTTATGGCCGTTAGAACAATTGATCTCGCCACAGTTCACAGAGATGTACTTACTTCTATCTTCCTCCGCTTCGTGAAAGCCTCGCCAGAAGCATTCCTTTTCAACTTCGGGGCATTAACGTCGACGGTTTGGTCATTGTAGCCGAACGCTGAGATCAAGCTAGCAAATGAGCCTTCCCGAGTCGCTCTGGATGCAATCGACTTTGGCGAGCCTTGTTGTTCATCTAGTGCCTGCAGTTGCTTGTGCTGCAGAGTCGGCGACGTCGTGTCTCGTGGTGGCGTCCAATCCATTCTTCGTGAGAGTGCTTGCTCCAGTGCCAATGGCTCGTCATCATTCACCGCGGCCACCGCAGGAGGTTGTTCGCTGACAGAATTTGCACGCGAAAAGTGCGCCGATTCCGTTCCTGTCGCATTGCGCACCCTCCGCGCTACAGGTTGCACAGCATTTTCCTCCGTATCAACCACACTGGCTTGCTGCTCCGGCGCCTTGGTTTTCCTCGACCTGTTTTGTGTTTCGGTGTCGCTCTTCTTCGCCCTTGGTTTCCGCGCTTTCGGCTTGACCTCCGCCGCGTCGTCCTGCCGCGTGCTGCAGCTCGCTGCATGATCTGCCGGTTGTGAATCCTCCGCCGCGTGCTCGCCAGTTGACGCCTCCGGCTTCGTTTTGCGCGTGGCCTTCTTAGCCGTTTGTCTATCCTTAGGTTTCGACGCGCTCATATCCTCGGCCGTGTTTGCCTCTTCAGGCTCCTTCGCGCGTTTGGTGGGCTTCTTGGGTCGCCTCGGTGGCGCGGATTTGCGCGAGTCTGGATTGTTCGACGCGTCGACAGGGGCACCTGCATCCTCGTGGTCCAGGGTCAGCTTCTGCTGCTTGATCAGAGCTGCTGCGCTTGCGAAGCCGAATGTCGCGTCGGCTGGCACCTCGGCGGCGTGAGAGCCGCTTCTAAGGCCTGTCGCATAGGCGGCGGGGCGTCTGGTGAGAAGCGTGCCGAGCGCAGGGAGTTCGGGAGACGATGTCGAAGGAATTGACTTGCGACGCGCACTGGGGGGCGTGAAGATGCAGTCAGAGTCCGGGATGCCGGGAGGCGAAGAGCTCAAGATGATAAACTCGCGTGCGGCCATGGTGTGGGTGTGGCGAGGAAGGCGCGACCATGGCAGGCGCTGCTGGGCGGAGAGTCAACCACGCATGTCCTAGGGTTGTTTACGTTTCTCGGTGCCTTATGAGGTGAACGGCACGCGTGTTGCCGGGGTGTCAGAGGAAGCTTACCCTGGTCCGTGCCACAGGATGTGACGGCGTGCCCAGCTGATCGCCCACACTTGCACTCTAACTTAACCTCACCTTACCACCGTCCTTCTGCCTTTTAGCGACACCGGAACTCCGCTGGGACTCAAAGAGTCTTCTGGAGAGAACCTGAGATGCCTACATTCCACTGAAAGCGATATCGAGGCCGGCTCCTTATTCCACAGCACTGTCCGGGTATCTGCAGCTTCTCCGCGGTCGCTGATATCTTCTTCTTCTCACCTTAATTCTTGATGGTCTGCCGACCACATGCTGCAGGACAGCAAAACCATCAGTAATCGCAACTCCGACAGATGTGCGCTCACTTACAATCAAATCCGGTGGCTAATTGACCTCCGGGCAAAGCATCCGGTCGTCTAAGGGATCTTAAATCCTGGCTCCAGATAGTTGCCTGGTAAGGATGCTGCCCGAGTCCGTGGTTCACATTGTAGACAAAGCGAACAATTCATATGTTTCTTATAATTGCTGGGCGATTGTAATATGTCGCCGTTAAATGTCCTGGGTGCCTCAAGCCCTGATGGCTCATGGCACTAGCTGATCCGGACTTGGATATAACAGCTCAACCGGCTTGCAAGGCGCTCAAATGCTGATGTTGTTGCATGCGCTTCCTTTTCTGCCGCTGGAGTCGTTTCTTTGTCTCTTTGCGATACCGCGTTTTTCTCTTTTATCACGGCTGCGGGATTGTTCAATTCGCTTCTTGAAGTCTCTTCATCTCCGATCTCTTCTTTCTAGGATCCTCGCCTCTCCATTTGGTCGACGTCTGTGCCGTTTTTTTCCTTGTCTCGTAAGCAACTCTGTGCAACCTCTTTTGGTCAATAACGTCTTTGAGTTCTCCTTGCTTTCTGATTATTTCTTACTTTTCATACCTCATCGTCAATGATATCTCATAGGCCGCTCGAAGGCTATCCGCATACGGCTCTCTGCCATTTGTTCTCATTTCCGCTTTCTAGTCATCCAAAGTCGTCAGCCTTGGTCCTCAATCAGAGCATGTTATTTGTGGTTTCTCTTACAGTCATTTCATATGGTCCAAACCATGGCGAATTGCCTCAAAGAGTCCATCGTTGTTCGCTTTTTATGGGTTTTTGTAGCCGTTTCTCCGTCAAGCGCCTATCTCAATCCTAAAGAGTTCTCAGTCAGCTCGTCTAATACTTCCATTGACTTACCATTTTCTTCTTCCCTTTGCCGCTCAAGGGTTTACCTTCGTCCTTTCTCCATCTCCAGTCCCGTCTCTCCCATTCCTTCGTCTTTTCTCTTTAACCGTCGAACAACGAAATATTTGCGCCTTATGTTTATTCAAAAACACCCTAAAAAGAAAATTTTCCAGTCCTCAATTACTACGTCAATTTTGAAGCTCCAAATTCTTTACACGGGCTCTGAGAAGAAGAAAGGCCAACAGAAGAAGCAGAAAAACAAGAGGCGGAGATCCACACAAATTAGTCCGCTCTGCGCAAGGATGTTCTGAGCCAAATCACCATGGATACTGCAAAGGAAAAGAAAGGAAAAAATTGAACAGGAAGCAAAAAAGAAATTGAAAGCAGCTGCAACAGCAGCACCCGTCATGCTGTCGAACAGGCACAGCATGTTTTTCGGGGGTGCTGAAAGAGGCCACAAACCCTCAATTGGCCTCGCAATGAGAGCTCAGGGCACAGTCTTAACTAAGACGACTTTCTCGGGCGCTTAGCCCCGTGAGGCTGTCCCGACGGCTCTTGAGGCTCATTTTCCCATGGGCTAGGACGCTTCTGGCCGGCTGCGCCGTTCCTTCCGGGCGGAGCCGTGTTGAGGTAGCCGTGGGTATGCGGAGCCACGTTACTCTCGCGGTTGTAGGGCGTGTCGAAGGCTCCAGCTGGAGCAGCCGGCATCATGTTGCCCGTACTCTTGTCAGTATACGGGGGCCGGTAGAGCACGGCGTTGTTGGCTCTGGCGTAGTATCCAATTGGGCCATGCGCCGTGGTGTTGCTCATGGTGGCGCCAAGATGGGGGGCCTTGTAACCCAAGGGGTTGTAGGCTGTACTGGAGGCTCCAGCTGAGCCCACCGCCGCCGAGTTACCCGTGGTGTTGTCAGCATACGGGGACCGGTAAAGCATGGGGTTGCTGGCCGTGCGGGAAGCTCCGGTTGAACCAGGCAGCGCCGTGTTGCCCGTGGTGTTGTAGTGACACAAAGCCCCATAACCCATGGGACTGTTGAGCGGGCGGGAGGCTCCGGTTGAGCTAAGCAGCGCCGTGTTGCCCATGGTGTTGCCAGGATACGAAGCTTGGTGAAGCACGGAGTTGTGGGCCATGCCGGAGGCTTCAGCTGTACCAAGCGGCACCATGGTGCCCGTGGTGCTGTGGCGATACAGAGCTTTGCAACCCATGGGGCTGTTGGTCATGCGGGACGCTTCAGTCGAACGACAACCCAACGGTGCCATGTTACCCATGGTGGGACACGGCGGCGCCTGAACGGAACAAGGCAGCACGGTCAACATCGACTTGGTATCTGCGTTCTTAAACATTGGGCCAAGTACGCCGGCCCATATATTGCCGAGTATGTATACCGGCTTGTCTCCATCGTGGGTATGAGAGTAGTAAGGCAGGTATCTGGAGATACGTCTCAGCCACCACTCGTTGTTCTTGTTGAACTTCCTCTCAGGCGTAATAAGCTGCCGCAACTGGGGGTCCAGTACTTCCAGCGGTGGACGGAAAATGACGATGTTCTTGGCGCGTATCAAAGCCTCAAGCTTTCCAACCGAAGCAGAAAACATATCGTCCACAACCGACTCGAAGAATGGCTGCATGAACTCGAGGATTTCGTCGGAGGAAATCTGCTCGTATAAAGGCATGTAGTGGTGGTAACGCGTATATAGGCCTTCACGCTGCAAGATCTCTCCAGACTTTACGGAAGCCTCTGTCGCCTTCATGACGCTCTCGACGGTGCTCTTGAAGCTTGTATAATTCGTCCTGATGTATCCCTTCGCGCGATCCTTGACGCAAGTGGTTGTCGAGTGGAGCACGTCCAGGTGCGCAAGCCAGGCATGCAAAGACATGTCTGTGCCGATGGAACCGAAGTTGCCGCTGCTGCCAGTCTCCATCCAGTCTTGTAGTTCCTTTTGAAACAAGCGGATAAAGATTATCTCGTAAGACTTGAGCAAAACCTGCCAGCGGAACTCTCCGTCAGACTGCAAATTCGTCCAGAACTCGTCGAGAGACATGTTGTACAGCGTCAGGACTTGCTCCACCGCCTCTAGGCGAGGATAGGTTCCATTAGGACGTAAGTTGATGTCATCGAATTCAACTTCCAATTCGCGGCGGTTCTCGAGAAATCGTGGTGAAGGCTTCAAGCACCCAGATATAAGAGGGACCAGGTACTGAATATAAGGATGGTACTCAACGACTATTTCATGTGTCAGCTGGGTGTTTGAGTTATAAATCGGCAACTGCAGGAGATTTGCTTTGCAACACGTACACAATATGTGGCCGTTCTCCGGGACCCAACATTGGGCTTCGCAGCTGCGACACATTTTGCAGAAATGCAAAAAATCTAGTAGCTTCATTTGGGCAACCCTTCTCTTGCCGCAAACGTGGCAAAATTGGTCGCCAAAAGTCCCGTCTCGGACCTTATTAATGCGTGAACGCAGGTCACTATCGGGCTTCTCGTTGCTGGAGTGCAGTGCCTTGTCCATAAGGAGTGAGATTCTCTCCTTCTTAGTTCTATAGTGGTCATAGGGGCTGATCTTGATCAAGCTGTCCGCAAAGTCGAGACCCGTAGATCTGGCTTCGTGTACAGCTCCGACCGCATAGTCGAATCCACCCAGAGCATCGTCCCAGTTCTTTCTTGAAGGGTTGTCATTGTCCAAATAGTTGTATACCTTGGTTATTATCTCGATGGAAAATTGCTTTTTTCCCGGAGGCCTAGGGAACGGTATGGTCGCTTTGACCCTTCGGTCCCTATGAGCTGCCATCACTTTATCAAGCGGCTCCTCCCTGACGACGAATGTCGCTCTGGAAAAACGTCAATATATATCCCATTGGCGCGTTTAATCAGGATGAGTACGTACGGCGTCGGCTGCAACTGCGATTGCGCAATCTGAGGCTGTATCGCCGGAGGCTGTGGATTCTTCGAGCGTGGCATATTGAAGAACCAAGGCCTGGGACCTCTCACTACGGATCCAATTCTAGCCTGGAAGAAAAACCTCTGTGGAACAAGTCAACTTGTTAGCAAAATTTCAAGACACGAAACCAGAAAGATAGTGGCAAAGAGGCCCAAATCAGACTTTGGTGCTGTGTGTGCATCATAACAATCAGTCGAAAGATGGTGAAGCTTTTGATCATCATGCCGGGCCTGGTAAACTCAATAATCGGAAGGGAAACTTACTCTTGAGGTGCGCCCTGGAACCAGAGCAGCGCAATACCGTTAAATGTGGTCACCCTATACCAAGATGTTGACTACAAGCAACATCCGAGGAATGGCTGCCTTAGTGGTGTGGTCAAAACCGCCGGTTGGTCGCCCAGTGTCGCAAATGCTTTGCTCGTTTGGCTTGACAAGCGGAATACCTATTAAGCTCTATTAATTAGCATGGTGATAACTGTCTGCGGTAAGGACAGTGCGTAGAAGTGATTCAAGTCGATTCAGGCTGAAAATATAATCATAGCAAAACAGGCAAAGACACGCCTATCCCAGCAATGATCCAGATGGACCAAAGCGGATTGGGTCATGCAGTTGCCTGCAATGGGGTCAGTTGCAGTGAAGTTCATAAGTGTCATCACGACGCGCTATAAAATGTCAAAACTTTCAGCAGTATCTACTTACTCCAAGGAAAACAGCACTCGAAGCTGAATGAAAGTCGTCCACGATCAAGTCTGAGGAACAAGCTGGGAGCTTGTCTATCGCGAATGGCTCGGTGCAAGGCTTGCCCTGCGAAGCAAAAATTAGCATGAGGATAATAATTAACGCAAAAGAGGGATTTGGGTCGGTTTCTAGCGAAAGACGACGAAAGGCCCCTCAGACAGCTCAACATTTCTCATTCTCTGGCTTCATCAGACAATCCTCCGGCGCGAACCAAAGACTCGTCTGTGAACCAGAGCGTGTGGGCGTACCACAAGCACAAGACGGACCATCAAAGACTCATAACAAGGAGAGCTGAGCCACACCTCGCGTGGTCCGAGGTTCAGTCATTGGGCTTATGGTCGTGTCCACAACTCAAAATGCAGTAATGCATTGTCATCACTGGGGTGTTGCGACAACCAAACTGCAATGTACACTTGGCGTGTAGGTGATTAGGAGGCTTACGTACCTTGGTGCGAAAGAAGCTTTGTGTGAGTAGTCAGTCGTAGGGAAGGCTTAGTCCAGCGGGTTTCGATCGACAGGTTTGGAAGCTTGATGGTGATTCGGTTACCTGTCCAAGGCTGTCAGTAAAAGCTAGAAATCGCAGCCAAGTATCTGTTTGGTGTGAAGCACGGCGGGTATCTAAGGAAGTTGTTGGAAGTTCAGACAGTCAATGCATCAGCCTCGGGAGACGGTCAAGTGGCCAGTCGCGCTGCTCTTGACTGAGAGACCGCACGGCAGCTCTAGTCCTGACGCGTTGGACAGGCAATGGGGATGATTGTCGAGAGGATAGCGAAGAGCAGTGAGCAGGTCTGACCGAGCTTGTTGTTCGGGCAAGCCTTCACTCCGCCGGCTTTGGTGTTGGGAAAACGGACACGAAGGGGCGCAAGCACTTACATATTGGAAGGTTCTTTCTCGGGTAGGCTTCAGTATTGCTCGGAAGGCCTGCGTGGTGGAGTTGCTCAGAGTGGCGGCTTCAGTGGCGGCTTGACCTGGTCGGCAGGCAGTGATTTGAGCGAAACAGCCACGCCGGCAAGTCCGAAGCCTAGAGCTTGACGTGCTCCGAAAGAGGAGGTCAAGAAGGTGAGTTTCCGTCAAAAAGTTTCAAAGGAGAATGGTTGTGTCGATATCGTGGTGGTTGGGGGGAGGAGTAATTGGGTGAGAAGCGCAAGTCGGCTGCGGCCTTGGTGTTGACGGCGCGCTCTGCCCGAGCGTCCGCTGCCCCAACGATGCCCCAGCAGAACAGGTTTGAGGAATCGCTAGCAATCCCCTAGGCCCATTGGCCGTAGGCCTTCAAATCGTCACAACGAGTGCTGTAGCCCCTGCGAGCTCCTGAGGGCTCCTGACTGCGCCCAGGTTCGGCAAGAGACGCTCCCTACACCTTTCCGTGGCTATGAGCCGACAAATCAAACCTGACAAGGCCCAAGAGAAGCGAATTATGCCATTCTTGAAGCGCTTTGAGCCTAGGAGCCTCAAGAAGGGGCTGCCCACGGCAGGTTGCAACAGATGTGATCCGCCCCCTGGTGCGCCGCGGATTGCCCCAAGGTCTTCCAGCAAAGGATGCTCACAGCGCTCCAGTACATTGTCTGATTCCAGCACGAAGATGCCGCTCGTATCAGCCAGTGAATCTTGTACGTTATTGTTGCGGCTCGACCTTACGCTACACAACCTGAATGTCGCCTATGCTGAGTGCCAGCACCTTCACCAGGATCAGACGCCGCTGGAACAGCTAATGGGGAAACCGTTCCAAGTTGCGATGCGGTATGATTGCGCTCGGCGCAAATTCCGGCTCAGATTTATCGTTTACTTGGCTTCACAGACCGGATGCTGCCATTCGTGGACCTTGAGCGGAATGTGCCATACAAGCCAATCGACTATCTCCCTACAAGACATACAATGTCCACCTTCCGCGTATCTTCTGCCTTTACAAGATTATATACAACATGGACCCGCATTCCGTCCTACAAAACAAGTCCTCACGTAGCCTCGACGCCCGGAGCCTTGTATGGAGCGGACAGGGCCAACACAGCTTCTCTGTCATCGCTCGAGCCCAAATCTTGGGACTTGTGGACAAGCAAGTCTCTCTGCCGCTTGGAGAGCAGGTATGAACTGGAATGATGGACGGAGTAGGAAGTTAGCCCTGGAAGACGGCAAAGGTATGCGCATCCGCCACCACATGCAAGACCTCCACCTCAACCTTCTCCCCAATCCACCCAGCCGCCTTTCCAACATCAAAACACACACCCGTCGCATGGGGCTTCAGCAACTTCCCTGCCCCGCACACATTCGGCAGCACCGATAGACTCAAATGCTTGTCACCCCACCGGCCGCGGCAGTGCGCAAGTCCCACACGAGGAGTTTTGTCTTGTCGGCTGTGGTTTGGCGGCGTGTGGAGTCTGGAAGGTTAAGCGCCCGTGGGCGTAGGTGTGCAGGGCGGGAAGGATGTGCTTGAGACGAAGACTCAGGAAGAGGAAAAGAAGAGCAAGGCGCGCGTACAGGATGTGATTGCGGGTAGGCGTGAGCTGCATGAGGGTGGACAAGGCTGTGGTGCTGGAGTGTGGCCGTGGCATGGTGAGCGATCGTTTGCGTTGCTCATTTCGTTGGGCTGCAACTAGAAAGACAGAAGGCGACTTAGTACATCCAAGGTATCGGGGTTGCAAATGCAAAAGGTCTTCGTGGCTTGCTCTGTCTGCGCTGCTCTTGCGTACAGGTCGATGCCGTTTTGGTGTTGACTGGTAATTTCGGTCCGCCGCTGAAGCCAAAGACCGTAGCCACTTTGCTGTCACACCAGATCCGCCGTTTTCAGAAATAGCTGCTGGTAGCTGACAGGGCTGCCATATTGTTGGGTTGGGGCGTGGGGCAGGAAGCGCCGTCTTGCTTAGGACGGCGCGGAGCATTTGGTTGTTTGCTATCGAACAACGAATGAGATCGGAACAATCAAACAGCGTTGCTTGCAAAGAACCGCTGAGATCGTAGTTTCGCGATGTCGCCTTTATTTTCCAGGGGCTCTGAAAATTGGCATCAAGCAAATAGGCCCACCTTCCAAGCTTATAAAGAGACCTTGCTTCAGAAATTCGTTCGAATGGACCTCTTGTGCTCTTTTTTCCTGCATGAAGCCGAGGCAAGACAGGGTTTGCCTTTGTCGTTTTTCAAACAAGATTGGTTACAGCAAACAACCGGAAGAAAGGCACAAACTTTCGCAGAAACACGACCAGCAAGCTTTGTCTGTCAAATCCTTCCCAACAATGCAATTTCAACAATCTGGAGAGGGAGAAGCGTTGCCCAAAGAATCCACGCTCGGCGACCCTGGCGCTTGAGAGCCAAAATCCTACAATATAACCTGCCAACAGACCTCCGCGCTGCAAGTCTACGATTTGTGCCTCGAGAGTAGATGCCCAACTGAACTGAAAGGTTGAAAGACACCGTAGGAACCTTCAGGGTCAGCGTCCATCGATCCATCTTCCTGTTTCCCATTTGTGCATGGCTATGGAGTATCGCGAAAGTCTGAACTGGGCGGCTATGTACTGACTAGACATTCATGGAACACACAAGGACGGAACCTGTTGCTACTGGAGAGTGTCTCTTTGTGGACAGGGCGGTATGGAGTGTACAGTGAATGACTCTCCCTCAAGGGTACGGAGAGCGAGCAAGCTGGAATCTGGAAGTCGAGCACGGCAGAGCGTGTATGCACTAGGTGTTCAAGAGGTCGGGGTGACAGGAACGACTTGTGCCTGGGAAAGGCTTGCCAGTGCTGGAGGCTGGTGGAATAACAGGAAGCCGAAGGGTACGATACTTCGGGCGACAATGCAGGCAAGAACGTGGGAGACGTTGTTCAAAGGTCGGAGAGTCGCAAGGCGAAAGGCGCAGCTGGCGCGTCGAAGCAACTTCTGCCGGCCGACCTGCCTCCTTCCACAACCAACCTTTCCAGCAACCACGACAACCAGCCCATTTTCCGTAGCTGGCCGTGACAGAAGCCAATCTCTGAGTCAACCACATACAATTTAGGTAGGTCCCGGCTGCACCTTCGCTTTTCCGAGAGCTAACTGTGCGTCCAGGTCTCGGGGAGAGACAGTTACTCCTGACACAAGCCAAAGCAACACCTAGCACGTCCCACTGCGCCCATACAGTGCTTACTCAAAGCCAGCAAGTATGCGTGTCAAAAGGCTCTGCGTGTGCTTGAGCAAGGGGAGCAGCCGCACAAGACTGGCCAGCCTGCTGGACTGCCAACGCGATTCCAAAGTACGGCCCAGATGTGCCGACTTGACCACCACGGCTACTTATTTCCAGATGGGCTAACTCGGCTCAGA